ACAATATGACCACTAACTCATGATCAGGCTTGTTCAATCTCTGGCTTTCAGCGTCTCTTCAACAATGGCGTACATCAACTATCAGTCTTGGCATGCATCTGACACAAACGCTATGAATCTGGGCGACTTTCTTCTGATAGGCCACACTACCCCGAAACTCTGTCATGGTCCTCTGAGCTATGCCACTGGAAGCACGATATCCGCCGTTTCATGTCGAATCTTTGTTGAGCCACATTTACACCTTCACATCACATTTGTGAAAGTAAGCATTCTGCTTCCTTCTCTTCTACACCACTCTGATCTGATTATTAGATGCAATATGACCCATCTGAATACACCGTAACACTCACGGACGATTATTAGTGTTGCAAACAACCATCGACGAAGATATTCTCCATGGCCTATTATGACATAGGCCAGATCATGGACGAACTGGGGACTCTGTTCTACACCACAAGTATATCCTTCGACAGCTCTGACGATCATTCGAGTTTATGTCCCTTGCAATCATCATTTGGTTGTATTGCCAAATCTATTCTCGTATATCAATGCGCAGCCTGTCGCGTCATGTAAATCTTGTCTTGTTCTCTCACTTCGTTTGGTTGTCTTTCCAAACAATGACATGTATATCCTCGTGCAGCCTGTTGCCCCTTGTATTTTCGGTGCCGCCTTGCGAACAGTGTGTATAGTACAAGGGTCACTGGTGGAGGTAAGCCAAGTTGCTTTCATTCGTTTGCTGCTTGGACTGACATTTTGACCGCTAGTGAATTATCTCTTCTATGATCTCTCGGCAGCCAACTTCGCTTTTCTGGACTGGAGCTTGGCTCTCTGTTTCTGTCTTCAGGTTCCTGTCCATCTCAGCATGGCACTTTGGGCACTGTCTCTTTAATTTATCTCTCCTGACCAGCAGTATTTGTCGTGGTAGGCTTCGAGACTACTGTCTCGAGCCTCAATTTTTGGAACTTCGGTCTGCTTCATGCAGACTTTCCTCCTTTATACCCATTTGCAGAACTTACAGGTAAGTTTCTGAAGTTTTTGACATGCTATACGTGCTGATCTCTCCTATTCAGACTTGCTTCTCAGTAGTTTTTTTTCCCCGCTTATATATCAAGGATGTGTATTTTCTTTATTTTTGAATGTTATTAGCAGGTGAAGGCAACTTTTCATTTCTTGTTCAAGTTCTTATTGTTTTTCATCATTTTTTTCCGCATCGATCGAACTTCCATTCAAGCGTGTATTACAGTGCAGGTCAATTTTGTGGACTTGCTACGTGCCATAAGCCCAGCAGAGAGGGAAGATGTTTGTTGATGGTCTTTCTGTCAGAACTGGTGCTCAAGAACGATATGTAAGGCTCATAATGGCGATAGGGAATGTGTCTGTGGCGTAGGACCCATGGCAAAATCTCTCAGCCAGAATGCCACCACTTCGACGACCTCTTGAAGTTGTACACTGGACAGATGCGTCTTTTTTTTCTGAGCTCGGTCCACAGTGCCTGTGCTCATTGTTGTAGGGGAAGAAGACAAAAGTAGGCTCGTGAGTTTCGTATCAGGCTCTATGGAGAGGACACATCTTAAATTGTGTAGTCACCATTCAGTCGGGTGGTACATATTTCCTAGGTGAAAGAAAGCAGTGTGAATCAGTCGATTTTGTGGTACATCAGTTTTGCATGCTGCCAGTGGGTTCGATTCCCGACTGACGAAATCATCCAAAAGACTTTGAGTTTTGCATTGCGGAGTGGCAATGAAATGAAAACTCCTGCTTTAGACCACGTACCTCCCAGCCAGAGGTTCAAACCCAAGCGAGAGATGAAAGAAGAGAAGAAAGATGTATCATATGCACTTAGTCCCCCAGAGACGGGGTTAATGTAAAAAGGAGATAGATCCAAGTATATATAACTCACCCTAGTCATGCCGCTGCTCGAATGAATTATGTTCGATCCACTGCCTAACTCCAATATCAGCGAACTCGTCATTCTCTAGCTTGGCATCACAGGTGATAGAACTTTCCCTTGAGCGGGTGCAAACAAGGGATGACAGCAGACTCCTCCAGCGTCTGCAGTGATAGAGCTCAAGTATTATAGTATCTGTAGATGTGGTATATGACCCAGAGAGAGGGACTGCGAGCTTGATATGGAAGGGCTAGAAGGTCCTAGGATGCCTGCCAGGTGGCCAGGTTGAATGTAGGTGTGAAGGAGAGTTCTCTACTACCCTTCACAACATCTCGTATGATGATGGAGAAGATAAAAGACGAGGCAGGGCTGTACATGTGCTGGCATAGAACCTGCCATAGAAGAGACGGTGTGGAGCAGGAGAGTAGTGGTGTAGAGCATGTGATGAGTTCGTACGTCCGTATTGGTGTTTTCTCAGTCGACGGAGAAACAAAAATACCATTCACCGCCCTTCCTTCACAAATACAATGACTCATCAACACGGGGATCAAATATTCGCAAACCGCCCGGTCCCGCAACGGATATAAGTTGGGAATCACAGAGAACATACAATATTATTCCTGAGTCAGTCAGATCTTTCAACTCGGAACGGTCGGTAGCGAAAATCATCCATCAGGTTCGCCCCCCCTCAAAAACTCATTCTTGATGTTTTCACCATCCCCACCGTCGTTTTCACTCCAGTGAGTACTCTCACTCTCTCCCCTACTAAATGATGTTCTATCGACATCGCCCGACGTGTCTGTGCAACGAACACGACTGACCTATTTTTTGTTCATCTCCCATTTTTATTACCTGGACTGAACTCTATTGCAGGGGGGACGTTTGGTGACGAGGGGACGTATAATTATGGTGCACGCTTTCTATTCGTAGCCAGTGCTTGATGGACATGTATTTTGAAGCTCTCGACGCAGGGAAAGAATCCTTGAGAGGGTGGCATCCGCTTTGGTCACGGCACTAAATTGTACAGGTCATCAGGACCCATTGCAGTTACCCTTCACTCATCATCGAATACAGGTCCAGGACGTTGAGGGAGCCAGGATATTCCTTGCGGAGGGGAACACAGATATCAAAGTGGAAGTTATTCACGGCCCATAGGATCATGAACACCCGAGTAGACATGAGGTCGTTAACCTGTACTATGCTGTTGTGGATGCGAGGGAGGTCACGATCGGAGGATGGGACGAAAGACTCGTATTCAGTTCTGATGCTCACTACCATCAACATTCCTGGTGAGTACTTATCCTTACTCTATCCCCTACGAAATGATAGCTCTATCGACATCGTCCAACACGCCTGTATGACGCAAAACAAACACGACTGATCAATCTCCTCTCATCATTTGATCGTTCATGTTTGCTTACCTGTTACTGTTCATAAGCCTCGGTAAACCCATCCGGTCCCACGGCATGAATACACATCATTCCCAAGCCAGTCGATCCTTGTCGGCAGTGAGAACAATCTGTCTGAATCTCTCTCTCCCCCTCAAAAGCTGAATCGTCTTCAATTTCACCGCTACCAACTTCGCTGGTGAGTAATTTATTTTTACTCTGAACACCTATGAAATGATGCTCAATCTACATCGCCCAACGCACCTGTATGGCGAAATAAAAAGCAAACGCGACTGATCAGTTTTCCCATATCATTCGAGGGTTCATGTTTTACTTACCGCTTTGCAGAGGTCTTGGTGACGGGGGGATAATGATTGTTGTGCGTACTCGGTTTCGTAATGCTCCTAACCCGGTGCCTACGAACCATACCAAGAAAGATTCCGACTGGGTGGCACGAATCCTTCGTACAAGCTTTGATATTCGTCTCATCTTCACATGTATCACCCTTCTCTCATCAAATATAGGATGTGCCGGTCAAGACTGAGGAGGGAGTACAATGTAGATGTCAGATCGGAGATTATCCGTACTCCTGAGTAGACGGCCACGTACCTGAGGCTGCAAATACGAGAATCGGGGAGGGGCTTTTCCTTTTGTGACAATCTATATCCAGCGCTTGATTCATATCCAGCTGGTGCTGGCAGGAGTGAAACAACAAAAACGCTTCCCTATATGTATATGATCTCTGAGGGAATCGATCCCAGGGTGCGATGTATGCCAACCATTGCACTAACAGAGATCTTCATCGGCATCCAAACTCAGACAGATCACCCGGATGTGAGCGCATTCAAAAACGGAGACCCGTAAAATCTGGTTTGTGAGGGAGGCTGTCTGTTATGGATATTGGGTATCCACTAATTCGGTGCATGAGTCAACACATGCCCGTACTCGGCCTTCTCAGCCCTAGTAGTGACTCGCTCGTACTTTCTCTTATTTTCTCTTACTTTCTCTATTCTTCTTACTAATACTAGAATATTATGGAGCATTGTAGAATAATAATGACTTGATCCTTTCCTTAGTATATAAACTTGTAGGTAATATTGTATTAGGAAGCTTTTACCAATCTACCACTTTCAGGACACCTTCACTGCATGAACCCTCAGCTACGCCTAGCGCTTGCTGAACAACTCGTTGGATACGTCTAGCGCTTTCTGACACCAACCCGAAGGTTACGCTTAGCGCTTGCCTTCACCCATGGCCTGTAATAGCTTCGCGCTTACAGGCTTTCTATATCGGTAATTGCTCCGTGCTTACCGGCCACTTCCCTCAGTAATTGCTTCGCACTTACTGATTTCCTTTATTTCGCAAACTGGACCTCTCAGGTCTCCTCACGAACCCTCGCCGGAATCCATTATATTCCCTAACAACGTACATCATTTCTAATTAATCATACCTCGCTTCGATCATCACTCCTCGCCTCGTGCTCGCATCTCCAGATTTCGGCAGATCCATAACACTGTCGGCTGTCGTCTTGGCATCGTGATGTTGGTTCACAGCAGGTTTTTGATGTTCCTGGGTCTAGGATTTTGAACTCTACACACTGGGCGATGATAAGTTGGTGTTAGCAATGGCATAGGAATTTGTAGGAGTCTGTAGAGATGAAACGAAACCCCGTCGACATGATTTCGAGATATATACACTATGATTAGAAAGTAAAAGCTGAATATTCAATAGACAGTGGAATATAGAACATTATTATGAGCATCGTCCTCGAGTAGGTCATACCAAATCTCTGCACAGAAAGGACGTCAGCAACGGCAAGTACCACCAAAGGATCTACTCACCATTACTTCCTTTAACCAAGATGGAGATATCCAATCCTTCTGCTTTCAACGATTTCAGATGATCAATGCATGACAAGGTTTGAGCAGCCTGGTCACCGTTCTCCCCTACACAAGCTTCATCACACTGAATGCAAACCCGAGACAGCCCTGAATCTCGCCATCGCTTATCGATAATCTCAACCAAAGACTCATCCCACATGAATATCTTGCCTACATGCAGTCCAAGGTCAGACAAACTGGGGAGCACTGCACCTGTATCACTGAGGCACTTGAAAAACCTTGACGGATCCTTGTCATTGTCTTCCAGAAAGAAGAGACCTAATTTGCGAAGCTGGGGAAGGTATGAGAACAGTTGATCTGGTTCCATGGAGTCCTCAGTTATGCGGATCTCAAGAGTCTGCAGCTGACTCCCAGAACATCCAATGAATTGATGAAATAATAGGAGCGAGCTTGATGGCCCAGGTTCCTCGGGCAGCATGGTGAATGATAGGTATTCCAATACCGGACAGACGAGGCATTGGAGTAAGTGAAATGATTTGACAGTCAACGAATGGAGCTTCTGGAGCATCAGCAGGGAAATGGGATTTTGCTCCAAGTGGAGTGCACTCTGCTCAGTTAATTCTTCAAGGTTTGTACAGAGACGGAGAACCTTGATGATGGCCCCCCGGGTGGCACCGTCGTTCTCAAAGACAGACAAGTGCAAGTGTGTGAGATGCGACCAAGGAAAGGGTGTTTTATCTGGATGGAAATGCATCGGTAGGGGTATTAGAATTATAAATCAGAGGTGTCTGAGGATGGGTGCGTGGTTAAATATGCTGAGGGTGGCGTGGAGACCCTTGGGAAAATGAGCATCCAGGTGAAGTGACTTCAGTAAGGGAAAATGGGCAGGAGAGGAATCAGTGAATCGTGACCATTGGCAGGCCCAAATATCAACCATATGGCCTGAGAGTCTGATGTTTTCCCATTGTGGCGCATGCTGCAACAGTGTCTGGGTGATGGCATCGGCGCGATCATGGCAAAGTATATCTGCATCAATGTCCATGGACAGTCCGCTCTGCCTGGCCCAGTGTAGCGCCTCCTGGAGTATCCTTACTTCAACATCCAGCTGCTCTGTTCGACTCTGTTGTCATGGCAAGTTAACTTTAAAAGATGACCACAGTGTGGGATAACACCAAGCGATATCTCGCCACCAGCGGCAGACTCTCCCTAGTAGCCATGGACTCCTGGTTGTGAGAATGGAATATGGATCTTCTTCGAATGTGAGGAGGAATATTTTTGACAGGATTCCAGGAGGGAGGGAATGAATAGGCAAGTTGGGTTCAGGGATGGCTTGCGATTGAGTATTGAGGATGAGAGATTCCTCCGCATTAGTACCTAGAGAAGCGCAATATTCGTTAGCAGCAGCACTGATAAAAGTATGATTTCTCATTCTCACATCCTGTCATCGTCATCTTGGCCAGACACATGTGTTTCTCCTCTTCTGATGGCGTTCATGAGAGAAGTTGTCATTTGGGCGTCGTGATATTGATTCACAGCAGTTTTCCTGGGTGTGGGATTGGATTTGGCGACACTGACACGTTCAAGTGCACCGTTGAGATCGGGAAGCTTGAACTGGTAGCAGAGGAAACTGAGAACTTAGTCATTCCCAGGCTACTTGAGATGAGCAGATGTAGCTGCAGCAGCACCAGACCAGGTGTTGCCCAAACAAAGAAGGAAGTAGGTGGGAGGCAATGAAGCAACAGAACGGAGTGAGAACGAGATCATAAATGAAAATAAGTAAGGGACCCTTGATCTCGAACCACCATGTGGTCGAGTACTTGTATTCAACATACCAACAAGGATCAGATGAACGCTGAAGAGCCTACACTCCTGCACTGGAAACAATACTTCCTCACTCGTGTGGACTCTCACTTCACCTAAAAACCATACGTGTATATTTGAAGTCCCATCAGTATATGCACGAAAAATGCAGTCATCGTGCTGCCTTTCTCTATCATGTGAACCCATGTCATCACGTGTACAGCCTCTACCTAGAGACCGAAGACACTGTGCTTCACCCTACCCATACCTACATATCTCAACCAAGGGATTAACCCCGAGCTGCACGAGCGAGTTATCGAACTTACGTACCCCATACAGAACAGTTGAATGATAACCAGGAAAATGATGACTAACAACTGTACAGCTGGCCTAAGCCACCGCACAGACCCAATCCTGCAAAAATATGCCCTCACCCAATACAACCACACCCCGTTAGCTTGATGCTAACCTCCAAGCGACGGATTTCCAAATAGCTACCCCTGACGAGATTGCCTGCCGAGGATATCTGAGCAAACCTGCCTCCCTCCTCCAAGGCCTACACTTTAACGTGACTGCCATACATGGCCCATCTGTCCTCCTAGGCAAAGACAGTGAGTAAACGACCAAACCAAAAAAGTGACCCTTGCTAACGACTACCAACCTCCCCCAGGAGTGCCACACACTGTACAAATACCCTCCACGAACAGTTACTCTTACCACCCGCAACCTGAACCGCCCCCACCCCCTATGCTTGCCAATACCAACATACATCCTACCAAACAGCAAAGCCATCTTCTCGAACGTGGACTTGCTAACATCGCACGAACTACTGTTAAGACAAGGTAAGGACATCCCTAAACGCACAAGCCCACCCTAACCACTCAACAGGCTATCTGGACACGCGAGACAACACTGAACGTGACGAAGAACACTCCCCTACTACCGAAGACACTACCTTGATGTCTGCCCCCCACCACATATATGTCCCGGATACCCCTCCTCAGGCCTCTAGCCCTCCGCTCATGCAGCCACCTCTGCCCGTGCAACCACCTCTGCTCATGCAGCCAACTCCACCAGCTGGCCATACACCGACTAACCACATATCCTTCACCCCTGCTCCTGCCAGCGGCTTCCCAAAAGTCCAAGGTTGGACCAAAGATGCCACCTGGTTCAACCTCTCTAGTACAGTTGAAACAAGCCGGACAAACATCACCATGCCGAAATGCTACTTGTAAGTAGCGAACCTGTCATTTCCAGGGGATCATGTCACTCAAATCTCAGACAAACTTACCAATGCCATCCTCAGCATCACCGGAAACCCAGACATCATGCTGTCACCGCCCGTCCTAACCCGAGGAAAAGCATATGGAGAGAAGGAACCCTATACTGAGAATCACATCAACCCCTTCCTCTTCTGCCTATCGAACATCACTGAGCACGAGCAAGACTCTCTACTATCCCAACGATGCTGGTCATCGGACATTATCACCTTCTTTGCCATCACAACGAATCCAAAGCCGTACTCCTACCTCCTCATGCTCCACAAACTCACCTACCCTGACACAGATGCTGGGGCTGAAGGGGTCTGCAAAGTGGTCAGAGCTGCACTAAGGCACTCTCCCAACATCAGGACCTTTATCACAACCAACCGGGATGCCCTCTCATCTACCCTAACAACTGATGAAGCGCTTGAGGTTGTCGTATCCTCTGTCCGAGCCAAAAAGCTGGACATCATAGTCACCGCAGGTCGAAAGGAACGCACCTGGGCAATCTATGCTAAACCCCCCACGGACATGTTCAACTTCCACTGGCCCTGGCGCAACCTCATCGTATCCCTCCCCTTTGATGCAGCTATAGCAACACATGGTGTGGGCATCCCCTACCCCAAGGACCACAGATGTAATATCTGTTATGCTGTTGACCACCCGACCCCACTCTGCCCATTCCCCCTCATACTGGGATGGCATGGACCCTCTCTCCTGACAAACAGTCGAGCCACTGAGACCAAAGAGGAGCCATCAGCACTGCAAGTACTAGATATCCATCACACTCCAGCACAGGACAACCGTGGAGGGTGAGGCTGGGGCCTACGTGGTGCACCCAGAGGAGGCCGAGGATATAGAGGATCGCGAGGTGCTCTGCACCCCCTCTTCAGCCTGAACTACTAACGTTAAAATGTTGATGTATCATACTTTCATACCTACCTATCTCCCCATCCATTGGACAATCCAAAAAGCTATCTGTTAGCACGTTTCCTGTAGCCAAAAATATGTTATATACCATACTTTCCAAACAATGACACTTGCTGCTTGAATCTCGAAGATATGAATAAAAAACTATAATGTCGAAACAAATGTCCAAATGAAATGAGTAATGCTGATATGACACTACTAAACAGTTCCATGAATAATATGCCCCTCCCTCCTAACAACCCATCCCGGAACATAACAAACACCAGCCTCTAAATACTTCCTAACCCAAACCTCAATGCAATGCCCAAAGGGAACCTCTACATCTCTGATGCAGGCACAAACCACCATCACCTCATCACCATATGAATGTGGGAAAACCACATCAAAAAAGATGTAAGAGCCATGCATATGCCCAAAACGACCAACTATGCTGACCCCTGCCATGGTCGCAACAGAAACTGATACACCTGGCCTAATTCTCTTGCCCAAAGACCCTAGTCGGGACACCAGCATAACCTCGTCTGCATGATAATATCCACCACTGCGCTGTAGATATGCATGCCCCATAACGATAGGGAGTGGAGGTGGAGTAAAGGGAACCACCGATGCAGAGCTAGAAACGACAGGCTCCGCTGGAGAAGAAAAGACTCTGCGCCAGATAAGAATAACCCATGCCTAATGCCAAGCAACCAAACTCGAGTAAGTACAATCCAGACAATGGCCAAACAACATACAATGAACTCCTGCACCCAGACATTCATTGCCAAAAACACGACACCGCACATACGAACAAGTCGAGAAATATAAAAACAGATGGAGATGAGAGTGACGATCAAAAAGACAGAATGAAAATACGATAAAAAGAACAAATGTGTGGATGCCTTTAAAAGCCCAGAAGGATGCAGGGCAAAAAAGACACTTAACATGATCATGTCAACATAGAGAAACCATAATGCCTACACAACCTCAGAAAATTTCTTAAGAATGTTCAAAACATAATCACAATGACTAAACAGAAAAAATACTCCGACACGGCTGGACTACAACTATCATGACTAAAATAAAATGACATAAAGCCGCATAATGCAATAACGTCGGAGAAAATTAAACATAACTAGACTGCTCTAGTTCATGCCACACAATAAAAATATGTCTAGACACCCTATTCTCCATTATAACATGACAGCAAATAATATGATAACATTAAATGACAAATTAAACAATCTAGGCCCAACGACCCTCTGCCACTATGACTACCACTAAAATAAATAAATAAAAAAGAAGCAACTAACAAGTATTAATATATTAATCAAGCACATGGAACAATCTCATAGTTGCTCCTTTGCATAAATACAACTAACAAAAACAAGAGCACTCTATTAACAATAAAAATAAAAAACATCCAACTATATGCTCAACAATCACACCCATAAATAGTCCACTATAAATAAATATTAAACAACCAACTATAGCCAATAATATAAGTAAAACACATCTTATGGCTACAACACACAATGCACACCCTCTAACTCAACTCTATTTCAATGAGATTAGAAAATATGTCCTAACGCCTAACTACTGGCTGAAAGGATGAAATAGAACCAAATGGTAACCTATTTAGGTTGGGATATACCATGCTGCAGCCCAGCTTAAATCTTCCCCAGCTCTAGCTAAAGTCGCTAGTTGTGATGCTAGATCTGTAAAACTCCAACTACAAATACTAATATTAACAAAACCCCTTTACAATTGGTGCAAAGAACTGGTCATGGTATATGCCTCTCCCACTCCCAAGGGATTGATAATATTCCTGTCTATTCCAATTCTAATGAAGGAATGAGAGAGATCTGCGACAGGCAAACCTCATCTAGATTACATACTTCAGAAGAAATTGAGCCACCAGTATATCAAAAAATATATTGTAATAACTCAAAAGACCCTGAAAGATATGCCTATCAAGAAGAAAATGAACTAATACATAACAATGGAAACATTAGTATGTACACCTCATCAGAGAAGTTATCGTACTCCTCAAAAGAGTCATCGTGCTCTAAAAATACTCCACTACACAATAATAGTGATATTAATATTCCTACAATTGAAAAGCCATTAAACAATGCCACAGAGCCATCTCACTCTACTACTAACTTACAAAGCCCACAAATGGAGCTACTAAACCCACAAAACGAAATACAAAGCCAAAAAAATCAGCAATCTTCAACTGGAACTAAAGTTCTTTAAAAAAATCAAATGAATAAAACTAAAAAGAATACCCATGCATGTATTAAAATTGCCTCTCTCAACATGAAAGGACGAGGACATAATAATGTACTAAATGATAAAAACAAATGGAAACAAGTAAATGAAATTCTCTGTGATGATAAAATCGGAGTTCTAGCTCTCCAAGAAACACACTTAACTGATGAACATGTAAATGACATCCACAATATATACAACAAACGCATGCATATATATCACTCTGCAGATCCACAGCAACATAATGCTAAAGGTGTAGCAATTATATTAAATAAAGAAATAACAAATATTCAAGATGTCAACTACTACAACATTATACCAGGAAGAGCAATAATGATAAAACTACCCTGGCATAGCACATTAACAATCACAATACTAGCAGTATATGCTCCAAATGATCCAACTGAAAATAAGCAATTCTGGGAAGAACTACTGCAAATATGGAATGAAAAAAATCTTCCAATTCCTGACCTTATGCTAGGAGACACCAATATTATAGAAGACATGATTGACAGGCATCCATGTCATAATGATAACACAAATGCTACAAATGCACTCTCCGAACTTAAATGTCTTTTTCAACTTAAAGATGGCTGGCATGAAACAAACCCAACCTCAACTGCATTTACATATATGCAAATACCAACAGGATCTCAATCAAGAATTGACTGTATATATATAGCTAATGAACTCATCTCCTCATGTCGAAACTGGAATATAAAAACAACACATATACCAACAGACCACAAAATGATTTTGGTAGAACTAACTGATCTAAAGGCCCCATATATTGGCCATGGTAGATGGACAATGCCATTATATCTATTGAAAAATAAAAGCATGATGGAAGAAATACGAAATCTAGGAATAGAATTAGAAACACAAATAGAGAAACTGGAATTTAATAATCGAACAGAAACAAAAAATGCACAAACATTTTATAAAGAATTTAAAACCCAAATGACTAATACAATTAGAAATCAAGCACGCATATCAGTACCTAAACTGACCCAAAAGATAATGCAGCTAGAAGGACAACTAGATCGGACCTTGAATGATAAAAATCTAGATAATGAAGAAAAAACCTTGTCAGCAGCACTAATTCAAGAAAGAATTATTGAACTTCAAAAACAAAAATACAATACAAAGAACATGAAGTCTAAAGTAAAAAACCATCTCTATGGTGAAACAATAAGTAAATACTGGATTAATCTAAATAAAACTAAGAAACCAAGAGACACTATATATGAACTAAAAGACCCTAGCTCACCACCTGACAAACCAATATACAAAAGAAAGACAGCAGAAATGGTAGAAATTGCAAAAAACTATCACAATAACATACAAACAACAGATATATCTACTACCAAAGATGATCTGATATGCAATGAAACTATAATAAAGATTGCACAAAATCTCAAAAATAAGATAACAGAACCTCAAAAACAAGAGCTAGGAAAAAAAACACAACAACATCAAGTCCAAGAAGCAATAAACATGGCTGCAAATGATGTTGCAGCAGGTATTGATGGTCTCCCTAATGAGCTAGCAAAAACACTCCTTATACGCTATAAAGATGATAAACTAGCAGGAAAACATGCATTTAATATCATTAAAACTCTAACAAAAGTATTTAATGACATTGAAGAATATGGTATTATTGAGAATACAGAATTTAATATGGGATGGATGTGCCCAATATACAAAAAGAAAGATCATAATAACATCATTAATTACCGTCCAATAACACTACTGAACAGTGACTATAAAATACTCACAAAAACACTCGCAATAAAACTTGCAAATATTGCACCAAGTATAATACATGAAGACCAAGCAGGATTTATTAAAGGCTGAAACATATTTGATCAAACAATGCTATCTAAACTAATGATTCAATACTCTGAAGCATCTGAACAAAATGGGGTAATTATTGCTCTTGATCAAGAAAAAGCATATGACAAAATAGCTCATGACTATCTATGGGAAACAATGTCAGCATATAATATCCACCACCACTTCATCAACACTGTCAAATCACTTTATAATCAAGCAAAAACAATTGTAATTATAAATGGAGAACTAAGTCAACCATATATAGTAACTAGAGGAGTATGACAAGGTGACCCCTTATCATACTTACTATTTAATATTGCAATTGAACCATTAGCATGTATGCTACATAACTCCAACCTTCAAGGTATTCATATTCCAGGATCAGTAAACAACCTTATCACAAAATTATTTGCAGATGATACAACTGTTTACTTATCAGAAACTGACTCCTTTAACACACTACAAATAATCTTAAATAAATGGTGTCTAGCATCAAGAGCTAAATTTAACATAAGCAAAACTGAATGTGTACCAATTGGCACTAAAGAATTCAGAGAAACATTCTACAAATCAAGACAACTAAACAGCTTTGATAGCAAAATACCTCAAAATATACATATAGTCCAGGATGGTGAAGCAGTACGCTCCTTAGGCTGCTGGATTGGAAATCATATCAAGGATGCAACCCCATGGACCTCAATAATAGAAAAAATTGACAACTCATTAGTGCAATGGAATAAAAGCCACCCAACATTAGAAGGACATAGCTATATTATCCAACTAGTGATAGGAAATGGAACACAATTCTTAACAAAAGTCCAAGGTATGCCCAACCATATTGAGGCTATCCTCATCAAAAAAATACAAAACTTCATGTGGAATAGTACAGGATCCCCACCAGTCAGCTTAGAGACTCTCTATAAACCAAAAGACCAAGGAGGCAAACAGCTACTAGATCTACATTCTAGAAACAAAGCAATTACATTAATGACACTTAAATCACTGCTATGCAACAACTCTAATCATGCAACCTGGCAAAATGTTGCTCATGCCTTATATGCAATGAATGTATCATACAAAGATCGGAAAATAGATGATGAAACAAAAACAAATATGTTCCTCCAGACATGGAATACAACCACAAAGAAAACTAACCTTTCAAATGAACTAATATAAATAGCAAAATATGCTAAAGAATATAATCTCAAGATTGATGCATGAACTCTTACGAATGAAGCAAAAGGTAAAATGCCACTATGGTACCACAGCGCAACTTCAAAAAAAACCAATAGAATAAATAATTCACTACAAGCAAAATGCCTCCGAAATAACCATCAAATACATCTGGTAGGAGACGCAATGAACACAATAGAAAACCAACCCAACTCCCATAAAAAATCAAACAATAAATGTAAATGCAACAAATGTAAACAAGATAGACTGAAAGGCTGCATCAACTCTGCTAAATGTCTAGCAACAATTAAAAAGCTTTTAAATGATCTACCAGCACATTGGAACCCCCAGAACAAGAATAGACAACAAATTAAAATAGACTCAAATGAGAACACACAAGATGAAAACAGTAATACTATAAAAATCTTTAAACATGAACTACCAACATCAAATAACATATATGATACACTACGTATATTTACAACCGCAGAAGACAACCTGTCTGAAACATGTAAAACAAACCAAACTAAAGACAATATTATAACAGTATACACAGATGGTGGATGCCAATTAAATGATGATATAAATGCTCAAGCAGGAAGTGGAATCTGGTTCAACAAAGACAACAATATGAATATAGCATGTAGAGTCCCAGGTCTTAATCAAAGTAATCAAACAGGTGAACTATATGCTGTAGAATATACAGCATGTAAAACCTCGAAGATACATCAACTAAAAATAGGAACAGACTCCAAATATACAATAAATACTATTACCAACTCACTCTCATACTTTGAAGATAAAGGATGGGTTGGAGTTGAAAATGCCTATGAAATCAAAAGAGTAGTTGCATGGTTATGACACAGAGGTTCAGATACACTTTTTGAATGGATAAAAGGACATGCAAACAATATTGGAAACAATGAAGCAGATAAATTAGCAACAATAGGACAACAAAGGACAGATAACCCTAAGATAAATCTGCAAACACCCTATATATCTGAACCTTCAAGGTGCAAAACTATCCTGTCTAACACAAGCAATTACATATAAAACAATCTGCCAACAAAAAATAACAAAAGAACGTAAATCAACTATGATTAATCTTGAAATAGCCCGATATGCTGCAAATGACCTTAGCAGCCACCTACCAACAGATAAACGTATATGGCTATCAATAAAAAATAAAGACATAACAAGAACCATACAAAACTTCTTATGGAAAAATATACACAATGCATACAAATGTGGAAAATACTGGGACAACATCCCCAACTATACATATCGAGCAACGTGCATTAAATGTACAGCAGATGAGTCACTCGAACACATTTTAATAGATTGCAGACAGATTCCAACACAAGATATCATCTGGAAACTATGTGAACAACTATGGGAAAAAACTGGAAACAAATGGCCACAAATCTCATATGGAAAAATCCTTGCCTGCGGTCTTGCACAATTTCGAAACAAAAACAACCAACCCCTACATGGAAAAAACAGGTTATACCATATTCTAATATCAGAATCTGCTGCTCTAATATGGAGACTTCACTGTGAACAAAGAATTAGCAAACAAGATGATGAAACAAAATGGCACTCTAAAGTAGAAATCCATAACTGCTGGGTATCCTGCATCAATCAACGACTATCACTAGACTGCCAAATAGTAAAAATACAGAAAAATGAAAAACATAATCTAAACTCTAAAATAGTACTCCACACATGGAGTGGGTGTTTAGAAAATAAAGAGAAGTTGCCTGACAATTGGATAAGGCAACCCAGGGTTTTAGTGGGTATACCATATCATAAACAAGATGGGAGCCCCACACAAAGTGCGTAACACATTTCCCTGGGGTGGCTCTAAAATAGAGGTGAAACTCCTCAAAAACCAGCTTGAACCTCAGACTAACGTTGTTAGTTGTGGGATTCATAAGGCTCCACCAAAAAAATAAATAAATAAATAAATGAAAATAAGTACTATTGAACGGAACGGAATGGCAGGGCCAGATGTCATGCTATTTGGCATGCTTCGTTGAGCCAAACAGCTGGGAAAATGCCGGGGCTTCGAAGATCAAGAGATCCGATCTCTACGCTTTACTTGGCGAATCAAGCTAAGCTTCAGGCCTCAGGCCTCAGGTCCAATGTCACCTTGAACACGACTTTCATCTGCGTCACTGTCTGCCATAAACTCGTGCCTGTTTCGATCGGTCTCCAGCTTTCAAGCTCAATTGCGTCAAGCTCACTGCCCGAACACAGCACTTTTAAATTTCCTTGCGACAAGCCCCTCAATCCGCTCAGCTCACTAATGATGAGCGCTAGCCCAGGTTTGTTGCAGTATAAGATACATGAGTAGTGGTGGTGATCATCCAGCAAACCATGGAGCAAGTAGCCTAAATCGAAGGGAGGAAATCAACAATATCTTGGCGCGGTGAAGAGGCTGGCTGTGGGCACCTGTGGAATAGTGAGCGGGCTAAAGGGTGAACCTCAAAAACCCACACACACACTCACACAACTACACAAACTACAATCACCCTCGTAAGTTCTAGGGGGAGCGATTATTTCTAATGCGATCCAACTATACTTCAATATCTCGAAGAGTTTCTCTTATTCTCAGTGCTCTTAGCAAAGCTAAGCTTTCTCTAATGACTTCTTAAGTCTAGGAACTTTTTACAGGAAGGTCGTTCACTGGCGTGACGCAACCTTCAAGGCAGATTTGAGTTATAATACACAAGGGACACTGATCCCAACAGAAACAGAGGCAATACATGCCAAAACTTTAGTGAGCTCGCTAAAAGAACACCACAGGCAAGCACTGACTTAGCCCACTCACTACACAACTGTATGCAGGGGTTCTCCAACTAACTCCAGCAGGTTATCTCGACTCAAGAACACTTCAGAAGCACTCGGAAAACAGATTCAGAAACAGAACTTCGACAGAACTGACACGGAACAGACTGAAACAGAACAGAACAGAACAGAACAGAACAGATCTCAGATTTCCACTTCAACACATTCTCCGAACAGACTTATCACACTCAACAGAACAGAAACAGCGTCACTGATTCGTATTCACTCTGACTAAGTTCTCAAAAGTCTTATCAAAAGGGTATCTTGTATTTCTCTGAGTGAGCTCGCTAATTCTATGCACAGCTCGAAGTCACAAACTGATCCTTTGTTACAGTACCGCCTTCAACGCATGCACGGGAACTCGGGGGCTCGAAACTTCGCCTCTACCTACTGTAACCAGCCTACTTATACTACAGGGGAATTAGAATTACAAACGTCGCACAGTACCCAGACTCCTACATGCATAGCATGTTGCCACCGCTGCCTTACTGAGCATCCAAGTCGGACTTCCCAGTTTTAGTCTCATTTCTATAGTGAGCTCGCTAAACACATGCCAAGAGGTGCTCTCCCGACACCCGCAGGCTCGTTCTCTAGCAACCGACAGGTCTAGGCACATGGAACTATCAGTTCTGGCGTATGTCGTTCAGGACTTCTTTCTTGGATTCACAGAGGCTTCTCATAGACACAGCAACAAGTGAGTCTTCGAACAATGGGACTCAGAACAATGGAACGTGGGCTCACGGACTTCGGCCGAAGCCCATTGCCCAAGCTTGTGCCGGTGATATCTGTCAGCTCGCTTAAGGATTTCCCCGGATTTTCAGGTACGGCGCATCACAGTTAGCAAGCGCGCTAAGTGTTCTCAGTGCCAGTGCAATCTTCAAGGTTTTATCTAGCTCCCGCGAGTGTGCTTGTAAGTTAGAGCCTAAGGCATTGGGTATAGGGTTTGGCCTTCTCATCACGCATGCCCATCAGGTACAGTGCTGTGACTAAGTCCTGTTTAGAATCCCGTTGCTTCTTATGCCATAAGTTATATTCCATGTCATTGCACCGCGTAGCATTAGTGTCGATGCGTAGTTTTAGTCCGCTCACTCACTATCTCTCAGTATGCATGTAAAACACTCTAGATTGCAAAATTACACGCGTAAATAGGCTGCAGTCGCAACAGCGGAGTGCGTCTTTTCTCCTACTGTTTGCTATACCTAACTCCCTCAAAGAGCACTAAACGTCTTCATTCCCATTCTCAAATCCAAACGCCCGTCAATTGAGCAGACAACACGAGAGACCCAACCGACTGGCACAAACTCAACATGTACTACCCTCCCACTCTCATCTTACTTCGCCACCCGCGGCTTCATCCCTGAATAGGGCCACCGCCTCGTTGCGGGCATGGAATGCGATGCAACGGTTTATCCCTTCCCCAGCTCTGACATCTGCTAGTACGATCCATCCTGATCTGTCGTCCTCCACCCTGCGACCTCTCTGTGCCGTTACGAGTATTACGGGAGGGTACCGCTGGCGTTTTTGGGCGCCGTTCTCTGTTTTCACCTGGGTGGCAGTTCATCGTCATCACGCTGGCAAGCCGAAGGTGGATCGAAGCGGGGTACTGACGTCAAATGCTATTGAGTTTAGACTCGGAGTCGGTGGTCCTGCATTCGATGGATATTATATTTATTGATTTTCAAGGCCAATGCTTATATCCATGATCAAAACGAGGTCCGCGTCAGGCTCCGTTCTCCGGTATTGCACAAACAAATCACGCTTGCTCTCCGTTTCGAGTCTGGTTGAACAATGAAAGGCCTCGATAGGAACAAAAAAAGAAAGATTTCTTTGTGGTGCCAGCGCTTTTGCTTGGAGAGTTGAACCAAGCAAGAGTGTCAAAGCACGGTAGTAGCCGGTACACTACCGTGAAGTAGGTGTAAGGGTAAGGACTTCCCACAGATTCAGAGCGGTATATTCTCCTGTATAAGCAGAACCAGAAGTTGTGAATGGCAAAAGCTCCTGAGAAGATCCTCATTAATCTTTGCGCGCTAGAGATGTTATCTGTGTCGTCATCGCGAGCTGTGGTACGTTTGCCTCGAAACCCCTCCACCAAGAAACCTATCAGAACGAAGCTTTCACTCAAACGCATAGGGGTTGAGCCAAGAGCGTGTTCAATAACATGATAGGTAGCATTTTTCAGCTAGTGCTCGTCCCGGCCACCATTCCTGGGGTCTGTGAGGATTGTTATAATGTTCAGGTCGACGCGTCGGATAGTCGTGCGCGTCCAGGGTGGGAGGGCAGTGTGCGATGCGGAGTAGACGTCGAGTGTGTGCTGTTTTCTCGCGTGTTTAGTAATCCTGTTCTAAATCTGTGGGAGGTCCTTACCCTTACACCTACTCCATGATAGTGTACCGGCTAGCACGTGTACCTACCATGCTTTACCGCTCTTGTTTGGTTCGACTCCAAGCAAAAGCGCTGCGTCAAAGGACCAGCGTGGATTTTTGGTGCAATATTTATTAGGCCGGACAACGAAGGCTGAAGCGCAGACGTTGATCGGTGCCTTCAAGAGTCAGCTGTACGAGTCCTCATATTGATATATTGACACTGGAAAACGATATACATGAATACGGGATCGCTCACGCGCATTTGATACCGGCGATCTATTTCTCATCCTACCAGTGACGAACTCCACCCCTGGGTGAATACGGGGAACGTCCCTCCCAGCGACACACAGTAAGAGCCTAACCGGGCCCATGAACAACCCCTCTGCTTGGTGTCTCTGCAATATGTTCAGCACAGAGAGATTCGATACGGGGTTGGCGTTGCAGGGTGGAGGAGGACAGATTGAGGGTGGATCGCGGCCGAGAAGGTAGATGTCAAAGTCGGGGAAGGGATGAAGGAGGCCGAGTCTGTGCCAGTAGCTTGGGCCGTATTGCTTCTCGATCAATCCGCGATTGGATACGAGCATTTAGTGCTGTTTGAAGAGGTCAGTTATAGCAAAATGTAGGAGAAATTGAAGACGTACTCGGTACCAAAATATCTCCCCTTAGATCAGGGGCAGAGCGATAGCTTGCAAGTTACTATTTGCCCCCATTACTCGTGCGTTTTATACCGCAAAGCAGCCTGGCCTCGTCCTCAAGAGGTGCACAGGATGACATTGGTGAGGCGTCTCGCCGGGAAATAAAGCTAGCACGCAAGGAGGACAGAATGTTACGGTGTTCGAGTGAGCTTGGGATGTTCGAAACGAGCATGAGTTAGACGCCGATGAAAGTCGTGTTCAAGGAACCGAGGCTGAAGCCACGTAGCTATTTTGGCGTTTTCTCCCGTGTCTTTAATCTCTGTTTGTGTATTGGTTAGAATGCGCGCGAACTGGGTTCGACTCCTGGTTAGAGAATGCAACGTGGCAACATCACTAGATATGTTCTTTTTCACTCCTCTACAGACGAGGTATTAGAGCCTGATGTATGATAGACCTGCATTGGCCATTTTGCATCTTTCATAACGTAGGGATCTGAGCATGGAATGATAAAGCCTGGTGTGTAGAGAGGTTCGGATCATACCATAGCTAACGACTGCATATCACGTTCGGCGAAGATTTGAAGGGCTGTATCGTATGATGAGTTTGCTGAGAGGGTCATAGCTTGTTGTTCAGGCTGAGGAACAGGAACGCGAAGAAAATGCGAGGTGTCACTGATTCACCAGGACGCTATTGAGTGATTTTCATTTTTCTGTCGTATACTTGTGATGGTCCTGTATTTGATAGGTAGAGGTGCTACTGTATGTAAGTCGATGTTCAGATGGGAAGGAGTCGAAAAGGGATAGGTTGTGACCGTTATGTGACTTGGTTTCTTGAACTTCACTACCGTCCCGTAGGCTCGGGTTTGCGTTCAGTATACACAATATTTGTGTCGACATGAAAACCCATCCCCAACATTATGCGTTCCTTCGTGTACCAATTGCACGGGGGTAGTACAGAACTTACAACGCCTCTTATCGCCTGAGTCACCGGACCACAGCTCAAGCGCTCACTCTGTCATAATCATTGCAGATGAGGAAGACTCCCTTGCAGTGTAAGATGCACAAGAGGGCATCCAACAGGAGCCAGTCGCACTGAGAAGAAGCAGACGGTGTCTTGCTGTCGGGTACGTCCTTTTCCTTCCGTTTTATTTACCACTAATATCGCTCATAGGCAGCATTCATTCCCATCCTCAAATCCAAATGCGCGTCAATCGAGAAGACCACACGAGAGACCCACCAATACGGCCCAACCGGCCGACACATGCTCGACGTGTACTACCCTCCCACTTCGCGTCCCAATACCCCGATCCTCGTTTTTTCATACGGCAGTGGGTTCTACATGGGTGCACGCACGCTCCCCGCCCCCGCGTTCATCATCTACCACAACCTCGCCTCCCGCGGATTCATCACCGTTGTCCCCGACTACGGCCTTGTCGACTCTGGTGTGTGGTTTCCTGGCGCAGCGCAGGACGTGCAAGATGCGATGCAGTGGGTCGTGGATAACCTCCCTTTTACTGATTCGTCCTCGGCCGCTCGGTGGGGGCGATGAACATGATCACCATCCGGGAACCTTGCAGCCTTGTATCAAAGACGCGGTCCTCTTTCGTCCAAACACGGTTGAAGATATGCCAGCGGATATGAAGAATTCTGTCAGGTTGTACTATGAGGGAGATGATGAGGCGACACAGAGGGTGCCATTGGCGTTGTGGGAATCAGTGAGTGCCATGCAGATCGGAAAAGGAAGCATTGCTCACCCGACGAGACACTTCTCGATGATCCTCATTCGAGTCAAGCACCAATCTTGCAACGACGTTGACAACGACCCAAATGGTGCGGAGTGCGTCTTTTCCTCTACGTATTTCAACGGCGGCGACGAGGACCATCATACTGTGATGGAGGGCCGAGGAGGGACGTGAGGAAGGGCCTGTGCAACGGAGAGCAGGCTAGGGAGATGCAGAGAGGCGGGAGAGGACGAGCGAGACGGCGGGACAAGACCGGACCACCGACGATGGACAATGACAGCGACGACAGCGCCCTTTTGGGCATTGACAGAGTGCTTGAGGGCACGACGAACGTGCCCAAGATAACTGCCGTACGACCACTACCCCGCCCATATTCAACATGGGCCTATCCCGCTCCACCCAGGCATCCCGGGCGTCTCAAATTCGTGCATCCCTCATTCTTTGGGCAGGTGAACACAAATTCATCGTGCACTAGTCTCCCCGATCCCGCCATCGTCGTGCGTCAGTTCTTCATCCCCATCCCCGGCTCTCCCGCCCCATATCAGCCCCTACAGTGGCTCTATCGCCCTTGGGTCCTCACCCCACCCCCGTTTTCGACACCGTGGAACATGGTGGTGATGTCCTTTTCCTTCCCTGAGCCTGCTGTCGCTGTGGGCCCGATGCCAATCGCAGTCTGGATACACGGACTCGTATGTGCCGTGGCTTGCCAGCGGCCGGCCTTCCAAGTTCTCTCAGCATCGATAATTTGTCTTGATGACACATATACCTAGTCATTTCTGAGCCAAGGAAGAGTGTTTCGAAGGCAGAATAACAAGAAAACCACGTGAATCCTATCGGAAAGAAAGCATTGCCGGCAAACTATAGAAACGGCTTTTAACAAAGATACGACCGCGACTCAGCATGTTTGATTTGAGATCACTTCTATCTCATTCACTGCGATTCCCGTCATGCATAGAATGCATCTACAGCGCTCGTGTCGACTCCATCCTGACTTGTGGTGCCCAGATTGCCATTGTTACGACAGACAGCACACTCCGACACCTGGAGAAAGTTCAGCTCACATTTCTCCGTCGCCTTCTCCATGTACACAAGCGATCCATGACTGCGGTCTTATTCTCAGAAACCGGATTCACGCCAATACGTTATCGCAGAGTGATTCTCGCCCTTCGATATCTGCTGAGGCTCCTGGCGGGACGCCAGACCACCTCGAAGCTCGCTCCTCTTGGGATTGATGCGTGCAGAGCTCTATGGTACCAGAATAAGTCAAATTGGCTGGGGGATATTGCTACCGTGCTACAAAGCTTGTACCCGCCTATCGCAATGGATATCGATAATTTGTGCTCTCCCAAACGAGTCAATGAGATCGTGACATCGGTAGATGCCATGTGGAAAGATCAAGGGGGTACCGGAATTCTAGCCCGGCACACCGGGTAGGTAGGTTGGTTGGTTGGGCCGTGAGGCCAGAAAAAAAAGTTGACCCCCCTTTCAGGGATCTGAAAATGGACTTTTAGCACAAAATATTGACCATATATGATACAAAATATACTTTTCAGTATAGAACTTACCTTAGGACCTAACATCCAGTGATATGGACAGACAATATTAATTAATGGTGTTGCGAGCACTGCCGATATGACCCTGCTTACTGGACATGACGATGTCAGACTTCCTATTGAAGCGATTTTGCGATCCAGACATGATAACATGCAGATTGTATTCAAAATACTCATACCATTGATAATAAAGCTATTTCTGGCAAGATCCGAGCAAAATTGTGTCCAGAGATCCTCAAAAGTCCCCAAATTGGGTAACATGATGTCAGAAGTAGTGTTGCCATGGCTCGACTTGACTCGGCTCGACTTCAGATGACTCGGCTCCAGGATGACTCCGAAGTCAAATGAAATTGTTGACTTCAGCTCGACTCGGCTCCAAGTCACTGAGCTTTGCCGAGTCATTGATTGCATACCCAAATAGGAAGGTGCAAAAAGTAAAATTCAGTAGCAGACTTCTGATATGCAAAGATAGTTCCAAATATCTGTATTAATGCAGATGTTTGCAATAGGAACCCTTCTCTAAAACATTTTGGTGTATACAGGTAAGGGGGACAGGAAGCTTGTTGGTGCCGGGTGTAGGGTGGCAAAAGTCTGGTCATTTAAGCATTATTTTCTCATGTTACCTAATGTGGACACCCACCTGCTGCTGGTCAGTATATTCACACCAAAAAAAGTAAAATTTCAGCTAGGTTTCGGGAGATTAAAAACTAAAATTTACCACGCCAGATCTAGGGCTGCGCACCGTACCGTACACGGTATACGGCCATAAAGTCGCGGTCTCAGTCGGTTACGGAAACATCCGTATACCGTACCGTCAACTAAAATCTCAAGCTTCATCGGCATCGGTACGGATACCTTACGGCCGTCGACGGCCGTTTACGAACGTACATGTAGACTTAAATATGTATATTCTCATAACCTACTCATTTAAAGCCTTTTTAATAGCACAACGTTCACGATGGAGACGCTGTTTCATAAGCATGAGAACACGAATTGTCTCTGGCTTGAGACTCGCACGTCTAAGGGAGATGGTGTCTCGACCACCAGAGAAGATACGCTCTACGGCAACAGCAGATCCTGTAAATAGAACATCATTAAGAAATAGTCAACCAGAAGCAAAATTTACATACCAGGAATTGATAGAATATCCCGTGCAAGGTTGAACAGGTTCGGAAATTCGCCTCGCTTGTTGAACCACCATTTGACAGGACTGCAGGAACTAAAATCTTCACGTGGAAGGTTAAAGTATGCCGTGAGTTCATCGACAACTGCGGTCTTCTTCCGGTATCTCGAGGTGAAATCAACCTTCTGGGGGGAGCCTTGAGGGTTTAATAAGGCAGCAGTAGGAGGAGTTGGGACGGCAGGTTGATGGGATGAAGGTACTCGCCCAGCATAATGAGAATTGTAGTGATCATACAGATCATGCTTCGTATCCTCGAGGTAGTCTGCCAACAGATGATCGCCCATGTAATCATCGCGCATTCCCTCGTATGAGATCCGTGGATCTAAGACTAAGAAGATATTAGTCAAAGATGCAGCAAACTGGAAACAGAGTACTTACGTGCTGCCCACGTATAGAGAGGGGACTCATCGTACTTGTAGTAATATTCACTCAACTTATTGTGTGCTGCAATGACTCCGTCTCGAAGGCGAGGGGAGATATTGTCAGGGAGAGATCGGAGCACGTCCTTGAGGTGATCCTGGAGCCCACGAAAGATAGCATGTGTTGTAGACAACATTGATACCTTTGTAGTAGACATCTGAGTTGTTGCTGAACGGAATGTCTTGAGCCATCCAGTAACGAGTTCAATGGCATTCCAATCAGCTTCGCTTAACTCAAGATGTCGTAGTTCACGGATGCGAGAGACGTAATTATCAATAACGTCACGGAAGTCTATGGCACGGCCTTGGAGCATATTAATAAATAGTCATGTAGAAACCTAGTGACCACGTACGCATCATTTGATGAGTTGATGACCAGCGGGTTGCGACGTCGAGAATAAGCATAAGAACTTGCTCTGTAGCATCCGTGGTTTCGTTCCGGTGTTCAAGGGCCATTTTAACCTCACGAAGCCAGCCTTGCTTGCGTTGAGGACTGGAACGAACAGCACGAACAATTTGACGAAGCTGATGATTATTAGAGTTGCGTATCTAGTAACAGAACAAATATGCCAGCTCATACCTTGTCAACAGATGAAAAGACATCATCTGACAAGTCACCCATAGAATATGCGAGGTCTCCACCTTCATCTGTCTCACCACCAGATTTGTACTCATCCTGGAGAGCCGCCTCGCTATCATGGCTTCGATCAACAGGCGCCGTAGCTGCATCCTGATAGTTCGAGCTTTGGCCTGTCACTTTTTTCGCAGTCTTCTTTGTGATCACACCGATAGCTTCCAGGAGCTGATGATCGCAAAATATCATTAGAAAAAGGGGCTTTCATGCTCGATCTAGCTTACCTTGATGGCCGCAAGATGAACAGTGTGAGGCATACACCGCAGGCACGAAAGCTTTTGATCAAATATAATACCTTCCTTTCTACAACGGCACTCAATCCCTTTGATAAGGGTATCATTGTTCGTCGCATTATCCATCATGAAGGCGATAACCTAAAGTTATCCTGAATACCATGAATCAACAAAGGAACGAGAGCCTACCTTATCACGGAGACCATAAAGCGTGAGCGTGTCCCAAACCGCTTCAGCCATATTCTCCCCAGTGTGACTGCCTATTAACTCACGGAAATCAATGAGTAAATCTTCTATAAAATAGTTAGTACCATATCAAAAAACCCGCACGGTACACGCACCATGATTTCCATCATTCGTAACATAATGAGCGACAGTGGCAAGGAATGCAATATTGTTGCTTGAAGTCCACGTGTCAAGGGATATACTGACTTTTCCTTCCAGTTCCTAGTGCCATTGAATACTGGAACATAACTATAACAGAACAGAAAGCGTTACCTCAAACATCTTCCGGGTCTCTTCAATGCTATCCTCACCCATCTTCATAATCCGCCTTCAGATAGCATCTCGGTGCGGGATATGAAGGTCATTAAGTGAATGGTGGTGCGCATACGACAGGAGGTTACGAAACTCAGGCCTATCAACCTCCTCGAAGGGCTGATCACATGCAACGAGCCACTCCGCAAGGAGTCTTTCGAATTTATCCTGGTCCCAATCACCCTACGACGATGGTATTAGCAGCAGGAAGATTGAAAGTAAATAACCAAACCTTAGCATCCATGGATTGCTTCTTAAAAGCGTGGATAATATTCTCTGACTCCGATTCCATCTGCTTGAGATATATCTCAGCCGCCTGTGCATCCAACTTCTTGGAGCCATTTGCGATCTCAATTTCATCTTTGAGAATAGCAGCGTTCGGTGTCTTTTCCAAACGGGCACGTAATGCTAAAAACATGCGGTACATGGGTGCCGAGCATGTCTTCAAATGACCGACAAGCCCTGTTCAAAAAATATGTCAGATCGTCGTCACAGACAAAAGAAGATGCGAGTACCATTCAAGCTTCCTTTCATGGCCTTGGTGATTGTCAGAACTTTGCGGCTACCGTGATAGCACTTGAAGTGCTTATCCCCCTTGTTTCCAGGTTTCCCCTCCGCATTAAGCGAGACTTCTTCATAGAAATAATAAATCGGATTACGCTTCCCAACCTGTGTATATGATGAGTTTGCGAAATGATACATAAATGATGATGTACATACCTTGCGTGTACGCTTCGCAGGCAGTGATGGCTGATCAGATTGGGGTGCAGAGCTAATATCGTCATCCTCGGAATCATCCTCGATGATATAGCGGCGGGCCTTCTTGGTCTTGTCAGAGATACTAGCAGTGTTTTCGTCATCCTCAATCTCTTCCACTGTAACACGCTTCCGCTTGCTCTGCACATTGTCGGGGACAGTCTTCGAGACAAGGATATCGGCAATCTATGACATCGTCAGAATAAAGAATATGAAAGAATATGTATTGGAGACGCACCTCATTGTTTGTGACTTCACGTTCTGAGTCCGACGTATCCGTGCAAGTCTCTGACTCGTCGTCGGTAGCAAAGGCACTGTCACTGGATTCTGATGCTGCGCCATCAGTTGTTTCCTCTGCGAGACGAAGATATTCAGAGTATAATATGTGATCAAGATCGACGGTACTTACTGGGTTTAGCTTGTGTCTTCCGTTTCCCTTTCTTCCTCTTGGTGCGGCGGCATGTCTTCGGTGGGACTGTGAGTTGTCCATGCTCGTCTCGCTTTTCAGCATCCAAGAGCTCCTTCAGACGTCCGCCGGTGTTCAGCCTGCGTGTTCGGCCTGCCAATGCAAACATTCAGTATATAAAGACACACAGAGAGAGATGAACACATACTCTGTCCTTTGGTAGCCACGGTTGGTCCAGCCATTGGTACATCGTCGTCTTTGTCAAAGTAAAAGTCAATTTGCGCTGCAGGTTTCAGCCTTCCATCGGTATCAAGAGCACACTGGTCAGAGGAATTAGACATCGTGAACAAAGGATAGAGAAAACGAATACCTCTCTGTCTTTTATACGCTGGATGGTCGGCCGTACCCCAGGAAGGATCGGAACACCGTCAAAATGTACAAGTGTCAGTAAAATTTCAATAAAATGTCGGCTGTCTCAGTGTAATAAGATGGGCTGGAATGGTTCGTTCATGACATCGGATAGCTGAACCAGAAGACGGCTGGAGAAAGCAAGTGACATTGACCGAGCTGGCGGCTTCTAATAGAGACATGATAGATGAATGAGGTTTAAGAAAATACATCTATATGTAAGGAATATAAAAACGGGACTGTTTGCGACGTGTCAGGAATGTGGCCAAAGGGTTTAGCCTTGTAAAACACACCTTGGTCTTCACTGGTAACAGGACTCCCTCAATGACTTTCTCAGCAGCTGGTGAGTCAAGCCAGATTGGATAGTGTCCAGGAATGGAAAGCCGACAGGTCCTGGCATCCACTGATACTCCTGTGGCAGGGTGGGCGCATAGCAACATGGGCGCTGGAAGTGACGTGTCCCAGCTATTTGCGTCAGATTGCCACATAATGGCATGATTTTTTATGCTGAACAGTAAGCCGTATTACGCCGTTAGACGGCCGTATCCGAGGACCCGTGACGGAGACGGAAGAACCGTATACCGAACCGTATGAACATCAGTTTTGGTGCTCTCGGCTTCGGCCCGTATACCGTATCACGGTTACCGATAGCCGTATTATACGGCTACGGCGCGCAGCCCTAGCCAGATCTCTGAAATCACTTTTAGAAAGGCAGAAGTCTCAGGATGTTGTTGACCAGAAATCGAGCCTGAAGCATAAAGTTTCTGCATCTTATTTTATGTGGAGAAAAATTGTACCAAAATTTAACATTTCAGGGCATGATAAATTTAAGTGAACACTTCCTAGTTTCAATACAAATTTGAAAATACCAGAAACAATACGTGTGTGGATGTCAGAAATCCACACAGAAATGCCGCATTCCAGCATTAATTTTTAGCTTATTAAAAGCAGAGTTTTCAGGAACAATTTTTTACATTATAAAATCAGTAAGTAAAATCCCAGGTTTCGCACGTGCTGAAACTTGGCTGCCTGTCACTGTCACTGGTTCTGCCACCAAGCTGCCAGTCAGCTGCTGCTAGGTTGCCACCCAGCTGCCACCAGGTTGCCATTCAGTTGCTGCTCACCTAATATATAGCTTCCTATCTTGGTCATGTGATAGTAGATCCAGAATTCGTTCATTATGTTCGTTTGGTCTGCGAGTCCCAGGAAGACGTCCACAACTTGTTCTTATCGTCTACCTGGAAGTCGAAGCCTTCCAAAGTCAGGTATGCTTTAGTGTTCAACAAGCGTTATCAGAGCAAAAGCAAACGATAGAGATGCATGCAAGGCTAATACTATAGAATTATCGAGCCTGAGTCTGATCGTGCGATCTCTTGGTCTATGCAACTTCAAAACTGACAAGTGCAGCCTTATAAATTTGATAAACTTCTTCACCGTATTCATGAAGCCAATGACCAAACGAAAGGTAGCCAAATCCAGTGAGGACGAAGTTTTCATTGATGACACATCTGATGCTTCTGAGCCAAAACTGAAATGTTCCAAGGTTTGATGTCATGTCTCTCTGCTTGGATGTACAGTGGCTGAATAACGAGATAGACCAAAAAGATTAAATATTTCAATGATGCAGACGCACAATCTACCGCGAAGGAGAACAACAAGTCATCACATAGTAAGGTATGAATACGCCATTGAATGTTGATGGTGTTGCTAATTTATCATTTTCAGGAAACAAAGAAAGTGGAAGAGTCGAAAGACAAATATGAGCCTATTGAAACCAATTCCAAGGCAAAGGTGCGCTGTCTACAGATATGACCCAACTAAGGTTAACATGCCTACTGGACAGAAGAAGGCACCTAATGACTCACAGTCTGATGCCGAAGTTGTCGTGCATGAGACATCCGATGGCGATAAATATATCGATCTTGGAAAGAAGAAGCATGTGACTATCTGAAGCTTCAAAAGCATACCACTGCTGGATATACGGGAGTTCTATGGACAAAAAGGAGACAAAAAGCCAGGTAAAAAAGGTATTTCTCTTTCAGTCCAACAGGTCTGTCCCTCTTATTGGGTTCCTGTGCAATCTTACTCACTGCTTCCAAGTGGAAAATGATCAAGAATAGTACAGATACCATTGATCGACTCTTTGCGATGTTGAACAAGTGAACATTTTGAGTAGTCAAATTTGTCTTGTAATTTTTGAGATACGTCAGAATATTAAACACCTTCAAATTCAAGTTCGCTCTTCAGCCTTTCCAAGCAACACGTACCCACTACCTTGTGAACACAACTTGCTATGACACCTCCCACAAAGTGGTGCTCCACCATGTCTGGTAAATGCGTAGATTCCAAAGGGGTATTACACTCATGCACTGCAGCCTGGCACGTGTAGCTGGTACTGCAAATCGTGAACTTGGAGACAACAGGTTCTGTATACATGTATGAGAAAGAGCTAAGCGGAATGTAAAAGAAAGAACACATACCTGCGAACTTGATCGTTACGCTCGCAGAGGCTGGCAACAGCAATAGGAATGAGCCAGTGCATCTACTTCATGTCTGTTTTGCTCTACTTTGCATCTATAAGTTCAAACTGAAATCGACGTGCTGTACAGACTGACAGACAATTCTGATACTCAAAATATCGATTTCTGGCACCTGATATTAGTATACGTTTGATGAATCAGCATCAATCGCCACTAACCGTTGATCGCTACTTCTGCTTCAACTTCCTAGCAACCCTCATGAGTTCTTCGCCTTCGATGTTGTCGAGTATGACGATGTCCTCATGAGCATCAATCGCTTCACTAACTGCTTTGGCTTCAGAGCTGACTTCGACATCTAGTAACAAGTTGAAGCTTCCCATGGAGCAGGCCTGTTGAATAACGGCAGTGATTGGCCATGCGGAAAGAAATGAATACAGAGAAATAGACATGCAGGGTCAGTCTTTACTGGATGACCAGAGTTGAACACAGACATTTAATCCTCCAAACTCATCCAGTCCGATTGATTTGCTGATAGAACATGTTCAACTGAAAGTAGAATTCTACTTGGATGTGTCTAGAGTACATAACCTCATCAGTAGCATACTGCCAATTGGGATGTATGTGTGGGAGGATCTCACACAGCTGATGCATCTTCCACTTCTGGTTTCGCACCTCGAGACAAAACTTGGCGACTTCTTCAGGCGGTTGACAGGAAAAGAACATATCGTCCTGGAAGAACGCCTTCACAGCTTTCAAATCAGTCCTTGGGCCTCTTTGAATCCCTAAGACAGAATTCCCAAGTACGGTCTGGCTTCCATCAGTTTTACAGTTCATTCATCCTTCGTCATCCAGTACTAGCAGCCTTTTCAAATGTCACGATGAAATACGAAAGACCTTAGAATTATGTACGCATGGTTTGTGGTGTACTCCTTGATGTTGGTAGAGGCTGGTGTTTCACCAACTTGAAGATGTCCCTTCGGAGCTCTTCTGTCATCTGAGTCACCCCTCCCATGTGTGCATGTTTTCACTTGATAGTAGATCTGAAATGAAAAGATGACTTTGGATAATTAAGACAAGAAGTGTCAGAATCAGTTGCTTGTTTGTAGCATGGACTGCTAATGTGTTAAGGTTCCCATGGCAACTAGATCAGATCATGCCATCATCAAGCTGACTTCGATGCACCACTGTGTACCCTCAGTAACGCCAATGGGACCATCAAAGCACAAGACTGAGAACTTGAAATCTGGCAGTTCTTTATTCCCTGCACACCCCTTGACAGCAACTCTTCGAAGTCAAGTGTCTCCAACAGCCCCGATGATGAGCCTAAACTTCTGTGGCAACAGCAAAAACCAAAACTCTAGAGGAGTTCACGGCAAATGGCATGTAGCGGCAATAAAGGCTTTGTTGTTGTGCGAGTGTTTCGGTGCACCTCCCGTGCGATGAATTCCTCAAGAACGCAAGTATACACTGCGACTTTTCAGTCAGCAAAGTAGTACCCTTAACGATCGAGTACTAGAAAACGTTGGCTGTAAGCTGGGAAGGGTCTCAATAGATGAGAAGGAACGGAATCCGGTATAACTGGGAATACCGGCAAACCGTGAATGAAGTGACAGCAATTAACTGGTAAAAGCCATGGGCAATGTTGACGGAGTTAGAGAAAATGCTGTCGAAGAGGAATACCATTGGCAAGATAACAAATACCGTGACGGCAAGAGATGAAGACTGTAGTCGAGAAACGAGAAACGGGCGGTAAAATGAAGATAAGACTGGCTGGCGATGATATGAGGGGGAACTAGTGACGGCAAAACGATGGCTGGGACTGGGCTGGACTGAAACTGAAACTATACTGAGGTTAACAACGGCAAAATGAAACTGATACTAATCCTGAGTCTACACGGAGACTATCCTATACTGAAACTGACGGCAAGATAACAAATACCGTGACTGATGATCCTATACTGAAGCTGTTGACCGAAATTCCATGACAGATGCTACTGGTGGCAATAACGATCCTAATCTGAGTCCACACGGGGACTTAACGATCCTGAACTGAGCTGGGTAAAACGATGGCGACGTAGAAGGTGAAAACTGATGAAAACGATCCTGGCTGGTGAAAGTGAAATGATGCTGGCGGATTAAAAGATAAAAGCGAGTTGTGGACACCAAATTCCGTGTATTGGCGCAATATGAGCGTACACCAATACCGTTAGAAGAAAAGCCATGACAGAGAGTATAACTTGGAGTGACTATGTTGTTATTGTCTATCTCCTAGTGAGTACAAGCGATAACGGTGGTCGATAACATGGATGATGGCTAGTGTCCAGTAACTTGTGTCTAGCAACTCCCTATTTTCCGTGGTGTATACTAGCTTTTATACTACAAGTCCAGAATAAATTTAGAATACTTGAAGCGAGTCCTTAGTAAGTCCATAGTACATAGATTAGTAAGAAATGATACCAAACACATGTTCCCAAGGTTCTAAAGTAACAGCATCCATACGGTTTTACTGTGTACTGTGGTTCAAAAGTAACAGCACCCATATGGCTTTACCGCATATAGATGAAGTGATTAGCAAGAATGCCACCGATCTCCGGAATTTTGAGCTGCTGTGTTGCTGCGGCAAAGTACATTGAAGCAAGTGTACTGAAGTAGATGCTTGCAGCAATCTCTTGGCGGTATAACAGCCTTAGTAAAGACTGAGGAAAGGTCATGGCATTAGAGCTAATGCCACAGAATTGCTATTTGAGCTGCGGAATTGTGGCTGTGCTAGGCAATCAGATGGGATTCTAATTCCATGAGATCGACAATCAGGTGCCTGGCGGAATTAATGAAAGGGGTGCATAATTGATGTGGGGTACAAGTGGGGAAGGATAATTGGCAGCATTAAGCAATATTGCCAGGATTGAAATAGTAGGTTTGTGTGGTGGCTGGGGAATTAGCTATCTGGTAAAATCTGTGAATTCTGAGCGTACAGAGCCTGGAGGCTCATCACTGATTCTCACGAAAGTCAATGCTACGGCACTGGACGCTGCTAAATGCCATGCAGTGGGACAAAACGTGAATATAGGAAGGAACATCCAAGTTATTGAAGCAGAGGGCAAATCGATAGCATCAAGGAGAGAGACTACAATGAAGATTCATTGGGATAACACTGAGAACATCGAGAGAACAATGGACAATGAGGGGAGCAGAAGTTTAGCGATGAATGGGGAGGGCATGGCAAAGCACGGTAACTGTCACAACGAATGGGACATCGAAATCAAGTCCACTGGGCGAAAACAAAAAGAAAAAGGATGTGAACGCGAACTTGATGCCAAAAGAGAGTGGACTAGCCAGTCAGATTGCGTTCTGAGGAAGGGAGATGTCATGACAGGTCAAACCATGTCAGCTAGGGAGGCTGGAGAGGACTGTCAAACCAACTGTCACTTAAGGAATGTATCTCAAATTGTAGGGATCGATGGACCAGCTCTACAGCTTGAGCTCCCCATCAATTTCATTGACGAGTCATTGCTTGAAGAGCTACTTGCCAGTGTCAACACCTCCACACCTGAAGGAGAATTCTCTGGCAAGCGATCACCCAATATCCCACAAATCGCAATTGAAATCGAAGAAGTAGACGTATTCGTCGCCAATGTTCTCATGGTGTTAGAGGAATACAGAAGTGGGAAAGAACTTTGCATTGACAACTTCCAACATCATCAATCCAATACCCCACAAACTGATATCCCGCACCAAGATGAAGCGGCCGGTGGTGGTATTCAGCAGCCCTACATTCAAGGTGTATCACCAGGCAGAGATGGAAAAGGGAAACAAGCCAGACCTCAAGGAAACTGTAGCTCGATGCAAGATCTACTGCCACAGCCTGTCCCTACTCACTCCAAGGACACAGCGTTCACCATTCCCTGTATACGTCCTGCTGGTCCATGCCCTCCTAAAAAATGACATGATGCAAAAACCCCCAGAGATGCCGAGAACGAGGGTATGGACGATGGAGGTGACAGGCTTCTTATGCAAATGCCAAGGCAGCAAAGTCATAGGTGCACTCATCACCAAGCCATCGCAATTCCATCCTCTCATCCCCCGTCGTACACAGCAAACCTTGCCACAAATCTCCATGCCCCTCCCGCATACACCTGTCTCCTACCTACTGCACTGAGTCCCATCAGTTTAGCACCAATGAAGCAGCACCCACGGGCACCAACAGGACTTGCTTGGAGATCACCTGTTGAATTGAATACAAGCCAGGTGGCTCATTTTGATAAGACAGCTTGCCAAAAAGTCAAAAGCAAGGGCATCCTCCTCGCAATTAAACGTGGGATCAGGAGTCTCGCACCCAGCCGTCATTCCACTAAATAAAGACACTGGTGGGCATGTAGGTGAGAAGCATAGCTCTCTGGATAAGAAACGGGTCGAACTCACCTTTTCAAGAGATGCTAAGAAGCAATTGGTTTGGATTTCGAAAGATGGATACACAGGCATAGCCCAATCCACGATATAATTACTAGGAATCTCTGAGATACCGTTTAGCGCAGGCAGTAAAGGTGAAGTGAAGAGTTTGACATACATATATTGTATGTATGCTTCTTGTCATTGGAACGGTCATGGGGAATAGACCCTGAGAAGTTTTGTTTTCTTATACCAATCCTTTGCAGAGAGCATATTCACTGTGAAAGTGAGCAAAATGATCGCGAATAAGTCAAACCATGAATAAGGGCATTGAGTGATAGGATTTGCTGTCCCAATGCCTTGAAGGTGATAAGCGACGTTGGAACATGGTTCACATGCGACAACTATTTGCTTGATGGATATAACACTGTTCCTTTCCTGCTGACAATCTCATGAAGTACGGCAAGCACCATGTATTGGGGGAGAGGTGGGTGTTGTGTCGTTAGCGTCGAACCAAATAAATACACCAACCATGGCAGACAGTGGTGACTTAGCTATTCCTGCCAAATGTTCCGATTCACATATTCATTTGTCACTGATGCCGTTTACTTGACTAGCATATGGACCAGCATCCAAAAAATGAAAGTAAAAACAAGAAAGTATGTACATATCACTTGAGCAGCAGAATGAGTAGTCAGTGTTACAATCAAGTTTACAATCAAAGGCACATACTTGCTACCATACACATGAGAGAGAGGGCACCTAGCAAGGAATGTCAGCCAAATGAGGGGAAACAACATAGCCAGTGCTTACCTCCATCGTGCTACAACCTTCGCAGTCTGGACTCGCCACAGCAAACGTACTGAAGCCACAACAACACTTGGTGCTGTGTCTCATCAACATCGTCTCATCATCATGCTCTGTGCTTGTGGGAGGTGAAATGCTAGCACGAATGAATGTTCGGCGAGCAAGCGAAAGGAAAGGGAGCAAGGGCATACACCTAGATCCTGTCATCCAAAAGAAGTCTCGTTTTCAGACTATGGTTGATGGGTCCTGATAAGAGATCAACTTGATTGATGGTAAGAAGCATTTTTCTTACCTTGGCAGGAACTGAGACAGGCACTGTTATACAGGAGTGTTCAAATGAGTATGAGACTTAGACAAGCCTAGGTCAAGTAGCCATTATTAATGAAGTAGGTGGCTTACCGTGAATTTACTGGATGACGGTCGTTGAGTTCGATGGTTGGTGTAGTATAAGTGTGACGGTAAACAAAAATCTAGAAAAACGCCAGAAATATAAGATGGGAATGAGAAAAGAAAAGTAAGAGCTCACAGTATATGTATTACCTCTATTCTGTTCCACCTGTATTGTCGTGATCATTGTCACTGATCCGTACTTTAAAACCTAGTGCAACAAACAGACTGTTAGCAAACACATGAGGCATAGAAGCAGAGTTTTCCGCATGGGCACACAGGCGCAGTCCGGGCCCATTGCCTTTGTCATTACAGAACCTGGCATCAAGAGTAAGGAGATAGATTAGAAACAGAATGCCTAGCTTATGATGGTCCCAAGCTGATGCCAACCAAATGACAACTTCCAGCCATAAAATCACCGTAAATCTAGAAAAAGCACTGGTTAGTGGTTCAAGAATGATGTTAAAAGAATGGCTCACCGGATGGGCGAGTCATTCAACTGAAAATATGTTCTCGTATACAATGGGACTGATACCTTCTCTCTCCCTCTCCCACTCTCCCACCTTTCTCGCATCTTTTTGGGCATTTTGTCCACCCTCTGCATGTTGATCACCATCCAACATTCCATTACCCTCCAAAGAAATCCCCCCCTCTTCTGCTGTCGCTACCACCACCATCACTGCCATCATCCAACTCTCAAGTTGGTTTGACATCACATCTTCGATCGTCCAGAATATTTTAATTCCCATGCCATTCAGCCCTTAGGATGTCATGATGCGTAACGACTGATGCTGGTCGGTGGCAGTTCCGGAATGGGTGACAAGATAGGTGCATGTATGTGGCAATGGAGCCACAAAACTCATGGCGGTGGCAGTGGGCGTTGTAGGAAATCTTGAGGAATATAACGTTGCTTGAAGTACTTGCAGTCCTGTTGGAGGACTTGCGCACAGGGTGGAACTGGATGAGATGTACTAGGGCCTCTAGGATCTGCTAAGTACCTCAATAAAGGTCTAAAAATCACGGAGGTAATGTGAACAATCGAAATATATCTTATATAAATATCCTAACCTATTGGACCTCAGCTCTGGAATGAACAACTCGGAGCCCAGGCCTAGCCCTGTATTTGCATACATTTTGTATGCTCATGCAGCACTGATCTTTCCGGACTTCATATAGATCCTCCATCGGAGTTTTCACTCTCCTTGTTCTGCAGGATCCAAATTTTTGCATCCCACCCACCTACACCACTGCTAGCTATAGCTGGTTGGGCTCACTTGCCTGCCGCATAGCGTCTCCAGCTGCCGGTCAGCCATCAACTTCCTGAACACTGAGGACCTGAGCTTCCTTGAGCTTCCCTGCCCATCGGTTGGTGACATTTCAGTTACCTTCAGTCCAGGAAAGTCGAGTCATCACTGGCGACTGAGATGATCTCAGGCAGATGGCGTTTTCCTCGCTGATATACTAGGTGGGTACTCTGAGGGTGGCATCGACAGCTAGGTGGATGAAGGTGTCAGTGTGAACAAAGCTAGTCATCATGGTGGTGTGATTCATAAGGAAACGTGGCAATCACGTGGCAGGAAACATTTGGTTTTGGGTTCGCAAATTTCATTGATACATAAGATATGTGTCTTTAAATTTGGAAGTATATATCAGGTAATACCAAGTACAAAAGGATGAATTAGAATGCTCAAAGACCCTCGACAACAAAAGTCAAAATATCAAACGCTTCCTTGGAAATCTTGAGTTCATCAATATGGTACTCGGAGAGCTTCTCCAGCCACTCCTTGTTATACAGGGCTTGAGGCAAGCCGCGAGGTGCTGGATGACTCCTGGCTTCTGCGATGGGGATTCTAGGACACGCTTGAGGACCCCTAGAACTTGATCATATGCTTTTGTCCTCATGATAGTTGACCATGAGGTACTCGTTGACTTCGGGGGCCCTCCAAGCACATAACCTGATGATGAATACTTGCATTATCTGGTTGTCGACGGTATGAACACCAGATTCCTCAGGCAACATTCCGTGGACTCCAAGTAGATCCAAAACCTTCTTGATGAGTTTCCAGTACTCCAGATCCGTGGCTCTGGATTTGGTCTTAAGGGCGATGACATTGGTGATGATGCCATCTCGCTGTTGGAGTTTCTGTACAATTCTGAGCACTTATGGCATACAGGGGCATAGACAGAAGGCTTACTCTAGCTTGACCCTGTCGGATCCTCTTGCTGTTGTACTCCTTATCTTCACTATCCCCCACCTGAATGGCGACTTCCTTGGAAGTTTCATATCGATGCTCGGATTTTAGCCATTGGGGTCGAGCCTTAGCATAGGCCCCTTGACTGTGATCAAGTTGACCCCATAGCAACACATAAATGTAGTCATCTGGTACTGATGGAAGATTCCATTCCCGATGCTCATTCCTCTTTGCTGATATGCCGTCTATGCGTTCACACCTAGATTTTGCGATTTTATAACAATACTATTGCATGTCTATCCTATACTAGTCATATATCAAGGGCTATAGTTGAGACTTCGGACTGATAGTCAAGTTAGCATGCTACTAGTCGAGTCAGGACTTAGGAATGATACCACTAGTGGGTCAGCCCTACCAGCCGACCGGACTAGCACCTCCAAAGCTAGTATGACTTAGTAAAATACGGTCACTAGTACAGAATATAGCTGCTAGCGCCCAAACAAGAAGTAAGAACCCACACAGATCTCGACTATTCAGTCGCTAGTGGACCGATCTGGGCATGAATGCCTAAGTCAGGATGACTAGTCACGTGAGCACTTCTGAAAGGACTTAGAAATGAACCAGTAAAGGCATAACCCTTAGCCCAGATCCGGCTAGTGTGATACAGATCTCATACGATCGGCACTAGTATAGCTGGGCTGCGCCCTGATCATGATCGAGCAGTTGCTACAGGCACGGTGACCCGACTATTCGTATAGCCGTGTCACTAGTGGAGCACCGCTGGGCAAAGGGTGTGGAAACGACCCAATAGCAGAGTCCCTCGACCCGCTATCCGACAGAAAGAACAGGCTAGGCCGACTATTGCGTGATTATTCACCATAATTCGTGACTAGCCAAGACATCCTTACCAATATTACCCCTAGAGAATCTATTTATATTTATTCTGTACCTGTCTCTGTAGTATATAAGTAGTAGAAGGGGTGGCCTTGCAAGCAGGCAAGCCATCCCCGTGATTGTGACCTACTAGTCCATATTCTAGTGCCCCAATTAAAGGCTTTTGTGCTTAACCTCAACGAAGTGTCTACTAGTCGCTTAGTCACCTATAGTATTGAACGAAATTGAAGTGTCTTAAAGTTACTATTCTGTCTTGGAGTGACTCAGAGCAGTTTCGAAGTTAGTTAAAGTATTTTCTCAGAGTTAAAGTATTTGTTCTTAGGCCAAGAGTGCCACTAGTCGAGCCTAGGGTGCTGCTAGTCAAGTGTAGACCACTTGTGAGACCCAGTATTTGGCCCAGAGTGCCACTAGTTTCGAAGTATCAGAGTTAGACCGAGTGCAGTTGCTCAACCCAAGTCACTATTCATCCAATCGTGTCTTAAAACCCTGCTAGGCATGAGTATTACATCTTGTGTAGCTCACTAGTACCAAATATACATCTTTAAACAACCTTTCCCTGATTTGTTGAAGTCTGCAGAGTGCTTCTATCGTACTCGAAACACCCGAACTCAATAATATTGGTGATTAGTGTAGAGTAGTAGAGGGTTTTGGTGTTGTGGTGTTCATATCCATTCACTAGCCTTTTGTCACTTGCCGTTACCGAGCACATCATCGCCTTGAGCTTTTTCAATAGGTTTTTCATGATCGCGATGTTCCACTGAGAATGGTTCCATCCCTCACCAAAGTCCAAGGTAGTATCTTCACCAGGACTGTCCACCTTCTCGACCACAAAGATGCTGACCCTCTCCAAATCTACGGGTTCGTAAGTGACAAAGTCGCTGATTCTGTCGACGCCATATACAAATCTCCAGAAACTCCTTATTGCAGACTGTAAGATCATGAGTATAATAGCATCAAGCAATAACAGTAGGCAACGACATACCTTGCAGAGAAGTTCGTCAGGATGATTGACTTGGGGCTTGAACTTGCGCAGTATTTGTTGGTACAGTTTCCCGTATTTAGGGGTCTGAGAGGAAACACGACTTCCTTGAACAGTGGCTTGTTCGATACCCAAAGCCCTCATCAATGTGGTCAATACATTGACAGCATCTGATTTCGAGACCTCTGAGGCTGACCAGTCATTATTCTGCATGGCCTGTACAAGAGTTGAGGTCTCAGAGATATGATCGAGCACAACAGGCGGTGGCAGAGCAGCAGCAGGCGGTGGTGGAGCAGCAGCAGGTGGGACTATGGCTGCTGAAGTGACCGCTGGTACTGGAGATGTTGTAGCAGCAGTAACAGAGGTAGTAGCCGCTTCCACTGACATAACGGGCAGTGGCTGGGTGACAGAAGATGGGACAATGGCAGCCAAAACTACAGTTGCTTGAGCTGGCATGGCAGGAGGCACCATGATGGTAATGGCAGCTGCAGCTGCTTGACCAGGTATATCAGGCGGCGACTGAGCTACAGCAGGTGGGACAACGGCAGCTTGCACTGGTATGGCAGGAGGTACTGTAGTAGCGGTAACAGAGGCAGCAGGCACCTCCACTGACGTGACATGTGGTGGCAGAGCCGCGGCGGATGAAACAATGACTGCTGAACCCTCAGCAGGAGGTGCTGTAGTGGTAGTAATGGCAGCAGGAGTGGCTACATTTCGAAGAACCAACAATTTGATATGGTGACTCCCCAATTGCTGCTTATTCTACATGGATGTTATGATCTAGGGACCAGACTTACTTCCTCGTGAGAACCGCAAGTAATGGTCAAGAAAACTAGTCTTACCATGGCAGTAACAGAAGATCTTAAAGCCATGATTGCATCGGTCTTTTCATTCTGTATAGAGTGTGCAGTTAGCACTGAATGCTCTGGATTGGTCTCATTGCTGTAGGTCACTCATGATGATCTTTTCTAGTTGAGATTGCTGCGACATCAGAGCATTAATTTTCTCATTCTGGTTTTATGTTTCAGCATATAATAGGGGAGATGGAGGGAGATAGAGATGGCATGCTTACTGTGGCACTATCTAGGGCTTGAAAAGCATCTCTGAACGACTCTTTTTCCTTGTCTAGCATTTGAATCTGGAAAGCATCACCAGACGTCAAGATGTATGTTTCTCAAGTTGTAGTAAATGCACTTACCTGAAAATCCATTTGTGCTTGTTGATTGGTAAGTTGTTGTGTCTAGAATCCTATGAGCATCGAATAAGCACAGAGTCAAGGGATGCACGCACAAAATGTTCGTTTGCAGCTCGTAAACTTGCATTTTCACTCTGGATGTGCAACATTTGAGCTGTTATTAGTTCTCTCTCATTGTTGTTCATCTCGACATCAACTTCTTCCAGAGTAGCTGATGAATGAATTCCTTGATCTTGACTCGATAATTGATGCTCTAGGAAGGCGATCCTCACATCCTGGGTCAGGATTTTGCTGGAAGCATACATCCTGGTACGCCAAAGCAGATTATGACCTGGATTCTGCAGAAGTGTCATCGGCAATGTAAATATGTAAAGCAAGGATCTCACAGGCTGATAGTCTCTGATCCAACATATCTTTCTGGGTGAAGATATGATCTCGTCTTCCCTGGGTCGACTCCTTGAAGAAAGAGAGGCCGAAAGCGAGGGCCCATTGGATGGGGAAGTCGTGATAACTGTACCCTGCTTATAGGATGCTGCGGCAGAGGATGCGACCACAGGAGATGGATTGAGAAGTGAAGAAATTGACAGGCCATGATGTGCAGGACCTGCTGACGATTCAGGTAAATCCATCGTGAATAGAAACCTTGGAAGTCATCAATATCCTTGGAAAAGAAAGGGACGATGATAAGACCATACACTGAAAGAAAAGAGAATCGGGATGGGCTGTGTTAAATCAACTGAATTCTTGTTCTTGAGCGCACAGAATTAAGTACAGTCTGCACAGTATCGAACTTCTGCTTCAGTCTGTCAGTGCTTCGGCCACTATTGTTATCGACAATGGGGGGGAAAAGGAATCTCACCAAGTCACCATGGCATGGTGCTGCTGACAAGCCACTGAGTTGGGTCTGTATTTTTCGACATCCAGGGTGAGGGTTAACCTAACCTAAGCAATTCATAGATGTCCAGAAGAAGAAGCCTCAAAAAATGTGGGGCATCTATTGACGATCACTAATTGTGTGTTGGTTAGCACTTACAAACTTGAAGATGAGTAAGGTAGCATTAAGGACAAAAGACGGACAACCGCCGTTTGGGTGGTGGACTGACGGTTCCATGGGCCGATATGTTTGGCAGCACAGCGCAAGAAACAATAGAAGCATTTAATTGCCGTTTGCAGTCATTGGCACATCAGTTAGTTTATCGGCACCATACCCTGCAAAACACTCTCTCCTCAAACAGTGTACTGGCGGCGACTTATTTTTCTTATTGTCTATTTTGGGGGACTCACTTCTTTTATTGTCCCTTTTTTTTCTCCCAGAATAGCCACTGATCATGGTTAGCCTGGCAGTGCGCCATGGTGTTAGGCTTATTTTCCACTATAACACGGCAATTCTTTAACGATGAAAATAATTAGGGACATGCAAGCTCGACTGTTATGGCAGGTATCTGTGGCACAACAATAAGGCCGCTTGGGAGTTTTGTGATGATCACTTTTCAAGCTGTACCCTAGGACCTACAATTGTGTAGTCTCTAACATTGTTCCTCTGAAATTGGAGCACCTGAAACTCGCCTTCTGGGTACAGCTAGCTTGTGGTGTTACAATAAGACTCAGAGGTTGGGTGAATATTGGTTGACTACTAAATCCCTGCATTCTTCTTTTGTACCTCTTATTCAACGATGGCCTCTGCTCCTTGGAACGGTACATATTTCCTACTCTTCATGATTGTCCTCAATGTTGTGCACAGATACCAGTGTTTATAGAGTGTGTTTTCTTTGCCTTGCTTGCTCTCAGTTTAGTCACCCTTCTTCAAATATAGACTTCTCAGCTGGAGAAGCATGTCCACCAACTAGAGGTCGAGAACATGCGAAAATCTTCGGTGCGCGTTTGTTGTCTGTTGGTTCCATCATCTGACGCCATGTATCAGGACCTTCAAATCCATCTGTGAGAAAAGCTCCAAGCCCAAGGAGAGAAAAATGAACTGCAGAAACAGCTTTTGGAACTTGAACCATGCTCTTCACTGGTGGGAATTTATTCAACTACGTTCCAACATTGGAATTACATCTTAAACTATAGGAACAAGCAACTCTCAAGACAGAACTGCAGAGTCTTCATGCTGAACGTGACTTTCTGATGTCTCGTTTGATGTGGACTGACATGGAAAATGTGCAGGTAGAAAGGGACTACTATGTCTCTCAGCTTGTCAAATCTGCCCAGAACGAGGCTCTTCTCCAGAACATGAGTTTTCTCTTGCTTGTAGCAAGAAGTTCCTTCAGCTTGACACAGGAATGCGATACACTAAAATGACAGACTGAGCAGCTCAAACAACAAAATGTAGATCTTGACCATCATCGCGAAGATATGGCGGTGGAGCTATGCCAAGCATCCCGATGGAAGTGTAATGTCAAACAGAGCACCCTCTGTCCAGTTTGTAAGGGGGGTATTCATGCACCTGCGACGTGAGTCTAGAGCTCCTAGCTTCACCTTTTGGATGCTAATATTGGTTTTCTGCAGTCTTGAATGTGGTCATGAATTATGCGTGACCTGTTTACTGGAGTGGGTGCCTGCGAACCTGCCATTCTCTCATGTCTGCCCAGTTTGCTGAAGCATCATCACATCAACTCCCTCTTTTCCTCATGCATTTTCGGATGTGGCTCGTGCTATCTGGGGAAGTCCAGGAGGAGTAGATGTTGCAGCTGTACAGACAGCTTTACGAGCATACACATGGTAGATACATCATCTACTTAAATGTTAATCTGGAATTCCCCACTCGAGTCAGAAAATTTAGACTTATATCTTCAAGTAAGTGGCTTCTGGCAGTCGAAGCACTTGCAGTATGTATAACAGGTCCCAAAGTCAGGCTGACTTGTGGCTTTGACTTTGATGATCTGGCCTACTGCCTGCCCATTATTCGGCCACATAACATGATACTAACTGGTCGATAGGACATTCAATATTCAGATCCTATGTTGCTCTGGTCTGTAAGGCATCATTATTGAGATGTGGGGGTACATGTGCCTTTAATCGACTTCGAATACAAATTTCAGTGGTGTTTTTGCTGATTTGGGATCGATTCATATGCATTTGACCGCATACACAACAAACATGCTATCAATTTAATATGCTACTCAAAAATGAAGTTCCCGCCTTGGTAAGTACCAAAACAAGATATCAAAATCATCAATGCCTAGATGGATCATGATGAAGGAAGGAAGGAGATTTTATTAGTCGTTGGTGCTCCTGAACAGAAACATAATGACATCCATACTATGAGATGTAGCAAGAATTACAGCAGCAAATGCGGAGACAAAAGATGAGAAACTATTGAAACATCCACCGTCGTCTGCCGTGGTTGTCGTCGAACCATACGCCTCTGATCTTGTACTCTCCTTGCCTCTCCCATCCTTTCCCATCGTCATCATCGTTCTGATTGTTATAGGCTAGGTATGCCACCTGGCCTATATTTGTCACCCAATTTTTGATCCCTCAAGAATGAGTGGGAATGGCATCTGTTTTGGGCAACCGGTGACAGAGACAGGTGTTGGCATCGTCCTGGTCGATGACTGTCGCCGTGAAGGAGTCATTTGGGTATCACACACACAGTGCTGCCTCACACAATGGCTTATGTAGGGTGGGAGTGAGATTGTCAGTATCCGGGCTATTGGGGCTGCCGGATAAGCCAAAAGTCTCTTAATCACCTTCGGCTTTGAGTACTAGTGCTTAAATAGATGAAACATACATCTTGTGATATACCGTCCAGGAGTTTGACTAGATTCAAGCACAACAGCCCTATTTCCATCCAGAGAGGACCATTGTTGGGGGGCGAGCTTGATTAGTGGATGACATGGACACAGCAATTCGAAGCGGAATCATTATAGACCCCTTAATTTCAGCTACTAGAGGAGAGAGTGAATGAGACATCAGCTTTTTGCAAATGTGCCATATCATACCACCTATGTAGTCGACCTATTCTGCAGCTATTATCGGCACCAGTTTTGAATGTTGAATGCAGTGTTGGGCTGTTGCCCAAAGTCCGAAGCGAGCTGGCAAACCCTACACAATTGACAAACCGGCGAGCCAAAGGCTAGCATCAACAGAGTTGATTTCGTGACTACAGCACTTATGAACATAATGGTAAAGAACACCCTGCCCTGCTTCAATACTTTGCAATATTGTCTTCTTCCTTCAACACATGCTGTGTCGCTCTTTAATATCAAGATTGTCCAATGATGAGGTGGGTACCATTGATTGAAGAGTTAATCTGAGTCGTGATCCCTTGCGCATGGAAGTGCTGATAATTTGATGAGAAAAATGCACCGAAACGAGGATGACTTGCTCACTGAGCAACCTGGTTGCATTCTGCTGTCCATTAAATTGTTCTCAAAGCTCCACGTTGCCATGGTGTGTCAGAGAGTATATGGCCCTCCACCACTAGATGAATAAGGGTCAGCAAGTCCGGTGCAAACAGAGAAAAGGATTGTTACACACCAGGAGTACACACAGTAATTGAGCTGACAAACCATGTATCCACCCATCTGCAGTAATGAACCTTCAACTACGTCGCCATCCATGGAAACCGGTATCTGCGTGGTCAAAGATGAGAGCAGGGTGTGGTCAATAGTGTGTCGGTAGCAGGTGAAACTGCCAATTAATGGCATCCATCTAACTAGTAACAAAGAGCCTGCAAAAATTGAACAAAGGAAAACATAGTAAAACGTAACTGGCTCGCTTTGGATCCCATTACCGCTCTTCGCAAAACAAGCTTGCTATCTTCAGCGAACACTCAAACAGCGTGGAGAGCCCAGGCTTCATATAGAGGCCATTAAAACAGATAGCAGAGACCGGCGAAGTAGGCATATGTTCATAGAACTAGTGGAACTTTTGAACAAACAGAGAGATAATGAAAACACATGAACTGACCTCCGCTCGTTGACCCACCACCGGCACCACTGTATCCTGCTGATGAGCTTGATTTCTTTGCTTCAAGTTCGAACAGTGTAGTAGACGTCTCCGGTGCTGATTGTATGGATGTCATGGCTGTCGCAATGGGTGACAGGGATGGCCAGAACAGCAGATTGAGCTGAAGAGTCTGCAGCTTGAGAAGGGAGATGAAGGAAAAATTGTTATGCACCTTGATTCACTAAACCATTACCATCCCCTCCTCTGACAAACTTCGCATCTTTAATCCGCATTCAAACGGTGTTGGTACTGTGGTAGTCGTCATCGGGAAAGACTAAGGAAGTAACAATAAGTGTGAAAAAAATTGAGAGGGCATTCTTCGGCATACCTGGCTGGCGTAGCAAGACAGGCTCCCCTCGAATGCGATCCTACAATTTCTTAAAGCTGGGTCAAGAGTCAGTTATGAACCATTTAGCAAAGGAAAAGTAAGAAATATACCTCTTTGATGATGAATTGCTGTTGCCTGAGAGTAAACATAAAGAACATAAGAAATGGGAGAAAAAAAATAAAGAGAAAATCAAGCCCACCAGAGCTGCTAGTGAGCTCAACCCTGAATCATGGCGATGGTCAGCAACCAAAAACAAGGTCAACAAACGAGACGAAGATGGAAAGTGATGGCAGTCATGAGATTCATGAGCTGTCTACCTCGATGAGTGAAGGGAGGGAGAAACCAAGGCAAGAGACTCACTGGGGGAATGATTCGAGAAGAGATGAATAGGTATTGAGCAGTGACCGTGCTGCTGGCACATGAATGATGGCATCCACAGCACGGCAAATTGTCAGACTATCACCGAGATGCTCAGATTAGCATAGACCGAATCCTGTATACAAGGACTCAGAATCCCATCTCTGTTCACACAATATTAGCAAAACACTTGACTACATCGTTCAGCATTGATTTTCTCGTTATTTATAGTCCCTCATCTCCCTGCTCCAGATGTTCTCATTGTATTGATTATTGGATACACTGTCACTGCTTTGGAGTGCTTTGGACGGTCTGGTGAGTTGATTCTCTGTCATTCAAAACGTTCAATTTTTGATGTCGTTCAGTCAGGAAATCCTATGTGAATCCATCATGTGAGGTCAAGGCAGTGGGCCTTACTTGGTTATCGCTATGTTGTCATAATAGGATTCTTATTCGTACATGTCAGCTTCTAAAGTAAACAAACTAAGGGTACACTCGGAATCGTAATTCTCAAATTGCTGCATCCATGTCTATGTCTGAGCCTTGCAAGCCACAGGAACACGCATCTTGATGTAGTTGCAATAAATACCTGACCAATGCAACCATGACTAGACTTGTCTTTCATAAGAGAAACTTGACGACTATGAACATTGCCAGAAAGAAATCTACCACAAGCACAATGATTGGAGTGCCCTGAAGTTCACCACTTCTGTCATGATTCTAAGTGCTCAGTTATTAATGGTAGGCTTCCTCAGTCAAAAGAAGACTCACTCAAATGACCTCAGACACCTCACGCACTCTGGAAATATTATCCAGGACACGTAGAGTTTGGGCATCCCTTTCCACCTGGTTTCATTCAATTTCTGATAATTCCTCAAAGTAAAGGAGACGCTGTTTTTCAAGCTGAGTCGCAAGATGTTGTTCAAAGTTCTTGACAGTATCAGAATTGCCATGCTCAGCTGACATGAGCAAATGGAACAGTCGATTGGCTGATTCACGACAGATCTTGGCGGTTTCCTTGGCCTTCAAAGACTTAGTCGTATGTTGCAGCAATTCAGCACAGTTTAATGTATGTACCTCGTCTAACTGTTCTCGAGTAGGCCTGGAGATGGCCACCCTCTTTCGAGCAAAAGGAGCTTCCTGAAACTAAGCGTGAGCCAAATGATGGAGGCAAGCTGTAACAGCACCAACCTCATGTTCATCATGCATCCTCCTACGTGTTCTGCCAATAGTAGGATTGGTTTGAAATGACGATACGCCAGAGGTGAAAAGGTTCTGAGATTGGTCCATAGGGTTGTCGAAGAATTTTCTGAACAAACATTCATACCCACCTGTTATATACTCTTTTCATTACAACATTTCCTTTTGTCCACCGATTTTGGTGTCAAAGCTGTGTGGTATCAGCAGAGCTATAGCCCGCCACAACCACATCTATTGAACCTTGAGATACCTGCATATGAGCCACGACTAAAATTTTTGAGGGAGCTGCCTGACACTCAGCAGTACGCCCCGATTGGCCAAGCAACGGCAGGAAAATATGTCTCATTGTCTGGCTTAGGTTTAGAATGTTCGATGGCAGAGCTTGAACAATTAAGAAATCAGGTGACAATTATGATGTGCGACTGGTAGCAAGGAAAGACGGTGAGAATAATAAATAAGAAGTGCACACTATCACCGGCTGAAGTGAGCTTGAGGTGCACCAATTGTCAGATGGGCTTACACACCTAGTAACACGTGTATGGCCACAATTTTACCATAAACAATTCCTCAGCCATCGATGATTCAGCTTCTCCTATTGATCATCACTTGAAATTTATTTTTGTGACAGAACGCTACAGAACGGCATCACACCAACAGTCAGCAGAGGTTGTGCTATGGCAGGATCACATACCTTTGCTTTGGCATAGTAGATACAAAAATATACACTGTCGAACTGGAGTATGGTGATGGAGCAGTACCATCTACGTATAAAGAGAGAGGCGTGATAGAATCGTGTTCCATGTGAGCTCACAGAAAAGCCTCGGGCTGCTTTGCTTGTTCCATGATAGGTACGAGTAAAAACTAGAAATAGAGCGGATGATCTGTCTTTGTCATACTCGAAAAATATGTTCAGCAACCATGGAAAATATGTTCTCTTTTCGACCACCTCATATATGTGAACAATAACAGGCCAGACTCGAACAGGACCATGGAACTATAAATCAAGTGTCGACGGATCACGTATTTCTGTAGCGCCTTCTCTTCATGAATACCCAGCCTGCATCCAACCAAGCCAGACATCAACTTGCAGCCATGGCCCATGGTAAATAGCATGCTGCCCCTCACTACTTGTAGAGGTCGGTATAACCGCTGCACATGTGTAATGTTTCCCCAGGGTCACTTAGTTCTCAAATCAAGGACGTCTGCACACCGCATGAAACTTGCTGATTTGTCGAAGGTACGAGCCAGGTTTATAGTTTGCATTCACCAAGAACGGAAATGACCCATGCTACTTAGACTAGTTTAACGCATAGTTTTCTTCCAGTAGGAAGTGCACCCAACCCTGTTCAATCATCTCCGAGCCTCCCAGCTGCTAACTTGAACCTGGTGAGTTTTCTCCCATCATCCTTTCTTGCACTAAGACATCTGCGCACAGGCTTCTGAAGCTCTTTCAAACAATTTGGCCCCACTCCTTCTGACAGATAAGGGTCTAAATCTATCGGCGCAGCCGAACAAACTCTGGGTCTCTTCTCATGAGTTCCAGCATGCTAGAGAAAAAGAGCCTCACCTTGTGATAGGTGATATCACCACAGATGACGTTCAAACAAGCCTGAGAGCTGTTGTGAACCCTCCTATTCTGGTGTCCCATCAAGAACTCCCTTCATCTGCACCCTCTCTCGAGGAACCTACAGTTCCTTCAAGAAACCAGTTTCTTTGTAGTTTCAGGCTAGGGAAGAAAACTTCCACTCCAAGTGTACTGCCTCTTTCCTACCACAAGCCACTCAGCCAGCTGATCAAGAAGGTGATGGGCCTTATCAATACTATTGACCAGCACTCGTCTCACTTACTAAGCCGCTTACTTGACCTGAGGGATGTTGATATCAACTCCCAAGGAGATGTAGTCAGGCAACACACAGTACTGGAAGAGGCAGTGAAGGAGGCGCCATCACTATAGGATAGTGTGAAGCATGACCACTATCCACAAACTGCCAGTTGCACAACCAGAGTAGAACGTCATCTGCAGCAGATACACAACATCATCAGTTTCCTTGGTGCATCTTTACCACCAAAACCACCAAAACTGCAACGAATAGAGGCAGGTAAATCCTTCATCTTGTTCCCATCCACTGAATCAAACAAAGATATACTCTAGAGCATGTTTTCAAAAATCACTTACAAAATCTGGATGTCATAGCACAACTTGTCCTGCTGCTGGGTGTCATGTGCAATGTCATTATGAGCATGTGGGAGACGTGGTGCAACTTCATCATTGAGCTGGTTACCCTCACAACCCAAGTGTCCATGGCAACAGGGATGAAGAGATATGCCGATAGAGAAGAAGACTTCAGTGCGATGCAAAAGAATATCCTAAAGCAGCTTCCTACCAGCTTATATACTGCTCTAAATGCCCTACATCTGGACAGTGAAACTACTCTATATGTGGTCTGTCCAGCTTGCAGCTTCTGCCATCGTCCAGATGCACATGCGATCTCCCCCAATAGCCTTTATCCCACAAACTGTACACAGCTTATTCCCGGCGATTCCGGGTTAGTATGTTGCAGTGCTGGTTTGTTGGAACAGTGTCATGGGGGTGTCAGGCCGAAAAAACCATTCCTGCTGGCTTCACTGCCAGATTATCTCACCAAATCTCTTTCCAATCCCGACATTGAGAAGTTATGCAACCAAGCATGCGATGATGCCCTGGCTCAACGCAATGCGCCCTCTACTAGTCGTACCATGATGGGTGTATTTGATGGGGGATTTTTGCGAGACTTCATTGGTCCAGATGGAAAGCTCTTCATTGATCGAGGAGATAAAGTCTGACTGGCTTTTGCTCTCCAGATTGACTTCTTCAACCCAAATGGAACACGCATAACAGGAAACCATGATTCTATTGGCATTATCTCAATGGCCAATTTGAACTTGCCAGAGTCCATACGATACAAAACCGAGAACATCTTTCTCGCTGGCATCATTCCTGGACCTTTGGAACCGGATTACACTGCAATCACTGCATACACAGCCCCCCTCATGGATGTATTTGTCATGGGATGGGAGCAGGGTTTCCATATCACTCGAACAGCTTCCCAGCCTACAGGTCGCCACACCAACATCACAGTTGCACTGTCCGTTAATGACCTACCTGCGGCTCGTAAGATGTCAGGAAATGCTGGTGCCAATTCTCAGTGGTGCACTGTTTGCAATTGTCCCTTGCAGGAGAGAAATACTTGCTATCATCTATGGACCAAGAGAAATGTAGGCGAGATGCGGAAATATGCCTACACTTGGCAAGACGCTACTACAACCAAAGAGAGAGAAGAGATTTTCAATATCCACAGAGTAAGGTGGTCTGAACTCTGGAGACTGCCATATTGGGATCTGACTCACATGCTGGTGATTGATAGTATGCATTGCATTCTCTTAGGCCTTGTTTGCTATCATTGCCGTTATGTTCTAGGGATTGATGCCAAAAAGGCGGAGTTTCAGAGCCGCCCTCCTCCAGCTTTTCTCCATGACTGGGTACTCCCTCACAAGGATGTTCCAGAGCCTTACTGTGTCTTGCTTGATCATGAGTGTAAACAAGTCACAGCAATTCACAAGTTATTGATGACGCCTCTCAAAGGGGAGGGATCGATCACTGAAGCTCAACTCTCAAAACAGCTTCTTTCCAAGAATGCACAACCACTGAAATTTGTTGGCTACACTCTTGGTACCCTGAAATACACCATCCACGTTCATGAAAAAGCCAAAGAAGTTGTTGCCAAAGCCAAGAGTCAACTGGTAGCCTTGCTGGTCGAATGGGTAACTATTTTTTTTTTTGTTGCTTCTTTTATTCAGGCTGATCATGATTTGTTTTCTCAGCGAAAGAAGAAGGACTTATCAGCCAATCATGATAGCACCATCATAAATCTTGTGTCTCTATGCCATATTCAAACTGTTATTAAGGAGACCACAACCCCTAGCTGGATCAATTCTGTGCCTGCGAATTACGGTGAAGCATCGGCTGGAAGCCTCAAAGCTGACGAATGGCGTATTCTGAGTACAGTCTATCTTCCCATAGCTCTGGTTACCCTTTGGGGTGATAACAACAGACAAGACCCAGGAGAAAATTCTCGCTCTCTCCAGGTCTTGAATCATACCATGGCATTGTTCCAAGCCGTTGGTGTGGTTTGTCGCTACTCAATGAATTCACAACGAGCGGAAACATATTGCAAGCTGATAAAAGAGTGGGTTGATGGATTGCTGGACATACATCCTCACACATGGCTACACCACACATGACCTAATATCCATGTCTCATTCCACATTTACGATTTCTTACTTCTTTTTGGACTGGTGATTTCTTGGTGGTGTTTTCCCTTTGAATGCCTGATAGGAGCTCTACAAAAAATCAATACCTCTAGTCATGTCGGTGGTAAGTGGGGATTGTCTATTTGGTGAAAGATTATTCACGTTGTTCTTTTCAGGTGAATTAGAATCCACAATATTGATGACCTTCAACCGAGGTGCTAACCTCTGTAGATGGGTTCATAGGCCTGACTGCCCTGAGCTTATTGTTCAGTTCAAACGGCTATTTGATAAAGCCTTTGGAAACAAACAGAGGAACAACAGTGATGCACAGACCTCAGAAGAGACGGCAGAACATGCCTATCACACTTTCCAAGGAATTACCTATTCTCGTTCGACCACTCACCTGGGAGGGAGCTTAGTCCTTTACTACCCAACAACTTCTTCAAGTAATCCCATTGCTGGCAGCATCCAGAGGATTGTTACTGAACATGGTTACACATCCTTTTACATCCAGCGACAGAAGCCCCTTCCAAACGCCTCAGTTTTTGACCCCTTTGCACGATACACTTCTTTTCCTGCCAAGGTTTACCTCTCGGACATGAGCGATGATCCTGAAGATAAAGTCTCTCCAAAGTCCGTCTTGTGTCATGTTGCACACTACAATTTCTCCCACAAATGATCAGTTATCCTGAATCTTTCCAGAGTAAGTCTCTCGTCTCATTTTCTGACTTTCTGCATATCTAAATCTAACGAACAGGATTAACCGCTTATGCTCAGGAAATCAGATATACAGGTGTTCTGTACAGTGTTTTGTTGGGTATCTACATAACATGTATGATATGAATTGGTAATGCTTTTGTATGCGTAAGTGAAGCGGGCCAACGCGAGACCCTGGCAAGATCTCAGTCCACAAATGACATTCAATCATGAATGATGCATCAATTCCAGACCCTGTTTCACCCAGCGCTTGTTCCTCCAGGGAACCCACCAGCATTACCACCTAACCCACCTAACCAACCGGCTCTGCCATCTATACCATTACCCTGTCACCCACCACTAGCAATCCGCCACTGAACCCCCCAAATCTGCCAAACCCGCCTAACCAGGCTAAGGCATAGCACGGATGGATCCGGCCTGCAGGTTTTGAGTCATAAACACATTATCTCCTTGCTCTTTGGGTCCTTGCAGCCTTCATTATATGCAATGCTGCCACTCCAGCTGCCTCCAACGGCTTCCCAGCCATCTTTCTTGAGTTCCTTCATCATGATCTCTCCTGTCTCCCCCCTTCTTCACAGCTTTTCAACATCTGCTCTCATTGGTGACAGCATGTTATACCATGCAAGTGAATCACAATCGCAAATTGACGTGTATACCAGAGTCGATAGCAGAATCCATGACAGCCTGGTGGTCGGCAAAATCAAAGTTGGTAAGGAATCCTAGTGAGCCGAGTGCAAATGTGAGGGCAAGAGGACTGATTCGTTGGAAGAGCCATGAGGTAAAGAGTACTGTTCCATCACCACCAAGCTGTGAGAGAATATGAGATAGCAGAGTTGGATGTATTATCGCAACATACCGTGACGACGAAATCGAAGAGATAGGGACTATAGCTGCACATATGAGCAACGTAACTGTCCTTCTTCTTTTAAAATAGAATTTTTCTTTAGGAAGAGATGCAGAGGTGAGAGATGATAACAAAGTACTGCTGGAAGTACAGCGGATAATCACGCACATTCAAAGCCCTCTGTGTCAAATCACCGGGAATACCATAGTTGATTTGAATCGGTGATGTCAGCAACAAGCAACAGCATGGAAGAAAATGACATATCATCGGATGCATGATGTGCACAAGCCATGAACAGGAGACTCTTGTGTATATGAGGTCTCGTCGAGCTTGTGGACAAAGTGAATGTTTCACATAGTAGAGAGATCGTTGAAGACGACCTTGTTGGGTTAAGACACAGGATGTGGGCTGTAAACCAGATATTGAAAATCACTCAGGAGAGATAGAGATACATTGTAAATGGTGTAAAAGACAATACATGCGATGGATAGAGAGGCAGAGGCAATCTAGCAGAAATATAACCCCGGGAGAGGGGGGGGCTGGAGGGGCAGTGACGATCAATTGTCACTTTTTTGTCATGACGGCCTCATCAGCCAATCGAAAAGTGCAAGTTGTTATCCAATAACACGCTCCACCCTCGTAGGGCTAAGGATTTGCTCTTCGCCATTTTCTGACCGTATCATCACTGTTCACTTTCTACCAGCCTCTTTTCTCATGGATCACTTCCTGAAGGACAATGTCAACCAAGTCAATACTGCACGCCTCAGTGCAGAGTGTTAATTAGAGCCTGTGAAGGGTATTATTGCATGGAGACCACATATCTACATCCATTGAGCGACAGTGTGTGCCTTTTCAACTTGCTCTTCATTTATGACTAAGCTTTTGTAGATGTAGACTCTCGACCTTCATATCATTCCCTAAGCACGAAGGCCACCCTGGGCTACGACCGAGTCCGACTTTCTGATATCTTCCCGGATGCAGGCCTCATTCATTTTTCTTGTCGATGTTCCCAGCTTGGACATCCTTAATATTTTTGGATTTGCATGCCATCAATAAACAGGATTCATATCAGATGGCATGCGATAAGCCCATCCTTGAGCTCGCCAGCCCTTACGACACGTTCACCATGTCCAGTAAACCTTCCATTTAACGAGCGTTGGCTTAACGCTAATGTTCCTTGTTCAGTTTCATTTGGATATTGCACCGAGAGGTAACGAGCATGACTGGAGGTGCTATGTATGTTTGCTTACTTTTTTGTCTCTTCGTTGCTGACTCGTTCAGGTAGGGTTTTCTTGAAAGGGCAGTGAGAGCTGAGGGATCTGCGAGGTAAGATCCTTTTTTCGTTCACTTACTCGATGCTGACAGTGCCTATACAGCTAGGAAAATACATGTTGATGCAAGTGTAATGCCGGCGTTGTGCAACGAGGCAAGAATGATGACAATGCGAGTATATCAGGATTCTGACCCTTTGTTGGTCAGCTCCTAGTTTTAAAAGTACAGTAGGGTTAGGAAGTTAACGAGCACATCAAGGAGTGCTACGGTAAATTTCTTTACATTTTGTCTCAATTCTGAAACACCATCATCAATTTCCTGTTTTTCTTTCACCGGGCTTCAAGCGAAATAGTAGCCAGACACTATCCCCTCAAAACAGGCAATATTCAATATATAATAGCGAAATAGTCTGATAGGCCAATATTGGACCATTATATGACCTAATGAAGGTATATTGGGTCAATATTATGTTCAGGCACAGGCAGCATTTTGTAGCATATAATAATAATTCGGGCCTCATAACGAATACAGTAATTGCATGATGGAACAGACTCCAAGTTCAAAGTACTGGATATACAGGACCTGGTGCCGCATCATATCTATGTCTACCACCGCTACATCAATGACAACGTGCTCTAGATTGGTCGAGACAGCATGTTTAATGGCACCCTTGGGTGCACAACCAACAAACACCACGAGATCATCTCGGACTCGAGGCAAACCCCTTAGTACAAAAATCCCCCACATCAACAAACCAATCAGAGTCCTGGTGGTGAAAATCATCCAGCAGGCCAATCGAAAGGCAAGCTTCGTGTGCCCACTAAGAGACCTGTAACTGGTTCTACAGAGGATGCAATGAGGACCAAAAAGCCAAAGAAGACAACGACAGGCGCACCAGTTCCATTGGAAGACATGACTCAATCTGCTTCCGAATCAAATACAACCTCTCAATTTCTAGATCCTTATGCTCAAGTGCCAGCACAGTGGGAGCCTCCGTTTAGCATGCAGGAGGCAGTGGCTCGCTCTGATATCGTTACATTGTGTGTAGTTTGCTGCTAAACATCTTGACGACTTGCTCATACTGTTTGCCATCCAGGAGACAAGCCCTTGACCACAAGGCCCTTAATTTCAATGGAATAGAAGAGCAATATGACGATAATCACTCACTTTATGCATTGGCCATTGCCCAAGAACAACAGCCCATGCAAATATCACAACATATACCCTTAATGCCAAACATCGATCCAATGCTCCATGTCCATTCTGCTTTGCAATGCCAGATTCCCGCTGCCTATTCTATGTCTTCTGAATCAAACCTCGTAGCTCATGTGGATGTAGACGATAATCCTTTCAACAATGTTGAAGATGCTGCCACAATGAATTTGACCTCCACTTTCATCGAAACCATGACTTACGAAGATTCTGCCACCAATGAACCATATGATATGACTCAGACCCCATGGGTCATCAAAGCCACAGAAGATGAAGCTGCCTCCTCAGTCATCGAGACAATTGGCTTCTAGTTCTTTGGACAATGACTGTGAGGAGTCTCAGTTTGTTAACACTCAGCTTCCAAATGGGAGGACTCACGCACCTGCAGATCCACCATCTAGACAACATGAGATGCAGCAAAATATCCTTCCCCTCCCATGAAAGCATTGACGGTCCAGACGAATGAAGCTGCTCGCAAATCCTTCTTCAGTACTTCAGTTTCATCTTCTTCACGGGTGTCGACACACTTTCTTCCAAATACACCTAAAAACTTGGGTCAGTCCGACGCGTCAGAGGCCAGAGCTGCTCATAAATCCATCTTCGATACCTCAGCATCCAGATCTTCCTCACGTTCTTCAACGCCTCTCTTGACCAGTACTCCTAGAAATGCATTATTTTTCTCCAAGTCAATGACGGGAGAAGTAAAACGGATGGACTCACGAGAGACGACACCCGGCCATGCTCCAAAACTCATGCTGCCTCCACCACCACCAGTTCTACAGAGCATCTCGAAATGACACGTACTGATTATTGATAGAGTTAGAAACAGGTCCTGCAGACAATAGATGCTCACACACCTCCATAACGACCTATCTGACACCTTCCCTTGTCTCCTCTCGTGAAAGCCTGCTTATCTTGCTTTCTCAAGCTTAGCTTTCCTCTGATTGTCGGCAGTCTGGGAATCTTGTTTCAAGTTACCGCACTTGCAATTTGTGCATGGGCACCATACAAGAGCAGCTGAAGGACCAGTCAGCATGGTCTCTGGTATCACAAGCTGCATAGGTAGTGGTTGAGGTTCAAGTCAGAGGTACACTTGATTGTTGGGCCCAGAGAACTCGAAGTCGATGCTGTGATGTGGCAAGCAGCAGCCAAAGGCCCATTGCAGCAGAAATATTGACTAAGTCCAAGGAGATGCATACAGAATACAAGCAAAATATAAGATATATTGTCGATATAGTGGTGGAACGAGAAGAGGATCGAAACAGATCAACTATCTTGTAATTATAACAGGTATCAACAAGATAGCCGCGGCGACTTTTTTGGCTCAAAGTCCGGTGTTTGTTTCGCCTTCCATCTGCTCATTTACTCGCAATATGTACATGAAGCTTGGCTTGCACCTTTTGTTGATCATTGGAAGGGTACTATGACTGTTGCTTTCCCACTACTATTCAGGCAACTGAAGGGATCAGGTCAGGGTCCTGAACAGTTCATCAGACTTCTTCTCATAACACGATGCTTGGCTGGCACCTTTCGTTCATCATTGGAACAGTGTAGTGGAGCTAGCACAACGTTTTGAATGCTTTTTCACTGAAAATGTCTCACAAAGCTCAAGCTGTGCCTGGATCGCCTTGTGCGATATAAGTCTTATTTGACTCTGCCCATCTCCTCCCATCGAAAATCGTTCACTCATCTGTTGATGTCAGCGCTTACATTGGCCATTGAGGTTCTATGCTGGAAAGAACGATGTTGCCTATTTGTATCTTGCCGTCACCCCTTCCCCAGTATACGAAGCATGATTAAACTTAAAAATGTTGAATTGGGTGTTTATGTAAATGGATGCATGATCCTACTAATAAAATAACAAGACAAAAGAATAAAAAATAAAACAAAAAGCCTATAGGACTTGGTAATGCCACGCAAATGCAATGGCCCTCAAAGACTAGTTCACAGCTGCCCCAAGGTCTGCATCTGTGAACCCGCCCTTCTTCTCTGTGAGAGGATCCACCATCCTTTCCAGTCCTTCCTTTACTAGCTCGACCAGAACGGCTTCAGGTACAGCCATTGAAGGCCAGGTTAATGCTCTGGAAAGAAAGTGTACTACTTAACGATGGGTTCCCAGTGCTGACAATATCAAGAATGCGATGTGAATAATTGAGCCAATCATAGTTGATCTTCTGCCGAGAAGGTCGGATCCAGATTTTGTGCTCTTCATCGAAGTTGCTAGGATAGCGTATACATAATCCCTTGCTACCAGTGATATGACATTGAATAGCAGTCAGGATGACGGAAAGCCTGAGCAAGGTAGTTATGCTTCTGAGGGCTGACTTGTTGATAAACCTGCACCCATCAGTCATGAGCCGATCTGCAGAAGGTTTCCCCTCACCATCCCAGTCAGGAGTGGCTATCGCTGATATCAGAAAAAGATATTTTCAAGCCAAATATTATCTTACTTTTGCCCTTAATCTCCAGGATATTTCTATCCTCAAATATCAAACCAGGAATCAAAGTCGACAATCCAAGCGCATTTCTCGTGACATATTTCGCACTGGGCTAGCAAGACGTCAATTAATATCCAACACTATTATGGACCAGCATGTATCTGTTTCGAATTCAATGCTGCAGAGTTGTGCCATTCTAAAATAGTAGGATATGACAAGCGGTACTGATCACCGCATCATCTTAGGCTTGTGCACTTGTAATTTTTGTTACCTTCAACAAGATAAAGAGAACCTTTGGTACCCACGGAACAAAGACACGTCTGCAGATGACAAACTTTTGAGTCAGGAATTCCCTGATGGCCTTTTCGATGCCCATCAAGAGTTTATCAGATACGCGAATCTGCAGCATCTGATGAGAGCCCAAAAATACGCACGAATCGCATTGACTTGCACATCTAGTAGCTGCAATTCAACTTTGAACTTGTCTTTCTGGAGTTCGATGAGGTGGCCAATCTGCCAGACTTGTCCGCCATACCAGTGGGTCTCGTGACTCTCGCCATGGAAGTCTCCCATAGGACCAAGACTGTGACCTTGATTCTCCATAAGTGCCAGCTGTTCGAGCATGATCTGCTTCCTAAAGAGACTCAGATATTTAAAATGAGAGAATCTTATGCCAGACGTAAAGCACAAACCCGATTTTGTATTCCAGTGAAGCACTGAAAAAAGGTCAGTTCATCATGAATGAGGTGATTTTAAACAGGACGTCTTCATCTGTGTCACTCAGTGAATTCGACAAAATGAGCTTTTTCCCCTGACATCATCCCATGTCCAGGAGTTTGTCGACCCTCCACATGCCAATTCCCACTGAATGCCCATGAGATCTCCTTGTCATCGAACAACTTTTGGACTGCTGAATCATGTGCAATTGCATTGGTAGGCAGCTTAACTCCATTGAACAGATGGTGTATAAAGGAGGCTCTGGGGCATCTGAGCTAGAGATGTTCATATCTGTGTCAGTTTCCGTATCAGTGCCATCAGAAGGAAAGGTCGGTGTGGCTTCAGGTAGAACAGGTTGTTTTTCCTTCCCCGAGGAACATTAGGGTCGTCAGGACTGTCAAGGTACATACTGACACTAGCCCATAGTTGCTCGGTAGACATCCTCGCATGGTGGGGAGCAGTGGCAGAAACACCACGATGAGCAGAAGAAAAAACATCAGACTCAGTTGTAGAGTCAGATTCTGAACTATCATCATCTGGAAATTTCCCTACTGGTAGGCAATTGAAAGAGCAAGGGGATGGTATGGAAGAAGTACGAAGAGGTATGGATGACACAGGAGTCGGCATGTGCTTGGGAAAAGATTTCAGCATCTAAATTGATGACCCAGAGGCTATTGGAGTGCCAGTTGAATGACCAGAGACAGGTGTCCTTTTTGGTCGAGTTAGTGTGACATTGGCAGAGATTGAACTCATCAGGTTTGCCTTGCACGAGGAAGGCGCAATGGTTTGAGAGTTGGCCTTCTGTGTCCTAAAAGGGGAAGAAGAGGCATCAGGAGAAGACGAATTTTGCTTCCGGAATGGGATTACAGGCTCGTCTTCTGAGTTGCTGGAAATAACTAGTGCATCATTTAATGAATGTATAAAAAGTAGGTGCAAAGTATATACCAAAGACCTCCTTCGGAGGATCTCAAGGCAACGATATCTGGATTTTTGACATGCCCTTTTCGATAGGTATGACTCCCATTGAGTGCAAGTTGGCGTTTCGAGAAGGTGCTACAAGTGGAATGAAGGGTACTGCAATATGGTCATTGTAGTTAACTTTCTGCAGTTATCTAATGAGACATCAATCCATTGACCTGAATCTTCTCTTTTCAGTGGTTGTGGTCCTGTGCCAATGTAATGTTTGAGCAGTAATGAGGTAGGGAGAGAACAGAAACGTGTACCTGTCCTCTTCACAGGCGATCCCTGTGCCATCACCATAAATCCCAAGTCTAAACCTGATGGAACCACATTTCTCTCTAAGTATCTGCATCAAAATAGATATTCGTAACCAGGGAATGCACTGAATTTTTTTTCTGCCCCAAAATTTAATCCTAAAAATAATTCTCACCCCTCTGCTTTGCAACGGGCGTTAAGCATGCCGACGACTTCCATCCAAGACAAATGGTGGGCCTATTTACTTGCAAAACAACTTCCCAGTTCTCTTGTCTGTTCCTTAGCAGCCTCGGTCCGTTCAGCTCTGAGCAATCGGGATGATGCAAAGCTCAGGACCGTTTTTAAGCGAGTTAGTCAGGTATGACAGGTGAATTGTCATCGTAGCATGTGGTCGCTAAGTGCATAGGAATATTTACGAACTCGAAGCCTGAAGACGTGCAGACGGTGCAGTGATGACCATTTGAGTAGCAGTTCCCCAGGCCAACATGTTTGGCAGTACTCGAAACAACAACAGCCACTGGCAGTAAATGACTCGAGCCTTCCTTCTTTTTCTTCAAGGTCTGCCATCTTGACTTGTTTGTCAACAATGGCGCAGAAGTCATTGACTATTCCCTTGGTAGGGATTGTTTGAGACCATTTGCCAGTGTAACTACTTACTACTGCTGCTGCGTGACAATATTCAAAACTATCACGTCAATTTTTGGCCTTCATACAAATTGTGATTTAGATTAAATAAGTACGACATGCCTCAAAAATCTCCAGGGCATTGCAAAAAAGTACGATTATACTACTACGTGCATCCTCGATGGGCTTCATGAGCTGGAAAAGTTCTCACTCGATCACACCCCTCACATCGTCTCTGTGCCATTGATATCACCACCCAAATGTCTTCTGGTATCCCAATCCTGGAATTCCATTCCCCCCAGGTGGCCCATATAGGTGCCCACTCTATGCTAGCTTCTGTGTCTAGCTCTTCCAGGCAAGGGGGATGAATTCTTGTGGATGGAGACCTGGGCACTACTTCAATGGGTCGTCAGTGAGAGAGAAACTTCTCAACATTCAGCAGAAATCATACCATGAACTACAGTTGACCAGTTTTTGCAGACTCCACCATCAATAGGGGCATTATAACCATCGAGAGAAAAAACACAAGCACAGGCGGCGCATTTCGTACTGTCAAGACATAGCCAGCTCCATTCATGAATGAAAAGGCCAGAGCATGAATGTAGACCATGGATGATTCTCCCAACGTCAGTGTCATAAAACTGAAGGTGGTTGACCCTAACATCATGGCCAGCAGGATAGAGGTTCCTATCGTAGGGATAGAGGATAGGATGTAAAGGTGTTGATGCAGGATGAAAAATCGGATATTCTGGCATCACATAAGTCATAAAAGCAATCAGTTCCAGGAGGTAGAACATACTGGAATAAAGTCCTATGCTGTGACGATCTTTGACCGCAGACATGAGCCTTTCATCTGGAATCAGGTAAATATGAACGAATGAAGCTCTTAACAGAAGGATACTAACCAGGACAAGCTCGCCATAAGGCCACAGATGAGGAGAAGAAACTTTGATGGGATCAGAATCCAAGTTTCAGAGGAACCGGAACAATGTCACATTTTCTAGACACCTCTGAAGAATCTGCATGGTGGAGTCCATCAGAGTTGAAGGAGGTGTTATCAAAAAAGAGATGCTTGCCTGGGGAAAAGTCCTCAAGTGGTGGCACCACAACTAGAGAGAGAAACAAGACAGATCAGAGCAGTAGTAGATAGAGGTTCATGAAGTTCCTACCTATGAAGGTGCAATCATGTTGTGATAGCAGAACTCGAAAATAATCAGGCCCATGATTACCGCCTAGATGCAACGCCATGGTACAGTCAAGTTGACTGTGCCGACCGTTGAGAATGTGAGGACACAGGGGGTGTAAGGGCAGAACCCCTGAGTAGAATTCAAAAGCGTGCATGTTTTGCATAGTTCTATCAGGAAAATTGATTACTGGACTATAAAATGATATGAGGTGCGATCCGGAAGAAAATATGCAATGCAGTACTGTGAAAGCTCCTTCCACTTTCGCAAAGTTTCGTCAAAAGTAGCCATCTTCCCTACCAAAGCAAATTCCATCAGCTCCTCTTCAAATCGAGCCAAATCTGTCTCTGAGGGATCGCACGTCACTAGAAGTCTAGTAGCACGAGTGCAGTTGGGTCTACAGTGGGGATTAAATCTAGTTTTCATGGGTGTCAGGGCAGAAAGTGGAGAGGGTATGAGGTGAAGAAATGAGAGGGTATCTGGATCATTTTAAGTCTGTCGAGAAACGGACACGGCCCGACTTTTCCATAGCGAGTCAGATATTTGGGGGTTGTAAGGTGATGCATTGTGGGGGGACAGAGTGGGCGCAGCACACTTCTGGTCCATGGTGCTGATGCTTGCACAAAAAGATTTTTAGGGCACACGGGTAAGAGGCCCAGATGGAAGCGGTACTAGACAAGACAGGAACTTGTTCATTGGAATTGGACATCTTGTGGGTGCCATGATTCCCATTGGTGTTGGAGGCCAGTTCTAGTGAGAAATTTGCAGTGAACACCCCTACTCTCTGAGCCAAAAAAAAGTTTGAATAAGTGGAATCGTCCAGGGGAATGGACCAAAGCCTTCATTGGATACAGCCTTCCGAAGTTAGGCGCTGTTCTAACCTCAGGTCTCTTCATATAACCCAGGCTTAGCTGACAGAAGAGGTCTGGAAGCGTAAAAGGGTTCATATAAGTATACCCAGCTTAATGAGGATAAATACTCACCCTTTTTAGGGACTGCTTGCCAGTGCGAAGACGAGTACTACTCGCTGTGATATCAGTTGGTGCAGTTTTGAAACTCTGACACAAACTGGTTCATTGGTGTCGCTGACTCACTGTGACGGACAATCGTCAGTACCTGCTTAATCAGCATCGGCATCGGCGCCTTTACAGCCTTCCCAAGCCCTATGACTCCAGGCTAGTGGAAACAATAGGGCGTTCGATGTTTCTGGAGAACAATGCCAGGTGAGCAGCGTAACAATAGAGATAGATTTGACAATAAGCATAGACTTTTAAAATGGAGCCCGACCAAAATTTCGGAGTCTTGAACGACTTGACGATGGTGGATGCTGGTCCCTCTGGTGAACATATCTACACCCTAACAAGAACCTTAGAAATGCCCCAAGGAGCAGTGCTTTGCTTAGGGACAACAGATGATGGACAGTATCTAGCAGTGGGTGGTAAGGGTACTTTTGATGTTAGTACTTAGGAGGAATCACTAACTGCTCTAGGTACCGGTGGCATCACATTGTGGAATCTCCAATACGAAAAAGTCCTGGCTTGTCCTTCTGGTGAGGGACAGAGAGGAGCTACCACTGTTTTGACCTGGGTTCGAGAGACTGACGAACCCATGGAGCTTCTTTTCTTTGGGACCCAGAATGGTCACCTGGTCACCTGGAAACAGACCATACTGCAAGGCAAAGTCCATTTCCAGTCAACAATATAAGCGATTGCTCACCCCCATATCAGGTATTTGAAGAAACACAGTCACTTCAAATCTGCAATCCCAGTGAAATCACCTGCCTTGACTATGACCCTTCATACAACAGGCTGGTTGCGGCAAACCACTGTGGCAGCATTGTCCTCTTTTCTGTTGAGAGTTCTCTAATCCCTCTCAGCTATATTACGATCCCAGATTATCTCCCCAAAGTGATTTTCTTTGGTCAAGTGTCTGGAAGCGATGCAAGTCGTGAACTTTTGGTTCTCAGCTTGGAAGGCCAAATGTGAGTATGTACTCTTGGTCTGGTTCTATCTGATCATTTCAACCGGCCTAGACACGTCCTTAGACATCATGACAGGAAAATGCGCAAGCACAAGTCTCTTGATGTCAGCGGAAAAATGTATGTTCTCCATTTCTTTGGGGTGCAGTTATACTAATACCTGCTTGCAGTGGCAATGCTGCAATCACTAGTGCCAAAGACATCCTTGGGATAGATGACCCTTCTGAAGGTGTAGCACTTTATCGTCTACAAGACGGAGCTAGGGTGTGGACTTTCCCGGTACCTGTCAGGAAGTCTTGTCGTCCGCGTCAGGTTGCATTTGCGGAAGAAGGCAAAGTTGTTGTTTCTGGTAGTGATCATGGCATGGTATATGTCTTTGACTGTAGGATGGGTAGTAAGATTGATGCATTACGCATAGACCGGGAGGACTGGGTTCAGACTTTGGCGGTAAGTGGATACGCTGTAATGTGAGCCTTGCTGAAAGGTTGACTAGACTGTGTCCCTCAAAGAGAAGCCTTGCATCTTGGCTGCCAGATCTCGAGAGCTAGAAAAGCCAGCCTTGATCTTCATCTGGGAAAAAGGAACAAAGACCTCGACCATGACTACCATCCTAAAACCTCTAACCTTTGGGTGACTGCTTTTGCCTTTTATGGTATTGGCTACAGGTTGCTTCATCTATCAGAACCTTCTGATTGTTGTGAGTGCGCATCTTCTCATCCGAAGAATTTGGTTTTCTGATATTGAATATCTTCCAGGTACCTTACTTCGCTAAGGCAATAGCTTGAGGGTACCATAGTATCTTCAGGATTGAATACTGAATTCTCTTTGGTACTCGGCATGTAGTTTGGATACATCATACTCTAGAGGTCCTATGGACATGTTATGGTGCGAATGACTCTTTGTAAAGCAAGTAGGGTCAATTGCACATCCTTCCCACATGCTGTGCGATCAAAGCATGTGACAATATGATCCGTGGGCAGTTTACACTCATTCCATACCTTGCTGCATCAAGTGTATAACCGTGATCTAGTGCCAAATTAATATATGACGATAATTGTACGTGGCCCAATTCACGCAACCCACGATACAACCATATATTTTCCTTGTTCTCACTATTATAGCGAAGTCAGGCTTGCATGTTGCTAACCATATATCCTGATCTACTGATCATATAAATTCGTTTTCATTATGATCATCCGAATTGTTTCACTAACATCATGCCAAGACAGGTTTAGACCAGAAAGATGCAATCATCTTATTCTGGTGCCTCGGATGTGGGGTGTAAAGTGCGAATCATTTGCACCACGTATTCCCGACTTTAAAGTGAAGTCCCTGATAATGGATATTGCCTTCTTGCTGGCTCGGTAAGCCAGTCTTTGGTGTTATTTTTATTTCTCGCTATTTTACTTGAAGCGAAATCATGGGAATACAAATGGTACTACAGTTAATACCGGTTCCTGTGCGATGACCGGGTTTTGAGTAAAGTAGCTTGAACGTGGATATGCAACTTTCTAGTTTCAGCAGATTCGCATGGTCCCGTAACATGAGTTTGAAAGGATGGAGCATTCCACAAATGATAGCAGGGTCTTTGTGAAGGTGGTAGATGAGTTATTTCAGTGCCACAAGGAAGGCAGATACCCGGTCCTGGAGCTGATGGTAAGCCTGATCCGAAGCTACAAGCGAGAGATGGGAGGAGGGTGCAGACATCTTTTCGGTGGTTTTTCTTCTTACTTGCTCTATAATGCTCGCTAATGGTATCTCTTCTAGAGTCTTATAAACCCGGCGGCCCACAGGTTCGGAAAAGGTGATGAGGATAACAAGCATACAGGAGTCTACAGGAGTCCAAACTGGTGATGATGAAGGTCTATTTTGGTAACCCGCAACACACCATGTTAAGGGCAAAGACACAGGGGTACAGTACGCTAAAACTATTTAGGGCTATACCACTACTCATTGATATGCTATTCTACTTTGCAGCTTTAAGGAAGGTATAACTCTCGTGTGTCATTCTACATGTCTTTTTTGTGGTGCCAAATTACTGATGTCATGTTTCCACATAAAATAGCCATACTACCTACAAAAGAAGAGAAAAAAGGGGAAAACATAACTTATACACTCACCCTTTTGTTCCCCAGGAGTCACTGGACTTTAGAGAAAGGGAAGTTGGGAAGTTTATCTTGCAATCATGACCCTGGGATCCCGGATTGCATTGTAGATTGATAGCATTACATACATTATTCAAACAGATAATATTATTTCTCATGAGCATCCACAACGGCCCTCAACTTTCCAGTATGCATGTGTTATATTCAGTAATTTCTAGAATTCCCAAAGTTGATTGAGGGACGTAGCTCTGAGTCACTGTGCTGACATAATAGCAATGATCACCTGACTTCCAAACATAATCTTACGGCCATCAGACATAAGAGCTGTAAGATCAATGGTGGGTCTACAGCTCCTGCTTGCACCATGGTCATGTTTTCCAATGCACAGGATTTAGACGCGTGCACCTTCCCTTACATCCAAATCGAGGGGGGTGCCAACACACGATCCAGAATGCTCTGCGGAAGGGTTAGACAAAGGGAGTCACATGGAACTGAAGTCAACGAAGGAGGAGACAACCGTTAAACCATAAGTAAAAAGTCCCTCACCGAACAAACTGTGAATCAAATGCCGATGCTGTGTCGCTGTCAGTGGCAGATTCATCAGTTGTGCTAGTGGATGAGTGGACACATCAACGATGCCAACACCACGCTCGACGCTGGATGTATACCATCATAAGACACCAGTATAGAACTGGTAAAACAAGGGACATACATGCATAAACAGATGAGGCAGATTCAGAAGGTTCAACCACAGCAGCAATCAGACAGTGCATCATAACCGATGATGGAATCGACTGGATGCAGTTCCACTGGGGTGCCTGGAATATGCAAGGATGTCAGAAAACTGAAACCTGTAGACGAAACATGCTAGCCAGTACTGAGGTATATAATAAAGCTGGCTTGCCAGGCTAAATGCGACTCACCATGATGAGGGCAGGGGGATCTCTTGTGGGTGCAGACTTGAAACCCCAACCAGATGCTGGCACTTACAGACCATGTGCAAACATGTAGTAACATGCTAGAAGTGCTGTTGCTCTTATCTCATGCTAACTGCTAGGCAGACAGCGAGTAAGTCATAGCGAAGGCCTCCTCCATCATAGCGTGGTAGCCTTGAGATGAAATGATATGATTGAAATTACACATGTGCTATACAAAGTGGGTGACACTCATAATAGTGCTCAAATCATGTTGTAAGCACAGCCACAAGTGGCAAAATATTCAGTGTTCACCTATGTCCCACTATTCTCGCCTTGCTTCTTCCTGTTGACTTCTCGCCATGAAAAGAAGAATGGAATTTTAAACATAGATTACAAGCAGCAGGTATAGAAGACAACAACAGTTACCTGCACAGTGGATACATCAGGTGTCTGCATGCAAGAGAGCCTCAACAGCTTCCATCGCTTGACGTGAATACTGAAGAGACTTCTTCAACAGACCTGCAGTCTTCCGAAAACCATGGCTTAATCTATGATGACTGACTTTCTCTTAGTCTTCTCGAACATGGCCGGATTCTTTGGCATCTTGGTCCCAGCTGTATGCCTGAGCACTCTAATCACCGATATCTATCAGATTGAAACTGCCAGACATAAACTGCCGACCAGCATTATGTTCAAAAAACCTATTTCAAGTCAGAAGATAGGAGTGGAATGCAGGAAATATCACTTACTTGACATGTCCTCGGACATATTTTTTACTCCAGTCCGCTAGCACCAGAACTTCATGGGGAGTTCGGGGTTGCGTGCAGCTCTATAACCAAGGTATTACATTCTGCTCACCAAGATAGATAGATCATTACCTGGCAACCTTCAAGACAATCTTGAGCACTGCCACAGAAGGCAGGGTGATGATGGAGATGCCACGCTTCTGACACATGTGCTTCATCCTGCACCTCAGCCAATTTCCACACTGGGTCCAGGTTCAATTCTTTGGAATTGAGAAGATGGTCGGCATTGATGATATGGCATTCTATCTTGGCAGTGTTCCACTTGGGACCATGTGGTACATGGAAGTGAGCATAGTCACTGATCTCATGGGGTTGACAGGATTCCATCATGCCGTCGACCACCAGACTATGAACCTTGAAGACTTTCTCTGTATCAGGATGTTTTAGATTTTGGGTTTGCCTTGAGATCAGGTGCTCCATGCAGAGGAGCCATGCAAGACCCTGTAGTTCGGAGGGTCGTCGATGGTATATCTGGTAGTAAAATCAATCATCTGAGCATATCCGAGAGAAAATTCAAGCAAACACACTTCTGGGTTGATATTCTCCTGCCGTAACAATGGTATAAGGATTCTAAAGCCTCTTGAAGCATACTTGACAAGACGAAGCTCATAACTGGGCAATCGCCAAGTAAGATCAACTGTGTTAGCCTGCCTCATAAGAGCAACAATTCCTCTGGGATTGGACCACACCCAATATCCTGGACAACATTGTTCAACCTCATAAAAAGGATAACAGAGAAAAGACACACCATCATAGAGGAAACAAGCACTGTCGACGTCGAATTCCATCAGGATCTCGCTGATTGAGCTGTAGAGCCAAAGCACGATCTGAATCACACGGAAAGGGTATTGGCCTATCAAGTTGTTTCAAAGGTCTGCTGGAATAATTTTGGAAAGTCACGTACTGTGGATAGAGACTGTGTTCTTGGTATGGACACAGATAACATTATATGGCACACTGCCTCTCACAACATCGTATATGTGTACAATCTTTCTCTCCGCGTCTTCTGGAGAAAGGCTATACAAAAAGACATCAATATCGGAATCAGGGTACCATCTTTGATGATACTGCCGAGTCCGAATGGGAGAGTCCAGAATCTTGGGTGAAAGGTGATCTAGGCAAGCGAGAACACTGCCACCTGCAACAGCAACATTGTTCCAGTCGATCTCTGAGAGCATGTTCTCGGTAAATGACTTCCAGGAATTCTCAAACTGTTGGAGAGAAGAGACCATTACTGGATCACCCTCGGGATAAAAGTGTCCTCCTGCTGGATCTGTGAACAGAGTGCACTGAAGCGACACATCGCTCAGCGTAGAAAGAAAGAGACCCTTGTTGTCCTCATTGAAGACATCAACTAGTCCGACGTGAGCATCTGCAATTGCTGGGTCATTGCGAGCGATGGCATAAAGTCTCCTGCGTGTCTGATCTTCCTCGGAAGCAAGAAGGGCCATGTCGTCAACGTCGAGGCCATTACGGAGGTGGTGCGTGAAGAGATCAACATGGGCTTCTTTGGCCTTTTGGATTTTACTCGATGAACGATAAGACATACAGATACAGACAACACTCACTTCGTTAGAGGTGTGAACCCTGCTGGTTGAAGTTGCAACAGATGGTGATGAGCCTCTAGGCTCTGTGCACTCTGAAATCGTGGACACAACCTACAATTTATCACCTTTGTCCCTATAGTGGACTTTCCCTAATTCAATGATTGCAAGCAAGATGCAATTTAAACCAAGTCAATGGGTGTTCAGCACACGAAGTTAGTGATTCACGTATGATGTCATCGGCATCGGCCCTATCGATCCTTCCCTTCTCCCCATGGACTTTGTGCCTTGCAGTCTAAAACTAGCACTGCCACCCCACATGAAACATCCCTGCGGTCATGAATTATCCATGCGCAGCCTTGCAAAACGCGTCACGTAGCTAAAACTACGGCAAGTCAGCTGCAGCCGTAGAAAATTATTCATCGAAGTATTGGAGATCTGGTTAGTGAGAACCCTTAGTCACATTAGTATAGCCTTAGGCGCAGTAACTGTGCATACTTACCAGCCTTTGCTAAGTAAGTACTTGAATAATCTATGCTATAGTAATATTAGTGCTAGAGTAAGGTAGCTTAGTTAGCCAGTGTAATGAGTATTTAAGCTCGCAAGTTGGTAGCCTGATAGGAGAAGAAGGGAGACCCCAGATTATTCTCTACGCTTACCTTCGATCCCTAACACCTACACCATACAACATACACCCTTGAAGTAGCGCAATAAAGACATTTTGCTGCTAGAACTTCGTCTCGAACCTTTATTTCTCTAAGCAACAGTGAACCTTTAATGGTTACTTGTGCTTACAACACATCCCTCTCTTCTACGCAAAGTAATTAGGAGTCCCGCCACTAGGAAACTCTTTTATTGCTTTGCTTCGCAAACAAATTCGCTTGCTTCCGCAGCTAGGAGACAGTGTTTTCATCCCTCCCATCAATGCCTTCGCTTTCTCGCAGCCAGAGAAAGTCTCGTCGAGTATCAGACCGATCCTCATCACCTTGATTCAACCTTACCGTGCGAGTTTAATAATTCGCTACAGCCTCTGAGTTCACAGCTAGAACTTAGACAGTCTCTTTAGAGCTCTTATTCGTTGCACTTGCAGCTAGAGTTGCAACAGGAACAAGGTATAGTCCTTGTATGTTTACTGATTCGTTTTAGGGCCTCTTCTAGGATCCCTTTCCCAATTACTTCCCTTCCTGCGAATTTTATAGTTCGCTACCATCCTCTACGCTACTAGTAGAGAAATTTCTTTATCTTTCCGAACTTAGGAGGCTTTAGTCACCGCACAGAGGTGCCTGACTAGACTCGCTAGAACCATCCTTCAGATTCCGTGTCTGTCAGCACATACCACACCTAGGTTTTGTGTTTCCACCCACGGGAGTCTATAGGTTCATCAACAGCATAGAATCTTTCATACGGCGGGTTCTAAGTAAGGGTTGCGAGTGAGTAATAGGATTATTGAAAGCAAGTCTCAGAATCAGTGCCAGTTTTTAAGAGGATACATGGCTGACCTAGCCCACACAATAAGAGGATGTCGATTGCCCCTTCATCGACAGCGGTATTCCATCCTGAGATTCTAGAGTCAAACCCTACTAATTGTGCGAATCAGATGGCATAAGTAAAAGCCTACTTTGATGAGTCAAAGGCAATGTGCCATACTGGCCACCAGCCGAAAAACGATGTTGGTGGTTGACAAATTGTGAAAAAACAATGGGATTGGCATTTGAGTGGCAGACCGACAGTTCCCTGGGCCGATATGTCTGGCAGCACGGCACAATAGCAGTGACATTCCATCATTGGTGCCAGGCATGCCAATCAGCTCACCATCGGCACTGCACCCCACAAAATGCTTTCTGTTCTAACAGTATACCAGTGGTGCTCTCCTTCTTTCTTATTGTATATTTGAGGGTCTCACATCTTTTATTATTCTATTTTTCCAGAAGAGCCAAAGGCCTACCAACGATGAGCGGCCCTTGTAACAGGCATGAACTGCGTCTGGCTTGTTCTCTAATTTCGCATTTCCAAAAAAAAAGGGGGGCACACAAGTTTGGACCACTTCAATGGTATCTGTGGTGCAACAATAAGACACTGAGCCTTCGATGTCTTGCACGGTTGTGCACAGGACTCAAGTGGTACCCCGAGACTTGCAATCATGTAATGTCCAATCAACATCGATAGGTGCCAGGAACTAGCATCCTTTATCCTAGTTGTTCCTTTTGTTTCTTTTTTTCACCGGCTTTGAAGATTTGGCAATAATGCATCAGATCAGATGTGGTGGTTGTTGGCCTAGGCACCTGACTCATTAAGTTGAGCATCTTAGCTCTTTCTCGTCTAAGAATATGTAGGAGATATTACTTATAAGTTAGCCCTGAAGCTCAATGTTTCTCTCTCATCAAGTAACCTTCTGATCAAGTCCTGCCTGCATGCCGGAAGATCATCGTGTACAATTCTTGATCTCCCTCACATTTGTCTCTGACAACTTTTCCAGGCCCTTTTCACAAGGCTTTTCTTTGCTTCCAAGATAATCAAGAGCCAGGATCAGGAGATTGGTCGCCTATGTCGACGATCGATTGCATTGCAGCAACCAGAAACAGCACATGCATGACACCAAATCCTCTCTGAGTGAGCCTTCAGGGCCATACTTTCTTTGGACAAAGCATGTTTTTGGGCACCTCCGAGGCGGTATCGAACACTACCCAGCCATCACAGAAGAGTGAGTCATACGATGTATTCAATGTGTTCGATCAAATCAACGCTGACCAGAACTTGCCTAACTCGCTGCTTTTTTCAAATGGATCCAAGGACACTATAACCCGACTCAAGAGCACTGAGAGATCAGGCAGCCTTGCAAGCACCGATACTACCGAGGCCGACTATACTGCAGGTGCTGACCCACTCATGGTCAGTCAAGCTCGAGTTCCATAGTACGATATCACAGTTGAACTAATTCTGGAGTTCCAGCTCACAGCATATTCCTTTCACCCCAATGCCCATGCTGCCAGTAAGAACTTGTCTTTTATAATGTGACTGTTGATCATGAATCGAGTCAGCCACAAATCTTTGACAGAACTAAGACGGATTTTGCTAGAATCACAGTGTGTGTTCCCCCCTCTTCCAAATTCACTGGTAACATAAAGCCGCAATCATACAGAGCGACAAATTCAAAGGTATGGACACAAAGGGAGTTTCAGGCGATGATACTACAAAGGTAAAGCTTTCATCAACTACTGTTTTCAGACTAACATCAGATACAAGCTTTCCAGGTCGTCCTTAGGCTCCCCCTTTTCTCTCCAAACCTTGTCCCTAAAAAATACTCTCAGTAACACCATTCCATCCGATATCAGTGATGATAAACATGAGGTTGATCAAGCTGGATGACCTGGGGACTCCTGCACATTATCTTAGAAGTAGATCATCGCTGGACATGATAGATATCTTTGTGACAGGACATCAAAGCGTGTGAGGTGAAGTAGGCTGTACAGTAAGCAGTAAGGAACAGAGAAAAAATGTGATCTATAATGCTTGATTGTTCACCGGGTTTCCAGTAGTTAGGCGTCTCCTGGACCTTTTTTGTAATGACGTGTGCTTTCTTGTCTTGCAAAAAATCATTTGTCTTTATTATAGCACGCTACCCCAGCTAGCCCGTAAGGGCTTGCGGTGGGGTACATATATAAGCAACAAAGGGTGCGGTGTATATTATGTTGGCCGACTTCCATTTTGTGCTGACAACCACGAGGTTGGATCCAGATGTGCCCGCCAATCACGGTTCATGTTATCTCTCCTACTCTTGCATCCACAGGCCTTGATAGTCCCTCCATAAATTTCCATCTGCTATCCCAGGTCAGGTAAAGTCTCCTCAGATTCTGTATCATTAATGAATCCATTCAGTGAGAAGTGCCTTTGCCAGGGACCACCCTTGTACTCAAACTCACGAACACCGAAAGATTTTTTGTCAGCGAGGATTCAGAGAAAGAAATGAAGATAGCTGAAGTAGAGACAACCACAGACCACCAATACCCGCCCGTCCCAGTTACTTTGTTCTGGGTACAGTGCTAAGTGCCAGTGGTGGCGCAAATGATATGAAATAAAGCTTTCAACGGTTTAAATGTCCTTGCTAAATGTCGCAGTGAATGAATTCACTTGGTAGACACCAGAGAACTCAGTCTCAGGCTCGAGTCCTTGAAGTTGTTCAGCATCGACAGCCCCCAGGCAGGTCTTAATCAGGTGACTGATGCAACACGATTATTTGGCGCATGATATACATCATGCATCATCAATCAACTCTTCCATCCCTATCTTTTCCACTCCTCTACATTCGTTGTTTGATCTCTTCACTTGCTTTAAGCAATATAGTCTCAGCTGAGGGTAGAATGGCACTTAGCTGTGCCTGGGCAGGAGACAGTCTAGACTGTAGCCTGCAATGAGAAGGCGACCGTTATTGTCTTCAGCTCCTTTTTGATTACTTCAGTATCCATCGAATCTATTAGTAACTACGCAGATCAGAGGGGAGAACAGACAGGTAGTAATCTATTCATATTTACAGTTTCGCTAACTGACTGGCCTTCTGGCTGTGGTCTTAGCCACATTTTATTCAAGTACCCACAGACTCAAGTACAGTCTGTACAGTATCGAACTTCTGCTTCAGTCTGTCAGTGCTTTGGCCACTATTGTTATCGACAATGGGGGGGAAAAGGAATCTCACCAGGTCACTGTGGCATGGTGCTGCTGACAAGCCACTGAGTCGGGTCTGTATTTTTCGACATCCAGGGTGAGGGTTAACCTAACCTAAGCAATTCATAGATGTCCAGAAGAAGAAGCCTCAAAAAATGTGGGGCATCTATTGACGATCACTAATTGTGTGTTGGTTAGCACTTACAAACTTGAAGATGAGTAAGGTAGCATTAAGGACAAAAGACAGACAACCGCCGTTTGGGTGGTGGACTGATGGTTCCACGGGCTGATATGTTTGGCAGCACAGCGCAAGAAACAATAGAAGCATTTAATCGCCGTTTGCAGTCATTGGCACGTCAGTTAGTTCATCGGCACCATACCCTGCAAAATGCTCTCTCCTCAAACAGTGTACTGGCGGTGACTTATTTTTCTTATTGTCTATTTTGGGGGACTCACTTCTTTTATTGTCCCTTTTTTTTCTCCCAGAATAGCCACTGATCATGGTTAGCCTGGCAGTGCACCACGGTGTTAGGCTTATTTTCCGCTATAACACGGCAATTCTTTAATGATGAAAATAATTGGGGACATGCAAGCTTGACTGTTATGGCAGGTATCTGTGGTGCAACAATAAGGCCGCTTGGGAGTTTCGTGATGATCACTTTTTGAGCTGGACATCGAGGGTGTGATATCAAACACCCCCAGGGAGACAAAAACTTTCGTCATCCAAGGTCTCAAAATTAATTGGCATGTAAGGTGCCCTCATCTTGTCGCAGCTGGATCCGGCAGCACGAACAGGAATGAAGCAGTCTATCATAGATGGAAAGTGATTGGATCACAAAATACCAGTGGAATGGGCAAGCACAAAAAGAAGCAATATATTAACAGTATCAATGCTAGCATGACCTCCTCAAAACTACAGCCTCACTCAAGTAAATTTTCTAAGCTCTTGAAATGGACGATCAGATCCAGGGTACTAGGAAAACTTAGTATCTTACACACTGACACAAATGCAGAAAACACATTTATATTTTCATGCATGCTAAAATTCTTGTAGTACAAAAATAGAGGGACAAGCCCAACATAGATGCCCTGACTCCCTCAATCCAGCTAAGTAGGGTCAGCTTGGCGATCTCTAGACAATGATGAATTCAGATTCAATGAAGTGAAGATGAGGAAAGTGAGTGCAACATACCATTGAGCCCCTCATCATCCACCATTGTGTCAATTGCCCTGGTTGGCCTTCATGATCTTCTGGGGGGCCTTGGAAGGAGTAAAGACCCCAGGTCTGCCCTTGTCACTTTCCTTTTCATGATCATGGAGCTGGTCCCATTGCCCCTGCTTTAACAGTAGCATCAACAGGTTGCTGATCTGTTGGCTGTTACTGGCATTCTTCTGTGCTTCGGCTTGTTCACGTTGTTTGCGTTGTTCCATTGTCTTGATGAGATTCTTCATGGTGGATGCTAAATCGCACACATTGTTTCTGATGAGTTTGATATCCTCATTCACAGCAGTCTGTTGCCTCTCTAGATGAGGGGTTGTCAGACACAGCAACACAGATGAACTGAGGTCAACTTACAAAGGTCACCAATCATATTGCTATATTTCGGAGAAGAAGAAAAAACTGTAAGTGTGCTGAAGCAGACACGCCAGCTCAAAAGACTCACATTTCTCATCTGGCACCCCAATCAGAAAGAGGACCTGACCCAGAGGACCTAAATGACTGGCATCCAGGGCTACATGGAGATCGAGAAAGAGAGTTTATTTCCAGATGTCCAAAGTGATCGTTGATGGAGTCATGGGATAACATGTCCATGGGCGCAATCCCTACACTGCCTGTGGTTGATGGTGCAACTGGTCTGTATCATCTTCAGATGGAGGCAATAACACAGAATAAAAACAGGGCTTACAGGTGCTTCACATCGACATCCATTCTTGCTTCAAACTCTGAACGAGTCAGTGACTCGCTGAGCTCATCGTCAGCACAGGAGCACGGAGGGTCAAAGGGGGGCCTTGTCGCAATTGGGGGGGGGCCTTCCAGCCATGGCAGTAGTGAAGGTTGGAACTATAAAGACAACATGAGAAGGTGAGATACTGGGCAAAGAGAGAACAGTACAGTGGTGGTGCCAGCGAAGGGCTAGCAGTAACTGGCGAGGACTGGTCAATTCCACACTAGTGCATAATGGGATCCTGGGAGAAGAGTTGAAAGACATTGACCGCTTTATATAGAGAAAAGGCTGGGCTACAAAGGTGGTACAAACTGATGGACAGATAACAGGCCACAATGATCAAGTTGCCATAATGATTGATGCTTCATGGTCACATGACAAACATGACCGCTGGCTAGAAGTTCTGTAACTAAGTTCTACCCCATGGTATTACTCAAACTCTTTCAGGGATGTGGTTACATCTGACAACGATGCTCTAATATCGAATGACATATGAAATAACATTCTGCCAGCCAATCTCTGAAGTTTTCATGAGGCAAGTCCTGGGCAGACATATGATTGCCATCTTTGAACAGTAGGTACCAATAACCTGCTTTCAGCACTTCCCAATAACTCGTGGAAGCAGATAAGAGAACATGTAACTTACCTCGCTTTCCTCACTTAATTAAACATGAAATATCATAGAAATAACGGAAATTTATTCGTCTTCCAGCAGGTCCTATCACTGAGGTCAGTAGAGTTATATAGATGAAAGGTTAATATTTTCCCTGTCCTTGAGATTTTGGTCTTTCAATTCACTTCGAACATCCAAGGCAGGGCAGCATAGCGGCCGACAACCACATAGCCATCGGTGGCAATGAACTTTCTCTGTGAGTCGCAAAAACATATAGCCACCTCAAGGCCCAGGGCGGGTATCAGTGGTGTGAAATGATTCAATCAAAGCTACTTTTTATGTTCCACTTTGACTAGATGTGTTCCCCCATCATCTTCACATTATAAACCCGAGAAGTCCAGGCTTCATAATCAGGCCATCATAGTATATTGCAACAGAATCCAGCACATTTAGCATGGAACTCGATAAGATATAGATGATCTATATGTCTAAGATTACCAAAGGACCCTAGGTACTAAGGAACAACGGTTCATAAGGGGGTTTTACGATGTCCTGCTACTCGGCTGGCTTGCTGCACCATAGCTTTTAGTCCGATGTTCTTCTCCTTGGCAGCAGTATTGCTACACTCACGAACTAGAACCTGCCACACTGGCCATTTAATGTCTTCTTCAGAATATGGCACTCCTTCATAGGGTTCCAGAAGCTTTGAGAATTTCTTGTTTGCCTAAGCGTCAGGTCGGTGAATATGCAACTTAAGACAACACCATGACTAACCAGATTTCTGATGGTTATACACACCTTGGATGATTGGTCTGTAATAGACAAAGTGGGGTCCAGATATTTGGATGCAAGCATTTTAACGAATGCCTAGTAAGCTAAAGTCAAAACACGCCTCGGTAGCAGTAAAATACTCACTCGGAAGGTTTGTGCTTCAGTAAGCATCCAACCATTCTCAATCATCAGTTGTTCAAAATTTGAACGACTGGCGGTGCAGGGTTGACTAATTTTAGTCACACAAGTTGTATGAGGTGAATTAGTGGGGATCAAATTGTCGGATGGGATTGAGAGGGGTGGATCAACAGTCTCAATCGACTCCAAAGCTGGCGGCACTGGATGCTGAGTAGGTGTGGATTCAACAAGTCCTGAAGTGGATGCGGAAGATGATGGTGCCAAGAAGTTGTTGCTGGGAGGACATTGGGCAGATTCGGACATGGGCATCGAGCTGTCAAGGAATGGCACCCAGGTGGATGGTAAGGATTCTGGGGGAGGCACCTCATTCAGTATCATATCTTCATGCACCAATAGGGAGGTGCTTCGGTATTGACAAATCAGGTCCACAGATGCCAACACCATTTGGATGGCAGGTGGAGGACTTGGTTTCACAGCAAGGTGACCAGACACAGGTTGGGGGTTTGCCATTGTAGTGCCTTGCAATATCATGAACCAGGTTTATAAGTGAACCTGCAGCCGAGGGAGAAAGAGGTCTATGAAACGCAAGATTAATACTGACAGCTGAAGGACAATAATGTACCGTTGCAACAATGATTACAGCTACAAAAACATTTCGTAGCACATGATGCCAACAATGATTGGTGCGCCATGTTCCTGCTGCCAAATACTGTATCGGCTTGGGGAACTTGTTGGTCCACCACTCAAAAGACGTCTTTTGTCCTTGACAATACACCTTCATAAGCGCTGTCTAATGCAATTAGTGTTGGTGATCATTTGATTTCGATAGGTGTCCAGCATTTTTCGAGGCTTCTTCTTCTGGACATCTATGAACTCGTGTACATTTCTTTGACCCTCTCTGCCGACTCTCTTTTGTCGGTACCTAGTCATATCAAAAAGAAGCACATTCAGACTAAGTCGAAACCCCAGATAGCTCCCCAAGAGTGAAGTTCAGGAAAGCAGGCGGTACACAAGCAAGGAAGTTAATGCACAAGGTGAAATGAATAACTTGACGCAGTCTAAAAGTAGAGCTAGTCACACATGGTGGAACGGATGGGTAGTACTGTGGTAATTCAAAGGAGCTCAATGCAACAGTGGTGGCACTTTCACTGCAGGCTACACTCTAGACTAGACTGTCTCCTACCCAGACACGGTTAGGTGCTATTCTACCTCAGCTGAGACTATGTTGCTTAAAGCAAGAAGAGGACCAACGCTGTGATGTAAAAAAGGTAGAGGTGGACAACGTTTGACTCAGAATGGCATGCCAAGAAATCATGTCGTGTTAGTCATCTGATCACTACTGGCCTGGTGGACTTGTGAAGGACGTCATAAGGTGCTGACTAAGCTCAGAGCAGGCCTTTACCTCTACCTGGTACTGAGCTGGTGCGGCAGCTGGATCTTTCTTAGCTTTCTCTACCCTACGTGAATACTGCAACAACCACAAGAACTGGAGGTGTTAGCTCTGCAAGAGGCGGTTATCCACATACTGAAGCAAGAGGATATGAAGAAATTTCAGAGGAATGAGAAGGGAGAATGAAGGCATGAAAAGGGACAGGCCACAGGAGAAGATAAGCCTGATATTGTGTCAGTGATCCTGCTTTTGATTCGAACTGTGTCTGCCGCTAACCCTGCTAGTCTTTTCAACCCTAGTGATACCTCAAATGACCTTCCACCCAACCCACTATCAATGGCTAATATTATGTCACTGACCACAATCATGCTGCAAATGCCACAGAAGCTCCAAAGATTCCCACCAAAGCTTGCTTTGCAGATACCAACGATCCAACAAGATGTTTTGCGACATGAGAAGAATTTCTCTCGGCACCTCTTTACACGGAATGACCTGTCTCCATGGCTATTTTTATCCACTGCTGAATCCGTAGAGTGCTTGCAGCGTAACTTCAAAATCAAGACTACGAATTTTTCAGACCAGACAGTTAGCATCGACATGTTTGACATGAAAGGCAGCGGTTTTTGAGCTGAGGATACACGGGACAGAGTAACTTGGATGTCATCTTACACACTTCATACTGTTCGTGCCGGCTGTAGAGTCGGCCTTCTGGAATCTCACTCACGAGAAATTTGCAGTAGCACTGTTCTCATCCTCATCTCGCGTCTTAGTCCCAAGTCTTATTATATTGTTGTCATTGTGGAGTGGCACATAGTTCTAAGTGCTATCGAAATCAAAGTAATGTGTCGGCTTTATAGACAAATATATGTACTACAAGTGCGTCGACTTCCTATGTCAAGCTGAAGGAGCCTTTGACCACAACGAAGAGAATACTCACGTTCTGAAGAAATGGCTCATTTAGGGAGGACTCGGTTACGATCGGGCAAGTAGGACGTCATGCAGAATACCTCAACGTAGTCCTCCAGGTCCAGCAAGCATTCAGTATTACCTTCTCACTAACTTCACTCAGTAACTGTAAGTATGAGGAAACCCTAGATAGAATTTGGAATAGTTTGTATCTACTGAAGTTTCATAAATATATGGAATGTTTTAGTATCTGTAAGTATCTAGAGAGTTAAACGTTAAAGAATGAAAAAGAAATACGTAGAAGGTAGAGTAAGACTCCAAAAGACGACTCGGCGATGGTGAATGGAGGATCGTGCCGATAATCCAAAAGAAGGCGGTTTCAAGTAGCTTTTCTGTGTCAGACCGCATCAAATGGTGCATCAGAAAGTTGCATTTACATAGCACGAACTCCACCATTTTGCACTGGGTCATGACTTACCTACTAGCATCAGATACAGTTTGAGATTCCTATTACAATTCAAGGGTACAACTCGAAAAAACATAACACAGGCTCGGCTCTCTTGCTTTTGCACCACAGTTACCTGTCAAAATGATGCAGATCCTAATTTTTTTGGAAGCAAGGTTGTCGTTGAGAGCCGACACCGTTCATCCCGCTTGTCTGAGTAGGCGCAAAGTAGGCCTTGAATTGATCTGGAAACTTAAAATAATAGAATAGGAAGGAAGGAAGGAGATTAAGTCACCCAAATAGATGATAAGACAAATTGGGGAGAAAAGAACATTTTTTAGGGGCGGTATCAAATGGATGAAAACGCCAATGAGAAGGGCTTTGGGTGCTGCTGAACATATTGGCCCGGCAGTGAACCGTTATTCCATCACTGAAATGCCTGCCTGCCTGCCCTGCCCTGCCCTGAAATGCCTATTACCCTTGTTCTTCAGGGTTACAACCTTTTGAAGCACGATATCAACATGATACTCGTCCAATCTACCAGGACCTTTCAAATTACGTGACATACACAAACGGTATGGGCTAATTTCAGGTGACTAGGATCCGACTCTGTTCCACGGCTGGTATTCTCTCTTCTTTTACACTTAAAGTCCAGTAGAGACGCGAACTATGATTACATCACAATATTGTCTGATTACCTAGCTGCAGCCGTATTGCCTCCTCAACAACAATCTATGTTTAACTCCTTCACTGGCAGCATATAAATGACGTTTATCGATCATAACTTACCCGTTCAATATGTCCTCTATCGATGACTCCGAAGTCCAGGTGAACTGGGTGAAGAGCATTCTTCCAGTTTACTGCTCCATTTTGGGTCAGGATGATGATTGCCTCAATGCATTACTTTGTGGCCTTTTTGTCGCTTATGCAGAGCGATTCCGAGGCATGCTGTGTGCCAAGCTGGGCCCCCCCAACTACGGACAAAGCCTCAATGAGGCAGTGGAAGACCAAAGCCTTCAGTGTATGGTTCATCTGGATCTTTACGCTAACTGACGCCTGTCCTCACAGTTGCTTTCGGAGCTCCTTTTTCATCTCCACATCGAGTCCAATCCCCCAGCTCCAATGTCCCCCCCCCCCCACCTCCACTTCACCAGATGGGCTGACTAATACTCCTGGTTCTGATCCCCCCATTGACAGCGCCGAGGTGACGACTACATTACCTGCCCCTCCTACCTCTCATTGTATCTGCCCTCAATGTAACACAGGACCGTGACACCGAACCAAGTTCCCCTTTAAGAGCCGTATTCTGCCTGTGCCAGTTGTGGCAACCCAGGGATGGGCATCAGTGAGTCCTTTGTCCTCGGTTGATTTTCTCGATTCTAATGCCCTTGTAAGGCTCTCATCTCCCTCTGAGGCTCTCTGTAGAGAATAAGATAAAGGTGAGATTGTAGGGCTTAGTTTTGGTAATCATTGTAAGAGTCCTAATGAAACACAGACTACCCTATTGAGGAAGTTATGTGCAGGTTCAGAGCAATAGGATATTTACCTAGGATTTCTATACCTTCAAACATAGGGACATTTGTTAAATTTCAGTTGACGATCAAATCCCATCATTTTTGAAGCAGCAAGAACTAAGACAGTAATAACTTGAAGTAGTAGGCCGACTTGTGGGGTGTGGCACGTCCAAGTCCTGCATGAGGAGGGGTGAGGAGAAGCACACAAGCAATAATTCTCAATGTTTGTTTCAACAGTGTACACGAGAGCAGAAGTTGACCGCTTAAGGACAGCTATGTACATACACCAGATTCCGCAAGGGAGGAAGATGCTACCAGTTAGACACATACAAGAACAGTTAAATAATTGATGAACGCGGACACGTACTCCGTCACTTACACCCCATGCCATGTACTACTAGCTTCCAATTGAGGCGGAAATTTTGATGGGTCACCTCAACCGGCTGTAATTCGGGTAACAAGAACCAAACGTTGGGTTGGACATCGCAGGATGCTATTTGATTCACTTGGAAGCTGCATTGATTCAAAAGACTGAAGAAAAAGGACAGCCACGAACACCTAGCCAAAAAGACAGAACACGACCACAAAGTGCCTCTATTCAACCACTGCGGCATGCGAGCCACGAGCACATACAATGTTCCTTGCCTTAGGTATTATTGGTCGCGATCGGTTAGGGCCGCTGGCGAGCCCCCCATCACCAATTGAGCACACTGATATAAGCTCATTCACCGTGATTTGGACTGGGCTCATGCCATCAAGGCTGATCGAACGGCTAGTCACCAAGAGCAACGTCCTTTCGGAGAACCTCTGGGAGTATGTACTCGTTCTTTGTGGTTAATGACTGTATGTTCTAATATTGATTGATACGTAGCTCTAGAGAAGTGAGGTCTGAGTCCGGAGTTTCTGCAATCGCACACTAGCAATCCTTCTTTAATCTCTACCCGTGTGAGTGGTTATGGCCAGACGGTGGTCACCCTGTCCAGAATATGCTCCTCCATCATGGGAATTGTACCAACAGATGCCTCCATGAACCAGGATCGTCTACACCGACATTTATCGTCATCGGAGCGAATGGCGATACCTATGCAATCAACTCATGACTGCCATCAGGCGCACCAAACTGATTGGCCCCAACTACGCATAGAATCAGCATCGTGTTCAGCGACAGATCGAAATCAAGGAAGCCATTTCTGATTGGATGAGTCAAAAGACGGTCGAGGAGGTTATAGAGTCCATGAATGCAGCCGGCGTCCCAATGGTGGGCAATGAAAGTGAAGTATATCTTGGAGAATGCATATAATCAAGCACGGAGCGCGTCTGGGTGAATGGTAAGGATAGAGAGGGATCAAAAGTGAAGATGCCGGAAACTTTCCCCAAGGAGAGGCACGGCTAAAATCCAACAAAGGGGGTAGGAATTCTGAACCTTAAACACGATACTGGTCCATGAGAGCCATCGCATTTTGTGCGGCATTACCGAGTCCTATCATCTTCCCCAGTTCAAATTATTGCTAGAATCTTTGATAATGATGCACGTCGACGATGCCATCCTTTGTGGAGTCTTCAAGGTTTTCAAAAGCGTGCTGCAAAGAACAGTATACCAAGTTAAAGAAACAGACATCCAGTTCGATAGTACAGTCATACTTGAATGAGAGATCCAATTTCATGACATGCGAGTGCGGCCATTCCCTTTGAGTGACTTGTTGACACTATAATGGTGATTGAATCCGTTGATAGAAGAAAGTGGCCGAGTCGATACGTACAAGGTAAAGATTGGTGACACCGAAGGAGTCCACGAGAACTCCGTGATCTACGACCGGTTGTTAGGATAAGATAATGTATGAGGAAAAAATCTCGTACCTTACTCCAGACATGACTGGCATGTCTATTCACTAGTGTCTGAGCGGGGTCCTCAAGAAGTAATTCGGAAATGATTACGAGGCAAGTATCTTCTTCGCAGTGGAGCGCTTGTTGCAGGACATGCCAACCATAGCAGTTGGTGGCAAGCTCATGATTCAACCCCCTTAAGGGAAAAGATAGTATCAGTGATGCAGATAATAAAACTGGCGAGTTTCTTACCACATGCATCCAACAATCTTTCTTCAGCTGTCGAGGCAGTTTAAAGACAGCGTCGAACCAATTTACAAACTTGTCAAAGTATTAGATGCTGTATCGATGAAATATGCCCAGCAGCTCACCTATAAGCCACCATCTCAAATCATTGAGCACAAATTGCGTGCACAACCTTTGCGTGCTCATTTAAATCAGCTTGGAGTTCTTGCTGCAAGAAAATCGAAGCTTGAGATGATCCTTGGATAATCCGAGAAACAAAAGAGTGGTATAGCGTGTAGATGACGGTTGAAGGAGCGACAAGAAGTTGATCGGCTGATAGAAAACGGATATATGTGCATTAGAATGAGTAAATTTGAAAAATCAAGTGCCATGCCTCGAGAGACAACGGTGATGATTGCTGATAAGAAAAAGAACGAAGCCTGGAGGAATGTTCCCTCGATACCTCCGCCTCCAGAGCTGATGCCGAGAGCATTGACCATCGACTTGTCATCCGAATGCATCCACTCAGCTGGTGCAGAGAAATGCTCCTGAGTCGGCTGAACAGTTGCCTGTGGTAAGGTCGGCGGGATGACCGCGGTTGGTTTTTGATCGGTGGTCACCATTGTGATGCTGCCACCCAACACCCCGTGCTAAATTAAGTTAATCTATACCTCTGTCTTATTCTCGTCTCTATGAATCCCAGTCTTTTTAATAATTACAGGCTTACCGTTTGCACTGGGAGGTACCCAGAGGATGGGTGCCAAGGGAACTTCCCTCTCAAAGGCACTCCAGGTCAAGGGGGGGTTGGAAATAAAATTCCGCACATGACATACAGTTTCGTGTTTAAGGACCAGGGGACCCCCCCCTCCCTCCCCCTCTTACCATATGTAATAATAATATATCTATAATTGGTATGCTTAGTAATGCTATTGTAATCATTCCTACCATGCGACTGCCTCAGGGACTTGGCCGTGATACATCTGAAGGTGAAAATTATGGTCTAAATATTAATGTAATGCTCCATAACTTGATTTTCAGTGTAGATACTGTCATTTTAGGCCAAACCATACTGATTGCACCTCCCAGAATGTCTATATATAGTAGGTCAGGTTTCATGTTTAAGGCCTGTACCCCTCCCCCTAGTGTTGCCACGACTCGACTCGCCTCAGCTCAGCTCAACTTCGGCACGACTCAGCTTCAAGATGACTCCAAAGTCATATTACATCACCGACTTTGACTCGGCTCGGCTTTAAGCCGCTGACTTTTTACCGAGTCATTGACTGCATTCTCAAATAGGAAGGTAACCTAGAATTGACCTAGAAAAATTCAGCAACATGTAGTACATATTTGAGAAGAGTTTTAAAAAAAGGCTTAAATGTGAATGCATGTCATAGCCATCCTCTCTCAAGCCCCTGGACATTAAAAAACCACAAAGATTGAACTGTGATAAATGGCATGGGAAAATCATGCCATTCAAGACACTCCTTTCCCATGCACCCGCGGCTGGCTTGTAACTTAACAAAAAACCTTGAGTCCAGGTCCTGGTTTCACTGATTCAGGCTTAATAGCTCAAGATTGATTTGTACTACTCATACATAATCCTCAGAGTCTCTCAGGATAAGGTAAATACAGATCTTCCCAAATTGGATGCAGTCAGTGACTCTGGTCGGCTTGAAGCCATCAAAGTCAAGTCGTAGCTGAGTCGAGCCATATGAGGACTGAGTCATTGCCGATGACTCAGCTCACCCTTGGCTCAACTCCGCTCGGCAACTCGGCGACTTCGAGCCGAGTCATCGGCAACACTACCTCCCCCTCCCCCCCTACCCCTCGTCCAAGATTTTATTTCCAACCTCCCCTTGCTCCAGGTCTATGTGAACGATGCCACCTGTTAAACCTGTCCCAAAATTCCACAGAAGAGCATGCTTGCATTTCTGTAGGCTCAATTCCAAAGGCTTCCATCAGATGTTTACTGCTATATAACTGATAACCTTTCTCCCAGATTAGTGTTGCCGATGACTCGGCTCGAAGTCGCCGAGTTGCCGAGCGGAGTTGAGCCAAGGGTGAGCCGAGTCATCGGCAATGACTCAGTCCTCATATGGCTCGACTCAGCTACGACTTGACTTTGATGGCTTCAAGCCGACCAGAGTCACTGACTGCATCCAATTTGGGAAGATCTGTATTTACCTTATCCTGAGAGACTCTGAGGATTATGTATGAGTAGTACAAATCAATCTTGAGCTATTAAGCCTGAATCAGTGAAACCAGGACCTGGACTCAAGGTTTTTTGTTAAGTTACAAGCCAGCCGCGGGTGCATGGGAAAAGAGTGCCTTGAATGGCATGATTTTCCCATGCCATTTATCACAGTTCAATCTTTGTGGTTTTTTAATGTCCAGGGGCTTGAGAGAGGATGGCTATGACATGCATTCACATTTAAGCCTTTTTTTAAAACTCTTCTCAAATATGTACTACATGTTGCTGAATTTTTCTAGGTCAATTCTAGGTTACCTTCCTATTTGAGAATGCAGTCAATGACTCGGTAAAAAGTCAGCGGCTTAAAGCCGAGCCGAGTCAAAGTCGGTGATGTAATATGACTTTGGAGTCATCTTGAAGCCGAGTCGTGCCGAAGTTGAGCTGAGCTGAGGCGAGTCGAGTCGTGGCAACACTATCCCAGATGTATTTTCAATGTAATCATTGTGGTCCGGCAAATCAAGAGATTACAGCCAGCTGCTGCTGCCTCCGATGTGCAGTTCAGCTTCAAGGTGAGCTCGTTTCCTTCGATGCACAACCTATCACTATTGATTCACTAATCTCATTCAGTAGTGCAGGAGCATGAAACTACAACAAAATGTGTTGGAGATCTTCCCGAGAACTCCTGTCAAGGAAACTTCCCTTTCAAAAAGGACCACGGACTATGTATTCACTGTGGCATTCTGAATTCTCTTGAAGATAATCCTAAGGCACATATGCTTGTTTCGGTAAGTTATTGCGCTCTGTTTTTCTATGACTGAAGCCGGGGATGATGTCGTTGGTATGCAAGACAATGGTCCGAGCGCAGTGCTCGGTGTCAAGGCAAGGCGCTATTTGAATGAGTATAGACAATGCGGCCAAGGAGGAAGGGAGCCCAGCGTCGACACCCCTACTTGATGTCCGCGAGTCGAAGGGTGTAAATAGCTGCTGAATATAGCTTTGGTGATGGGTTTGGATCGAGCCAGACACGTTGAAGATACCATGCCAAGTCGGGAAAGGCCCAATGATGAGTACGCTGACAATGCGAACAAGAGCAATAATATCTATGAACCTCCTTCAGCCCCAGAGTGAGAACAGAGAGACAAGTCATACCAGAGCAATCTTCACGACGCGTCGTCGTCGAAGGCTGTCAGAACATTCGGGCTGACATGGCAGTGTCATCCATGGATGTGTGGCACGATGCTGTCCCATTGTTGCAAAACCAACCACGGTCTTCCCGCCGACGGTACTGCGGTATGTGCCAATCGCTGGAGCTGAGGTGGCCACGATCGATACCAACATTAGTCGCCATCTCCTGGCAATGGGATAGGGGAAATTGTGGGAAATTGAAGAGCTGTGAGGGGATTTGGTCGGAAGGAGGAGCGTGGAAGACGGAGTATAATGACTGAGGGTCGATATTCCTAACGGCAGTTGCAGTGTGAGGGTCATAAGATTTAATATAGTAAGATAAAGAGCAGGGTTGATTAGGAGCGTGTAGGTAAGGGATCTCGAAAAGTGGTATCTGCGAAGAGCTAAAAGTCGGTGAATGGGATAAGGCGCCGCTATCAGAGATGTAGTGGATTCTCATTGGTGACTAGGTTCGAATAGCCGAGAGGACTGAGGAATATGAGCCAGAATGCGGCGCTGCAGCGAGCTCATATTGAGATTGGAGCTGCTTGACGTCGAGAGATCGGTGGGAGTGAGAAGAATAGAGGAAATCAATGCAGGGGAAAAACCTAGGGATCCTGGCGCTTCCGTCTCGAAGTTGAGATTGAGGGTAGGCTTTTGCTGAACGAACGGGTAGGTGAGTTGAGATTCAGAGTACGAAGCAGCCGCTCGACGTGCTGCATATAGTCAGGTCAGCGAAATTGAGACAAGAAAACAGGAAAAAGACATACAGAATCGTCAAAGTCGCCCAGACTGTTCTTTTTTCGTCCATCCCCAATGGCACCGACCCCCTTCGTCGTCCATACACTAGGTGCAGGTCTAAAAGTGTCCTCCCGAGTGATCATCGGTACCGTTCGGGACGTAATCGGCATCGAGCTCAAAGACTGTTGCTGAATGTCCTTCTCAACAACTCTCGAGAGCGAGTCTAACGTCTTCGGCCACGTCGACTCTGACGGCTGCGGCTGGGGTGCCCAGACCAACATCACAGGCGGTCCAGATGGCTGTCGAGGGCGAGCACTGTTTTGTAGTGGTGGCGTGTGGTCATGAACGACGAGCAAAGACTGGACTCTGTCAGTGGACAGCATAAGGAGGGGAGAGGGGAAAGGGCATGGTGCATGGAGGTAGTAAGAAGTCAAGAGACATCGCGGAATGTTGGTTTTCAGCACGGCACAGTATTGGCGGGGAATCGGTGGTGATGATGTGATTGTTGTTAAATCATCTTTGGATGGAAAGTCATCGCCGCGAACAGTGTCGTTGGACGTTGGGATGGGGTGCTGTTCTCATTTGCCATTTTCCTGCCCTCCTTCAGGTAGCGGGCATTGTATTACTGGAGTATCTTCTTTATATTCAGAACGTTCTGCGCACCTATTTAAGTTCAAAGTCACAAACCTTTGCTAGATTACAGTACGCCATCGTATACCTTACTAGGGGCTTGATGCACTGTTTAATTCGGAGGTATCAATACTGGCTTATCAGTGTCAACCTCGTACTCTTACAGAAAAAGTTACATACCTTTGGAATCTAATGAAATGCGTTGTATCTGCATGAAACCCGCACTGTTAGTTTAAACCTTAACCAGAATAAGACGAAATTTGTACCTAGCACACAATATCTAAGCTAGCGAACCAGCGAGATTTAGTTCACTAGGCATCATTCGATAGTCTACCTGTGTGAACCTTTAGTCTTGTTGCAAATTGGTGGTAAAAAAGACTTACCCTCGCCAGCTAGACCTTGCAAGGAAAAGCCAAGGAAATGAGTCGGTCACCGAGCCAAAATTGAACTCGGGAAGCACGTAGCTCCGCATCTTTGAATAGACTCCCTCTCGTCGCTTCAAGTGAAGGTTTCTCAACCCATAATGGGCATTGTTAATCTACCCTCGAGTTTCCTTCAACCCAGGGATGTAGATGCCATGGCAAGGCCTGGAAACCGGTCTTTTAATCTCTCTATGCAGCAAGAAATAGGCCGAGGCCTCACCTGGCAGAATCAAACGTAGCCGTGAATAGCGACAGCCTAAGGGCAGAAGGAAACCAGCTCAATGTGAGGTCCACCAAGGGACGCTTACCTCTCATTATCGGACCTGATCATTGTGTTATCGACGGCAACATGAGCGGGGGAATCGAGCCTGAGAAGAGAAATGAAAAGAGCAATACAAAAGATGGAGATTGAGCTCACAATTGATCACGAAGAGCAAGACTTGTAGACACAATGACAGACGAGAATCGACCCCGAAACGAAGACGTGCCGAAAGGGCATCATTATGTAGTACGACGACTAAGACGTGAGCGAGAGTGAGTGAGGAGGAGAGGAGGAGAGGAGGGAACGTCTCGAGGAAGATGGGGACTGGGATGCGCAAGGCTTGTATGCAACTCCGGCAGATGGAGAGACGTAGGAGAACGACATGCCATCCTATCCCATCAATATGAGATTACCCCTCTTTGCACCCTTGTCGATGCTGGCGATCAAAGGTGCTGGGTTGAGAAGAGAAGAGGCCGTATTTGGCTCGAGACGACGTATCGTCTTCCCATGAGCGAGCATAGATTCGGAGGGTGAGGACAATGAGAGAGACAGTGGAGAGGGAGGATGATAGCACATACACTGGGTTAGTAAGTACTATCTGTTGACTTACATTCTTGAGAACTCACCTATCTGTAACCCAATTTCTGCATCGAACCAGTGCAGGCCATGCAGTTGGGGGCAATTTACCTCTACACGGCCTTACGACATCTGGCGAGAAGCTCTGTGTGATAGCAAGGAGGAAAATGAGACGGCGTTGGTAGAAAAGGGCGGGAGACGCACTGGGCCAGTAAATCGTGCCCGTTCATCTGCGTTGTCCCGTGCTCAGCAAGATCTGAATCTCATGTGTCCGCGCATGGCAGTCTCCCTATACCAGGGTCATCAAGCAATATCTACAGCCACAGGCAAGCTTCAGCTCTAGCGTAAGATCAGATTTTGTGGTCACCCGGCGAACAAGCCATGTTTGATGATAGGGAGATAAATGAGACGGTGTGAAAATAGCACCTGGGATCGGTAAGGAGTCCTTTCCTGTCCATTTGCATTCATCTGTAGTGACTAATCTTCAGCTAGATCTGAATGCAATTCTAATAACCACGGTTAGTAAGGACGAGGAGTGTCATAACAAAGTGTTTCATTCCAATTATAAATTCGGTGGCATGTCGTCGGCAGAAGAACGGCAGGTGAAAAGGGAGTTAACGGCAAGTAGACGGCAAGATAGCGGAAGTTGAAGTCTAGGTCAACGGCAGTAAAGTTTCATCGCCTCTCAAACTTTGAAATTTGTCAATAATTTTATCTCATAAGAAATTGTTCCTGAAATACTACTTTTGGCAGGCCGGAAATTCATACCAGAATGTGACATTTCTGTGGAAGTTTCTGACATCCCCCACACTAATGGTTTCTGGCATTTCAAAATTTGTATAGAAACGAAAAGTGCTCGATTGAATTTGTGGATGACCCAAAATATCAAATTATGGTAGAAATTCCTTTGTTTCCAAAATAAACGCAGAAACTTGATGGTTCAAGTTTGGTTTCTGTTGGGCAAAATTTTGAGATTTCGACCCTTCTGAAAGTAACTTACGAAATTTAGTACTGTAAATTTTAATTTTGAATCTACTAAAACCTAGCTGAAATTTTACTTTTTTTGCTGTGATTCAACAGAAAAAGAGGGTACCAAGTGGCTATCCCTCGAAAATGGACTAAATCATATTAACTCAATATTATATACACATAAATAATGGTCTGACTACACTAAGTCTAGGTAGAGATACCTCTTCCAAAATTGGATGGAGTCATTGACTCAGCTGGCTTCAAGCCATCAAAAGTCGAGTCGAAGCCGAGTCAAGCCGTTTTGCATCCGAGTCATTTTGGTGACTTGGCTCAGTCCGACTTTGGCTCTGCTCGACGACTCGGCGACTCTGAGCTGAGCCGTGGCAACACTAGTCAGAAGAATCACGTGGAGGTAGGTAGGTCCATCTTTCCTTGGGAAAACGACCCCTTGAACATTTTGGACGAATCAAGTGCGAAGCATTTCTATGGTCTGGTAGCAAACGTATGATGTTCCCAAAGTCCCTTTCCTTACCCCCCTCCATAGACTCTCATGGACTCTGCATCAATGACTTGCGCAGCATTAGAGCACAGACTACAGCTCTACAACAGATTCTATGAGTACTGTTGTCGAGTTCAGCTTACACGTGTTTAACACGGAAATAGATGATAGTGTTATACCGGCCAGTGAGACGCTGAAATGGAAATCGGCATCGGAACAATACTAAATGGGGTCTGATTGGAGATCGGACTGCACCATTCGCACCGTAGGTATTTCCTGCATAAGATATGGTATAATTGAGGATGCGTTGTGTGTGAAATTATAGTGCAATAAGCTTATCAGTACAAAAAGTCAAGATCAGTCACAAAACCACCCAGTGAGACATCACAGAATTTCTATATCAGGCAGGACTTTAGTGGAGAGTCACAAGCGTCACACGTCTCATTGGCTTGATCAAATTTTAACACTGATACACTCACTGCGAGCTCCTTTAGGAGCAAAAAGTATCGGAATATTTCTCTCTTAGTCTTATAACTATTATTTTGTAAACTCCGGGACCAAATGTGGTGTGGAGCGCCTACCCGAAGCCATCATCTCATGACCGGTGCTGTCTCACTGGCCAGTATAACACTGTACTGTCGAAAGGCATCTTTATGGCAGTGTTGTACGGTCACCCGACCTTGAGCCGAGGTCAAGGTCGCCGGTCACAGAACTTCGGGACGACCGTCGCCGGTCATGCAAATATGACCTTGACTCTGTGGCTGTGAGGCTACATATGATGTAGCCTTGGACTTATGTGTCTGGCTCATCGACATGAGCTGCTTTGTCACCATGTCCTTGGCATTGCGGTCCCATAAAGCAGTGTTGTGCGGGTCGTGCGACCATCACTGAAGTCATGACAGTCATGGTGGACTATTTCAGTTGTCTATTGGAAAAAAACAAGCCCGGAATATCTGGCTGTGCAGAGGACCTCAGATCGAGTGATTTGCGTATATCAGGAATAACACTAAATGATCCTGAAATTCTATGACAGTAACCGATTCATGCTCCATGTTTCTGCTGCAGCAACCCGAGGTCATTGGCTCTTTCGAAGTTCAGGGTGCTAATATCTAGTGCCAGGATATTAAGCATTAAACATGGCTGTAGTTACCAGATGCTGTCAATGTGCTGTTTGGTCTCCTGGTCCCTGCCGCAGCATCACAGACGTCCTAAATCTCGAACAAGCAAACTAACAGCTTCTATCAAATGCCTGATCTTCTGATTTCAGCTCTAACTTCGGAACAAACATTGCTGGCCATGTCTCTGGGCGACCGCTCTGAATGCAGGGCTCGACGACGCTAGAATATAGTTCAGATATTTCCAGTACTGATCAGCGGTACGGACCATAGCGAGACAGGCAAGTAAGTTGATCCTCTTGATAATAACTGCATATTATGCTGTTGAAAAATTTCTACAGCAACATTCTACCAGGGCTGTTGATTAGGTAATGCAGAGTTGTAGAGTATAGCATTAGATGGAAGATAGGACTGTAGGAAACACGCCCATACAAATTGTTCTTTCATCTGGTACATTGACATACACACCACTTTTCACTCTGGTTGTCACTCGATATCGACCAGGATGTCAGAGTCAACTACTTGCAAATCCGATATGATTGCAAACCTGCTCACTGCAACGATATCCCCTGCATGGCTTTCCGCTCTCCTTGTCATCCTCCTCCGCATTGCCCTGCAGTTCAACCTCTCATTTTGGAAGCCGAGTACCGCTGTTCGAGATTTCATCACCACCGTTAGTGAGGGGATGGCCATGTTTGACAGCCATAAGGGTGTGCTTGGAGGAATGGAATTTGAGAGAAAGCTGTTGGAGTATAATTGCATTGGCTCTGCACCCAGAAAACGTATGCTGATCAGCTGCTATAGATTCAAGCGCAGTTCGGATACCTTATGTTACAAGCTCCGTGTGGCAGACCGTGCATTCTCCTGGTGGAACTACCGCACATGGTTAAATTATATCTCGACGATAAAGAAGATTTTTGAGGACGCTCGGAAAGGTCAGCGAGAAGCTGAGGCTCTGAAAGGAGAGATGGAGGTTAGTCAGGCGTTACTGTTTTTCTGGACACTTTGGTTGTGCTCACTGCGATATTCCTAGGATATCATATTTTCCAATGAGAGGGAGATGTTACGCTTGGAAGTCGAGGTCATGCGGGATCCAGCCGACATCGGTGCAGAGGCGTCTGATATTCTTCATTCCTCCAGCTCGTACCCAGTTTCATTGGCATGACTGCTGCTTTATCGTATGCCTGCTGTAGAACCATGCATTTAAGTTCATATCTCGATTTCTTCAGTTGTTTACATTCCATATCGACGTTCATCCACCTGCTGGTAATTTATGAGTATCTGCATGAAGAGATGCAATTTTTTTTTCTCACCTGCGTGGTCCAACTCTTGAAAGATCGTTGTTCGGGGACATTCAGTTAAAAAGTCGCCCTCTGAAATAGGACGCACTTGCAAACCAAGGCATGGTGCCGTATGCGCAGCGACAGTAGGGCCTGATGAGAATCCAGCAGATTAGACTTCCAGGAGAATATCGAGCTGTGAAGTGCGATGGAGCAAAACGCATTCGCAAGGTGCAGTCGTTGTGAACAAGAACCACCATAAAGTGACTGGGAGACCTGGATAGCGGCGTAATAGTGCGAAACACTAGAAATTGTATGAGATACGAGCCTGACAGATAGCTCAATAGACTTACTCGAAATTAAAGTTTTCGTGATAATTGTACCTGTCGCTTTTGTTCTCTTCGCTGTTGTATACGTTAGTTCGAAGGATTCCTTCCACTCACTATGCTGCACGTCGACCATGTTCATGACGAGTGGGTGGCCCGATAAGCGGTATACTTTTACGAGCCCAACATTGTACAATGTAAGGCTGATGCCTCTGAGAACCAGCTCAGGCCCACGGTCCAGACGAATATCGGGACGTTGGGTGAGTGTTGGGTGAGTGTTGGGGAGCGTGGGTTGGCTGTTAAAGTTGTAGGATTTGTTGATATATACACTCCGGGGGTGCTGTGTAACGAAGCTGTTGTCTTGTTTTCTGCGGCCGACGACTTACGGACTTAACAGCAGGATGGCCTTGGAAGCATAGAACGTGTGGCAGGGTGTAACGATCCAGGCTGTTCTCAACAGCAGCAATACGTACCCCATCTACACGATCCGTCATCATGCATCATGTGTGCGTGCGAACAAGCGTGGCAGTCCCGGCCCCCGGATATCCGGATTACACTTGGATATCACATGATACGGTTACGTAGTGTCTATGGCCTTCTACGGCCGACGCGTCGTCTTTCGTTTTTTGTCTATTTCTTCACATGGATTCTCCGTGTAGGATAGGGTGCACCGGCCATCGATATCTCAGCAGATCAAGGAGAACCTGATCCCAAGCGTCAGCTGAGCTTTTGGTGCAAAAGCCTCGGCTCCTTCTTTGCCGCTCGCGCGGTCACTGCGCTGGGACAGAGATTGGTATCTGTGCAATCAACCTTCACTCAAGACCATCGAGGTGTACGACTCGGACATACCTGTATAGGCTCAATAAAAGTTTAATTCTAGATCTGTAGCACGCGTACGTAAGTAACAATGAACAGTTCAATCATGAGCATCTGGATGGGGAAGAACAAGTAGCTCCCGAGCCAACACTTGAGATGCCCGGACTCATCACCGCTGAAAAGAAAAACAAGTCTCAAACAGGTCGTATCTCACGTATTGGGATTCGAACCCAGCTTCCGTGCGCAACAGCCAATACACTTTACCGGTTCGACTCCGAGTAACTTGAAGAGTGCTGCATCGAAAAGGCACAAGTCTTGGTTTTTTTTGTTCCTATCGACTCGGGCTAAAGCACCCAGAGTCCAGGTCGGAGAGCAAGCGTGATTTTTTGGTACAGTATTTATTAGGCCGGAGAACCAAGGCCGACGTTTGAAGGAGTTGGAGGTTGTGATGAGGTCGGTGTGGCATTCATGTGGACCCGAAGCCATTTCGCATTTTCGCACGCGTCTGTTTGCCTATTGGTCAGAATGCACGCGAGCTGGGTTCGACTCCTGGTTAGAGAATGGAGGGGAGCAACGTCACGAGATAAGTTCTTTTTCACTCCCCTACAGATGAGGTATTAGAGTCTGATGCACTGATGCTTGAAGCTTAGTTGGCCATTTCGCATCTTTTATAATGTAGGGATCGAACATGCCATGATAAAGCCTGGTGCGTAGAGAGGCTCGGATCATATCATAGCTGTAACGAGTGTCTATCATGTTCAACGAAGATTCGAAGGGCTGTATCGTGTGATGAGTTTACTGCGAGGGTCATAGCTTGCTGTTGACTATAGGAGCTGTCAGTTCGCCAGGGCGCTACTGAGGGTTTTGCATTTTTCTGTCGCATACTTGTGATGGTCCTGTATTCAGTGATGGATGGAGGTGCTACTGGATAGGTTGTGACCATTATGTGACTTGGTTTCTTGCACCCGCTACCGTCCCGTAGGCTTAGGCTCGCTTTCAGTGTATACCATACTTGTATCGACATAACACCGACAGTCCGTCCTCAACATTATGCGTTCCTCGTACACCAATCTCGCGAAGGTAGTACAGGGCATACAGCGCTTCTTACCGCCTGAGTCGCCGGACCTCAGCTCAAGCCTTCACTCTGTCATAATCATTGCAGATGAGGAAGACTCTCTTGCAGTATGAGATGCGCGCGAGGACATCCAACAAGCCGGGGAGCGGAGCCAAGCCCAAGCCAATGGGGAGAAGCTGTCGGGTACGTCCTTTTCCTTCTGTTTCATTTACCGCTAATATCGCTCATAGGCAGCATTCATTCCCATCCTCAAATCCAAATGCCCGTCGATTGAGCAGACAACGCGAGGGACCCACCAATACGGCCCAACCGACCGGCACATGCTCGACGTGTACTACCCTCTAGTCTCGTTACCATCCTGTATATGAAGCAAGCTGTCGCAACACCCTGATCCTCGCCTTCTACCCCGCCCCCTCATCCATTATCTACTACAACTCGGCTCCTTCTTTGCCTCCCGCGGATTCATCACCGTCGTCCCTGACTACTGCTTCGTCGACTCTAGCGTGAAGTTCCCTGGTACGGCGCAGGATATGCGAGATGCAATACGGTGGGTTATGGATAACCTCTTGAGGGTGTCGTACGACGAGTTTGTCGCCAAAGGGCATAATCACGTCAGCTTGATGTTCGCGCTTGGGACTAGGCAGGGCGAGGAATGGGCAGAGGACGCAGTCAAGTGGATTCATGCACGCCGCGAGCCGCACTAACCGTGTCATCCTTTTCTGATACAACGCACTTCATCATATCGCTTTGCCAGGCTTAAAAGAGATTCAGTTAGGTTTTCTGGACAAGGAAAATAATAAATAGGACAATATTTAAACCCCATTCTCCCAAAATGGTGCAATCATTCAAAGTTACCGCTCCGGCTGGGGGTCGAACCCCGCCTTCTGGCTCTAACAACCGATGCACTAGGAACGCGCTTCACTGCGACCAAATACCTCGTTTCTTTGTACTCATTCTTGCAAGGAAGACTCTGGGTTGGGAGAACGCGTATTCAAATCCCGAGGGGTGATCAGCTGTTAGTTGGAAGTATGCATAAAAACAAGTCGATAAGCTGGACCTATCATCTCTTGATGGGAGTCGAACCCAGCACCAGTCGGGTAACCAATATACCATAGGAGACGGCAGGTAATTTTAAACCAGCACATGCATCCAACATTCCCCATGTCCCGAACGTGAACGTTATTGTAACATCCCGAGCGGTATTGCAGTGTTAATTGGACGCATAAAGACACGTCCACGGGACCGACGTATCATCTCATGATCTGGGAGACGAACCCAGCGCCAGTGTCCGGTAACCAATATACCACAAGAGACGGCTTCAAGTAATTTAAACCAGCGCATACATCTAAGCCCCGAATCAAGAAAAGATACTCCGGGAAGAATCTAGCTGGGCGGGTGTATTGGCTGCGCGTCGATCCCCGAATACACCATTTTAATTTGCAAGTTGTGTCCCCGAGAAAAAACCTATGTGCGAACAACACTATCGTTCCTTGCCTGGGAGTCGAACCCAGCGCGTGCGACGTAGACCGATAATCGACGGAGAACAAAGTAGACTCGAGGATTAGACGTCATCACGAGTTCTGGAAACGACAGGGAGGTCGAGGAGTCGCCTGGAAATGGGGTACATGACATGGTGTCGGGCACCCATCTTGTTGTGTAACTACAATTGAAACAGAGGATAGAAAGGATAGGAAGAGGGAAGAACGGCGAAGCTTGATTAGTACGAGGAAACAAATGCACATTCCCGAACGGCACTAGCACAGACAAAATGAGCATGCCATCTAGCGTGGACAGGTTCAGCAGACGTGCAATCATCCAATTACTAGGAGTCGAAGCCAGCGTCCTGTACTAAGAGGCCAGTGTGATTGTATCCCCCGGCCGAGGGAGGCAAACTGAGTTTGCAGCCAATTCACTGCGGAAACGATGATAGAGCTGGTGGCGATAACCGTGCGCCGCCGTTGCCGATTGCCGATTCTTACAACTGAAGGATAAGCAGCAAGCTAGAGGATCAAAACAAAGGAGTCCTCAGATACACATAACACTCCATGGGAATCGAACCCTTGAACAGTAGCTGAGCCCCGATGCACTACTACGGAGTATAGTGAGCGTCACGGAAGAAGAGAGACTGGAAAGAGAGGCACTTATTCCCCTCGCCCTCGGAAAGAAGAGAAATTCAGGGACTCGGAGGTCTCTCGCGGTCATGATCCCAGCAAAAGAGTAAGAAAGACTCCCAGTCCGAGCTGATTTTTGAATTTCGAATTATCTAGCTTCAATAGTGCTAACCAGAGATGTGGAGATGATAATAAAGACAAGAGTTCAGCGGCTCGCTATTGGAGATGAAAGGAACATCCCATGATGTGAGTGACTGGAAGGAATTTCGAGATATTATGCAAAGCTGGATGCTTGACAGACAATATAGAACCACAAAATGTTGCATACAACATCTTCTGCCAGTGCATCATAAAAGAACACGTTCCTCGAGCAGTCCGTCCATCTCTAATTACAGAGCATGTCAGTAATAGCAAGGACCTCAGAACGAAGTTTACCTTCATCGGCAATGACTGAGATATCCGATCCTTCAGCCTTGCACGATTTCAGACGATCAATATGCGACAAAGCACGCAAAGCACCGAGCTTTGGAGCGGCTTGACCACCTTTGAATTTCGCCTCTACATGAGCAGGATTCCGGCACCTGATACGAACCTGAGACAACTGAGTCACCCGCGAATCTTCAGGGACGTCCCAACGCCTATCGATAATCCTGACCAGTAACTCATCCCGTCTTTCCAGCCGAATGTCACCCATAAAAAGCCTGTTTGCGCTCAGCTCAAAAACAGACATGTTGGGGAGCATCAGACCCCGAGCCATGTCGCCTGAATCGAGACACCTGAGAAACCTCGACGGATCCCTGTCGTTTTCCGTATCCGCCATGGATAGAATTAATCTGCGGAGCTGAGGAACGCATGAGAATAGTTGATCTGGGTCTAGGGCTTTTCGTGCTAGCCGGAGATCAAGGGTCTGCAAATGACTCCCAGAACGGGCGGAGAATTGAGAAATCGTTAGACTGGATGATGGATAGTTGATATATGGCATAGTGAATGTTAGGTATTCCAGTACGGGACAAGTGAGGTGACGCAGGAGCAAATGAGAAAATCCGAGGCTCAGTGAACGGAGTTTTTCGAGCGTCAGTGGGGCGATAGTGGTCGTTTCAGAGCGGAGCATGGACTTCTCCTTTAACTCTTCAAGACTCGGACAAAGACGGAGAAGCCTGACAATCAGCCCTACCCAATTAAATTTCGAGAAGGTCATATCCAAATGTGTGATACAGGACCATGGAAAGAGAACCGTGCTCAGGTCAAAGTTGGGCACCCGTACATCCAATTGGAGACATCTGAGGTTCGGCGCGTCTTTGATAACGCCCATGGTGGTAGCGATGTCATCGATAGAATGAGGGTAAGCCAAGGAAAGTGACCTCAACGAAGGGAAATGGATCGGATGGGAATTGAGTAGTGATTGAGTCCATTGACTCGAGGAAGGGCCTAAAAAGGAGACGTCTTCCCATTGCCGTGAATGCTGCAGTAAGGTCTCAACGATGGTATCTGAGAAAATGTGACCCGTCCATATCGTCATGGAGAGTTTACTCTGTCTGGTCCGCTGAAGGGCCTCCTGGACCATTCTTGTTCCGATTTCTTCTTGTATTCGGTGCGGCGCTTCCTGATCTATTAGGACAAAAGACGACCACAGGGCAGGATAACCCCAGGCGACATCTTGCCACCGGCGACAGACTCGCCCCAGTAGCCATGGACCCGCGTGTAGGGGCTCGAGAACGCTGTACGAGCTTGGGAGTGCGAGAAGAAATATCTCAGACAGAATTTCGGGAGGAAGGGAATGAATAAGCGAGTGTAGCTCGGCTTCAGGCTCTATGATGGATACATTGTATGTATTGGTACCTAGATGGCCGTGATATTAATAAGCAATAGTGCAGATAAGGGGATAGTCGCTCACCAGTCCTATCTCCTATCGTGGCCGTTCTTTGCATCGTCATCTGGGCAGGAATAGAATCTGCTTCTGATCTTGCATTTGACAGTGAGAATGATGCTTAGAGGAAAGGATTTGTCTGTTCAGTGAGAGTGGAAAGTGGAAAGTGCTGCGATAGGAGAGTAGGTGTTGGTGTGTTGGTGTTGGTGTTGGTAGGTTTGAGCGTGATCTTGGTTGCGGTATCTCGGACCGAGATGTCTTTTGTTGTTACTCCCACGCCACAAACGCGTCAGACCTTCGCTCTCCAACACCCCCGATCCTCCCCGATCCCCGTCTTCTCACACGGCGGTGGATTCTACATGGGCACACACACGCTCCCCGACCCCGCGTCCATCATCTACCACACCCTTGGCTCTTTCTTTGCCACCCGCGGATTCATCACCATCGCCCCTGACTACCGCCTCGTCGACTCTGGTGTGAAGTTCCCTGGTGCAGCGCAGGACGTGCGGGATGCGATGCAGTGGGTCGTGGATAACCTTCCCTTCCCAGATTCTGATATCTACGTCCTCGGCCATTCTGCGGGGGCGATGAACCTGATTACCATCCCTGCTCTCCCGGAGCTGTACTCCCCCACTTTGCAGCCCCGTATCACAGGCGCGGTCCTCCTCTGTGACGTACACGTTTGCGGAAATGCCAGCAGATATGAAAGATTCCGTCAGGCTTTACTATGGCGAAGATGATGAGGCGAAGCAGAGGATGTCAGTGGCATTGTTGGGTTCAGCGAGATTGTCGGCTCCGAGGCTCCTGCTCGGTATTGACAAGAGGAATATTTCCTGCCTTCGTCCCATCATGGAGAGGTTCGGTGGAGCTCTCAGTGCAAGGAGCGATGCTGGGTGGTTAGGCTTGGGGTGCCAAAGTGCCATTTTCACATGCATGCAGCCCAAGGATACTGAGGGATTGCGCATGCATGCACATCGTAATCCTCGTCTTCTCTCATGGCGACGGCTTCAACACTATCCGTTATCTGAATCAATCACGACTTCGGCTCCCTCTTCGCCACCCGCAGATTCACCGCCATCATTCCCGATTACCGCCTCGTCGACTCTCAGCCAATGGGTATAACCTTCGTTTCCCTGACTCTTCTCCGCCATTCGATGAACATGTCCACCATCCTCCCCCACCTGACAACCCCAACACCCCGATGCTCGTCTCACCATACGGTAGTGGGTTCGCTCCCGTGTCCATCTCAGTTCCTTCTTTGCTTCCCATGGATTTGTCACTGTCGTCCCCTTCCTGATCCTAACGTGCAGATCCCCATCACCTCTCATCCTCGCTGTATTCCCTCACCTTTCGTCCTCCTCTCTGGACCACGACTTGCCGGTGGATACGAACGCTGAGATCTAGAAACCCAGCTAATGGCAAGAGGGATAACTTGCCTCTATCCCTTTTGAGTGCAAGGGGCGATAAAACAGACACATTTTGGTGTTTGCGTTTGGAGGTGCCATGTTCGCTCAAGGGTTGATATTGAAGATTCGAGTCCTTGCCACGTCGGGACAGAGATTGGTATCAGTGCACTCAGGACCATCAAAGGCTCAACAAAAGTTCATTTTTTGTATTCTGGATCTGTAGTACGTAAGTAAAAATGAATGGTTCAGTCAAATCTTATCTCTTTAGCACATGAGGGAAGGATTGAGCCAGTACTTACTTGAGAGAGCTGCCTGGAATCTGGATTCGTCACCGCTGAAAAGAAAGAAAAAACAGACATCTCACGTACTGGGAGTCTGGGATTCGAACCCAGCTTCTGTTGCCAGGTGCTAACAACCAATACACCACGAAAGGTATTGGGGTTTTGGGGTCGGGAAGGGCTAGTGTGTCTCGACGATTCAACTTGGCGGTCGGTCTTTCCTCACGCAGCCAGGAGGATATTCTGTTGCCGACATTTGAAGAGCGCTGATGACGAAAAGCGTGGAATTAAACTGTCTCTGCACTTCGAGCGAGGGTAGTGTGCGACACGGAGTAGACGTTGTTTGTGTGCCAAGTTCTCGCGTAGTAATAATCTTGTTCTGAATCTGTGGGAGGTCCTTACTCTTACATCAACTCCATGGTAGTGTACCGGCTGGCACATGTTTTACTGCTCTTGCTTGGTTCGACTCCGAGTAAAAGCACTGCGTCGAGAAGACATATGGCTTGTTTTTTTTGGGGGGTTCCTATCGACTCGGGCTAAAGCAACCAGAGTCCATAGTCCAGACTCGAAGAGCAAGCGTGAATTTTTGGTGCAATATCTGTTAGGCTGGAGAACTAGAACTGAAGCAGAGTCGGTTGTACATTGGGCATTGAAAATCAATAACCATGCGATTCAGGACGGTGTACAAAATACAGGTACACGCGAATTTGACACTAGTTCCTCACCCTGCCCGAGCGGGGGTGAAAACAGGGAACGTCCCTCCTAACCCAACCAGCGATATGCTTCGGTACAGAGAGGCTTGATACGGGGAGTACAGATCTGGGAGGACAAGGATGTTCGTCGGGAAAGGGGAGGTTATCCACGGCGAGTCGACGATGGGGTAACGTTAACGATGATGAATCAGAACAAGAAGGAGTCGAGGTTATGAAGCGTGCATGGAACCCACTGTCATATGAGAAGACGAAGATCGGGGTGTAGTGGGAGGGTAGTACACATCAAGTTTGTGCCGGTCGGTTGGTGTGCTTCTCGTGTTGACGCACCTGGCTGCACGATATCGTTCATTTCTCTCCCTTCAATTTGGGCTCCTTGCCCCATGGTTTGCTGGATGTTCGCCAGGACTATGAGTCGTGTATCTTGCACCGCAAGAAACCTGGGCTCATCGTTAAACAATGTTGGTGAGCCGTGACCGGTGAGAGACGTCATATAGTTGGCGCACGAGGACTCAGGAGAAGAGAGGGTTGTGTTCGAGTGAGCCTGATGCAATGCTGAAACGAGCGCGAGTTTACGCGTACGGAGAAAGCGACACCGATGAAAGCCGTGTTCAAAGAGAGGCGAAGTCATGTGACACGCTGTCCTCCGATCTCCATTATGCATCGGCCACGGCGCAATCGAACGCGTCGGTGTCGTCAAATCCAAATCCAGACCCCCGGGAACACCAAAAAAAAAACCCGTGAACCAACACCACGGCGATTTCCCTCACCAACCACGAACCAAGCAGATTTCGCGGGTCTCGTTTCTGGTGAAGATGACGACGGACGAGTCATGACAGGATGTAAGAACGAGGTATCGCTTGTGTAGGGGCGAAAACTGCTCGAAACCTTAGAGCTTTGTCGTGCATCGACCGCTGAAATCGTTGAAAGCGGGGGGATTCTTAAAGGAAATACTGGTGGGTATTCCTTCGCTGTTGCTGACGTCCTTTCTGTGCAGAGATTCAGTATGACCTGAGTGCTTAGACCGATGCTCTATTCAGCTTTTACTAGTGGCCCCTAGATAGGAACAAAAAAAGGGACATATACCTATTCAATGTAACGCTCTTACTCGGAGTCGAACCAAGCAAGAGTGTCAAACCATGATAGGCACACATGCTAGCCGGTACACTGTCATGGAGTGGGTGTAAGGGTAGGGACCTCCCATAGATTCAGAACAGGATTACTATTCCTTATTGCCACGCGGGAATACGGCACACACTCCGCATCACACACTCGACGTGCACTACCCTCTCACCCCAATCCTCGTCTTCAACCCATATGGCGGCAGGCTCTGTATGGACGCGCACGACTATCCGACGCGTCGACTTGAATATTATAACCATGGGGGACCACACGATAATACGGCGTATTACGCTCTCCCACTCCACAGATTCAAGGAATATGTTGGTGCCGAGTGCGTCTTTTCTCTTACTTTTTGCTATCACTAACCCTTGCTATACGCGTTGGCTCCCATCCTCAAAGCCAATCATGCATCAGGCCAAGCGACCGCCACAAACTCGACGTCTACCACCCTCCCACTCCGCATCCCAACATGCCGATCCTCGTGTTCTCATGTGATAGCGGGTTCTGCACAGGCGCACGCACGCACCCCGCCCCTGCGTCCACCTGTCTTTGCCGCCTGCGGATTCAACCCCGACTACCGCCTCATCGACTCGGGCGTGAAGTTCTCTGGTACAGCGCAAGATGTGCGGGATTAACCTACCTTTCCCCGAACATGTTCATCATTCTCGCTCTCCCGGAGCTGTACTTCCCTCTACCTTGCATCCCCGTATCAAAGGTGTGGTCCTCCTCTCTGGGCTGTACACATCTGAGGACATGCCAGCGGATACGAAGAATTCTGTCAGGTTGTACTATGGTGAAGACGATGAGGCGGAACAGAGGGCGTTGTTGGAATTAGCGAGTGCTATACCGACTCTGAGAGTCTTGCTAGGTATCGGCGAGAGGGATATTTCCTGCCTTTGTCCCATCGTGGAGAGGTTCGGCGAGGCTGTCAGCGCAAGGGTCGCATCATACGATGCAGCGTGTGGTGGGGAATGGGGAGACCGTGTGAACGCAGATGCCAAAGAGCCATTTTCACTATTCCCGACGAGTTCAACGGCACCCAAAGACGTCCGTTCCCAAACGCGCTCTGACACCCCAATCCTCGTCTTTTCTCTCATGGCGGCGGCTTCAGCACTGTCCATCTGCATCATCGATCACAACCTCGGCTCCTTCTTCGTCGCCCGCGGATTCATCGCCGATTACCTCCTCGTCGACTCTCAGCCAATGGGTATCACCTTCCCTTCCCTGACTCTTCTCCGCCATCCGATGAACGTGCCCACCATCCTCCCCCAACACCCCAATGCCCTTCTTCTCATACGGTAGTGGGTTTGCCCCCCGCGTCCATCTCAGTTCCTTCTTTGCCTTCCACGGCGTGGATTCATCACTGCCGTCCCCTTCCTGATCCTAATGTGCAGAACCCCATCACCTCGGCTACGTTCCTCGTCCTCGCTGTATTCCCCCACCTTTCGTCCTCTCTGCCGGTGGATAATTCAAGGCTAAGACGAAACCCAGCTAACCTGCTTCCGTCCCTTCTATATATAGAAGAAGGGGTCTACCTGTCCTTAAATATGAAAATGTAGGTCACGTAGGCTATTTTACATCCGCAAACCCTCTTGTTTCCCCGCATTCGTACTACACAAGTATGCATGAAAGTTTTCCCTCATCCCTGTCTTTGTCACTTGAGACCTCTGTCTCCTATCTCTCGGACTTGAACGACATCTCGCAGCCATACAGGATTCTTATAACCTCCGAGTCTCGCTGAGCATCATTGCCAAGGATGATATAGTCACTTCTCTCACGCTTGCCTGACTTGCTTTACAAAGATGCATTATCGACGGGAACTTCCTCCCATTCTGGGGAGACGACTGCGAAGGACCGTCCCCCATCTGACCCACGTAACACAACCCCATGAGATTCTCCCCTGGCGCGTGCTTCTCATAGCAACTTTGACCCGAGTATATGTGATGGCGAATTTCGGTAATATATCCACACCACCATCATGTCTGTCCACGATAAGCACGATATCGGCTCTGCACCTAGTGTCGTCCTTCAAGTTCAGGAAGACACCGCAGAGGTCGACCTCGCTACGTTTCACGAACTACATGCAGGTAGACTGGTCATTGATCCAGCGTAACAAATTTCTTTCCCACAACACGATTACTCTGGCTGATCCTTTCGCAGAGAGGCGAAAATCGAATTCGGCGAGATTTTCGCCTCCAAGCTTAAGCTCTCTCGGGACGGGACCAAAGTCCTGTGGCCTCAACCGACAGATTCGCCGCGCGACCCCCAGAATTGGACCGACGCACGCAAGAGCATCCACCTCATTATCATCACGCTAGCCGCTATCGTTCCGGACTTTGACAATGGCATAGGTGATAGCTTCAGTTTAGTGTTTTGCGTTGTCGTTTCCCTTACAGACGGCGCCTTCCCGCAGGAATCGCGTCCATCTTTCGGCTCGCTGAGCAATATGATACTACTACCGGAGTGATTAACAATTTGTCATCCAAGTGGGTTTGTTCCGTTTGAATTGCTGCTGAGCTGAAATAGCGACGCGTTCAGTTGGAGCATCTTTCTGGCAGGTCCGTCCACAATGCATCTATCCTTGTGATCAATACACCACTAATACTCGGTTCAAAGGGTGGGGGGGAATATTCGCTGTCATGCTCATTCGCTGCTACGGGCGTCTTCTAGTTCTATTTTGGTCGCAGGTGGAGATAAAGTTTATTCATTGGTACGGCTCCGTGGATTGATGTCTTGGTTCTTCAAACAGGTCTTCGCGCTTGGCTTTCTCGTGGGATGTACATTCGCGCCGGATCTGGCAACTTTTGCTGGTGGGAAATCCAGTTCGTTCTGAATCTTCTCAATTAAAGATGACCCCTCAGGAATGAGATGTTTGACGGCTTTCTTCGGGTGAGTCTGTTGTTGGTCTTTCTTCCTCAACTGAACGCATCCCGTAGAAGTGCACCTCAAGTCACGGTACAGAATATGCTCGATCCTTGTGTTGAATTCTCTTAGATGTTCTCCCAGGGATTATATATCGTTACAGATTTATACCCTTTTCACCTGCAAGCGCGGAAGGTAGAGTTACAACAGAGTATAATCTTTTTCGTTCCTCACCGCCGAGCTTCGACCTAGCTCAACTTCTGGACAATGGGATTCATTGTCTCCCCGTTCATCTCTCCGTTCGCTTTTGGCTTCCTTGTTGCCCGACAAAACTGGAGGTGGGCCTACGGAATTGGTTGCATCTACAGTGCCGTCGTATGCGTCCTAATCGCACTTTTCATGGACGAAACGTGTGCAATGTTTCCATTATTTTCCTGTCCCTACTAAATGCCTTCTAGGATGTATAACCGAACTGTGAAACCCGTTCCAGAACCAGTCACTACGGGCCTTCGCTATAAAATCGAAACACTCGTCGGTATCACCGGAGTTAAAATGGCCAGGTACCGAGTATCTTGGGCGGAATCAATCTCCTCACCCTTCAAGGTCGTATGGCGGCCTCACCTTCTTGGGATTCTGCTCTTTGAGGGTATCTTATTTGGGTTTGGTATCGGTATCAATGTGCGGCATGAGCATCTGTCTCTGAATTTATTTTGATTATTTTTCATGCAGGTCACGAATGCAGTGTTCTTGGGGAGCCCTCCACCAGTCGGGTTCGACTGGAGCCAGGACGCTATCGCTGGAGCATATGGTACACCGATTGTAGGTTCTCGTCCTATTCGCTTTGAACCCCACGGCTGAGTTTGTAGGTATCTGTACTTTTGGGTGAACTGGCAGGTCGGTATACGAATGATTGGATTATGAATCTGAGTATCAGACGCAATCATGGTGTCTTCGAAGCTGAGAGTCGACTTTGGTGAGTTTGTATTTTTAGGTAGCATCATGTTATACTGAACAGATTCAAGGGCTTGCTATATTGCTCTGCCTTTGTACATATGCGGTTTCGTCACCTTGGGTGTATCGATACAGAATCATCTCAATACTGCTGGTATCATCATGGGTTGGGGTATTGCGGAGCTGGCTATCATGATCAACACCGTGGCTATATGTATGTAATTCAACCTTCCGTCGCTTTCCTCGGACCGACATTCAACCAGACGCGTATTGCAACGACTGCTTCCCGAAACACCAAGGTGAAATCAGTGCTCTGATAAATCTAGTGCGTGTCCTCGGAGGTATGTAATATCTACTATAGCTGCTTGAGTTTCTCATCTACTGTAATAAAGGCTTTGCAGTTGCCTATTTCCAAGTTCCTTGGGCAGCAAAACATGGTGCCCTTCAAACATTTGGTTGCGAGGCCGCGTATGTCCAGTGGAAACAGTGAAAGGGAAATCTTTTGCCTGACTTTTTTTCTTTCTTTTCCAGAATCGTAGCGGGCCTCTTCGTTCTAATTATTCCTGCCATACAGATGCATGGGCGGAGTTTACGAGTACGTCCGAGTCGGTCTTATCTGTGGATATTCTCGGTTTCATCCTTTACAGGAACGGTTTTCGGTTGCTTGAATTTTTTAACCAAGTAGATGCATGCCGACGGTGCTCACCAGTGTAATTATTGTGTACGTATTAGTCTCGGAAGATCTCTGCTGCTACTTCAATAATCAGCAGAAACTTGGAATGTTTTTTCTCAGCGGACCGACCGATAGTCAGCAACGGTCATCAAATTCATAACGACGTAAAGAATCTTCCCTGGTGAGGTGGCTGCCGTTGTAAAGGACTCCTGGCAATGAACCCCCGGTTAAACCTGTCGCTATTCCGAGGTTACTTCTAACGCAGCTTTGAGCTCTTTAATACGGCATTGTATACACTATGCGTACACCAATTTTCTTGCTGTAGAACAAATTCATGTTTAATCGTCCAGAGGTGTTGAGAGTCAAAAAAATTAATTCGTCTGGTAAATCAACTTAATCCCAGTATATAAATAAATAAGACAGTAGGGCTTCGCACCGTCACCGTATAGTACGGTTATACGGGTGCCGTCATACGGGTACCGTACCCGTTCCGTCTGACAAAATAACTTGCCCAGAGACGGACGGTATCTGGACATCCCGTATCCCGTTAGCAACCGTATAAACACGGCCGTCATACGGTAATCGACGGCCGTGTATGTATCTAAAAATAACCATCATCAGATCATGCTGTACGCGTGTTTGCTATACACTTAACATCGTACCACGATGTGCTGGCACCGCAAGCTCTTCAGCGCTATCACCCGATCTTCTTTCACTCGCTCTACTCAAGCTCTAATCCTTACCAGCATAGAATACTTTCTATTTCCTGCTTCTGCTGCCTCTATTCTACTACTGTTTCATCCTTTGAGTTTGACTACCCGCACATATTGCGCAATAATTTGACCCCCGCTGGCCTGTGCCACATCTGTCAAATACTGCTGAATTTTAAGCCAGAGGAGTTCACGAAAGAGTCCTTTTTTTTCGCAGACTTACGACCGCATTCTGAGCATCATGACAGATAAGTGTGCCCTCAATGCCAACGGAAACTTGAAATCCCCCTCGAAAATCAATTTTATCACGATGCAGATGACGACGTGCCCATGGCAAGACCTGAAGCTGCTCCGAAGCCCCAAATATCAGGTATGTATTATTCAACGGCCGTATTGACGACCGGCACGGCCGTCTATATACCCGTACCGTACCGTCAACCTAGTTCTAAGAGCCTTGACGGTACGGTTACGGACCAGCCGTCGCCCGTCACTGTACCGTGGCTATACGGCCGTATACCGTATACGGTACGGTGCGAAGCCCTATAAGACAGATTGGGCATAACACGGGCCGACAATCGCTGTTCAACCGCTGTTCGTTGTTTCTCACTATCATGGGCTTTCTTAGTACGAAGCACTTTGTTTCACCAACATTCTCCCGTGGTATATACACTGTTACTTGAACCTCACGTCTAGAAGACGACCTGGCCCTTCTAATCACCCGTTGTTAATCCATAGCGGTCGAACGCGTGACGACGGGCCCACGGTAGGGGGTGATCTCCGTCTCTGCTGGCAGGGTCAAGCCTCTGGACTCCTTGAGACTGGTGATGCATAATGCGCCGAAATTCTCCAGGGTTATCCAACATTGTATTCAATTCAGCGGCGCGTAATGCGGCCAGTGTCGCGTGTACGGAGCCTCAAGTCCGTTCTCATAGTAGTGCTCCCTTCCATCTTCTAACGCATGCTGCAGTCTTAACAGCGCTGTTCTTCGTTATGGTCTATACCACGCTTCCCAGGGCACGGATCCGGACCAGCCTGCTCTTCATGCTTTGCAGTAGATATCATTGTATAGTGACCATAAGAAATATTAAAACATCTAGAATTCATCTTGACCCAAAATCGTACACAGAAAATGCGCACCAGTACATGTTGGGAATAGACGTCGGCAGGCACAAAGAACGTGGCGGATATGGCTCGAACGAACGTATATTCGTGGACAGATACGTAGGCGGTGGTGGTACGAAGCCAAGAAGCGGTAATGATCGGTACGAAAATCAAAATAAGGTAAAACAAAAGGCGGCATAGCCGTCGGCCCAGTGGCTGTGAAACCATATCCTCAACAGTACACTGATCATGGTTCATTCAGATGTGGCTACTGTATGTATGTATGTACCTAACCCGTATCGCATCGCCATCTCCGCAGATCTGTGTCTGTGTCTGTGTCTGAGGCCTGGTGAGGGCTTAGTACTCATCTAGGAGCCCGGGATCCGGTGTCTCTCAACTTCCTTCCTCTTCTCTGTCTCTATTATGCTGCTTCTCCAGCCTGCCCAATGGCATAGCTTTTCATAAATCTGCAACACCCGACAGGCAAAATTTGCTAGCACTAGTTTAACAGGGATTGTAAGGAAGATAGTCGCAACGTGCCCCGAGGGTTAATACGTTCTCTCGTCGAGCTCTGATTGGAACCCTTCCACCAAGGTAACAGAGCTCTTACTCAAATGTGTGTCCAGTACCGTGATACTCGGCCACCATACCTGTTCGAGTTGACGCGGCGAGAAGAGTGTGTGCCGAGTTCTCGCGTGGTAATAAGTAATCTTACTCTGAACCTGTGGGATCCTTATACGTGTTCCGTGGTAGTGTACCGGCTAGCACGTTGCTTTACCGCTCTTGCTTGGTTCGACTCCGAGTGAGAGCGCTACGTTGGAAAAAGCACATTTCTTTGCTTTTTTTTTGTTCCTACGCCGTACGGCGTACGGAGAGCAAGCGTGGTTTAAAAATTTTTTGGTGCGATATTTATTAGGGCCGGAGAACTAAAGCTAACGTTGGGGACTGTGGTGAGGTCGGCGTACACGGTGGTATGTTCTCAGAAGAGTCAGTCCTTGCTTTGGTCATGGGTATCCGTCGAATACAAGGCTACAGAGCGTAAACTCAATAGCACGCACGCATATTTGACACCAGCATCCCGCTTATGACCTTTGACAACGAACTGCGCCCGGGTGAAAACAAGGAACGTCTCTCCTGGCGATGGGCGTCCAAAACGTCAGCGTCACCCTTTGCCTGGCATCCCCTGCATGTCCAAGTTGACGAGCGAGCAACGGAGTAAGGGATGGTAGTACACATCAAGTTTTTGCCGGTCGGTTGGTGGGTTTCTCGTGGGAACGAACGCATTCATTGTAGGAGAAAAGACGCATTCTGCCAGTGCACTGGTAAGATTTCTCTCCCTTGCTGGATGTTCACCGCTACCACTCCTTCTGGGTGACTGAGGGGCTTGTCGCGAGGAAATTTAGATGGCACGCGAGGCAAACGGAGCGTTGTGTTCGAGTGGGCTTGACGCAATACTGGAAACGAGCTCGAGTTTATGGTGGACAATGAAAGTCGTGAGCCATGTCACACGATGTCACAACGTTTCCTTCGCATCACCTAGTCTCGTAAACCAGACTCAACGATCCGTATGAAGAAAAGTCGTTCAATGGATGTAGAGTCTGGAATTAGATCGGGGGGCGGAAGGGGGGGGGGGGGGGGGGCGAGCGCTACTTCAAAAATGTGATGGCCGAACCGGCATGGTGGGCGCGCGCCATGACCGCATCCCAAAATAGACGGCGACGAACTCCTCTCTTTATCTCTTGAATGCCTTAAAGCATCTAATTCTCCCTCGTTTCACAATAATTTATCATATATGCCCTCCGAGGCTCATTCTACATCTACCACATTCCCTAATACCCTCCCTAACCCTTCTGTCAATTCCCCTGAATGGCTCGAACAAATTCTTAAGGAGAAGTGTCATGTTCCTTCACTTCGAGAATTCCAGCTCAAGCATGCAATCCAACTCAATGATGGCATGGACCTGTTTCTTGTTGTAGCCACTGGGCAAGGGAAAACACTCGTGATGTATTCCCCAGTGGTTGCATCGCAGGCCCGAGCAGAGACTGGTATAGCAATCTCAATCGTGCCTTATGCATGGATGCGTCATCTACGGGTTGAGGGTTCATAATATAGTCAAAAGTAGCAAGCGTAAGTCTAAAGGAGCAACGCGAGCGCGTAGAGCAATGGAGAGACGACGCAACGTCGTGGTAAGAGTGGATTCCAAGTTTGGACGCGCGCGCCCACAATGCCGGAAGCCGGCCATCACGATTTTCAAGTACCGCTCATCCCCCCCTCCGCCCCTCGATCAAATCCTAGACTACGCATCACCCACGATGCAATTGAACGCGTCGGTGTCGTCAAATCCAAAACCAGACACCCGGGGACACCAAAAACCTGGTTCTGTGAACCTGCACGAACAACGAGAAAAGTGAGAACGAAGTGCCGCTTGTGTAGGGACAAGACTGCTCGAAACCTTAGAGCTTTGCTCTGGTCTGGACTCTGAAAGCGGAAGGATTCTTAAAGGAAGTACTGGTGAGTAGTCCTTCGCTGTTGCTGACGTCCTTTCTGTGCAGGGATTCGGTATGACCTGGGTGCTTAGACCGATATTCTATTTAACTCTTACTCTCTAACAGTGCATATATCTCGAAATCAATTTCATTTCAGCGGATCCATTGCCCAGCGCCAACACCAACCTCATTGTCGCACGGTGTGTAGAGTTTACACAGGGAACGTTAGCATGCACTGCTTACCTGAAGGCGGCTGGAAGGGTCGACATGGCGGTAGTCGGGTTTTATGGACGCCGAAGATCAGTCACCTCGCGCGACAACATTGTTTGAGGACGCTACGTTGTGTTATGGTCCACTCCCTCCAACGACACTCAAACATGCATCGACATCGATCACACAAGAGAGGCCCATGCTCGACGGTCTGCGCGGATTCATCACCGATTACTGCCTCGTCGACGACTCTCAGCCAATGGGTATATCCTTCCGGATCCCCTTTCCCGACTCTTCTCCGCCATTCGATGAACATGCCCCAATGCCCGTCTTGCCTCCGTGTCCACCTCAGTTCCTGCGGCGCGGATCCATCACCGTCAACATCACCTCGGCCACGTTTCTCATCCTCGCTGTGTTCACCCACCTTTCGTTCACGATCAGGAGCTGAGGCGAAACTCTGCCGGCGTTGTTGGATATTGGCGAGAGGGATGTCCGATGTCTTGCGGATCCGGCAAGGCGATGAATGTACAATCAACCTTCATCGAGATGTACGACATAAGTCGCTCAATATCTGTAGCACGTAAGTAAAAATGAACGTATTCAATCAAGTCTTATCTCTTTAGCACATTGGATGGGAAGAATAAGTAGCTCCTTGACTCTTGAGAGAGCTACCTAAATTCGTCACCGCTGAAAAGAAAACATTCTGAATGCAAACAGATCATCTCATTCGAACCCAGCTTCCGTACACCAACAACCAATGTAACCACAACATGATAGGGCTCTGGGTCGAGTTTGAACGGCTGGTATGCCTCGAAGATGGGGAGGTATAGTTTTCGGCAGTCGATGTTTCCTCATACGCAGCAGGTGGATATTCTGTTGCCGACATTCGAACAGTGCTAATGACAAAAAGTCACGGTTTCTGCGCTCTGATGACTCCCGAGGGAATTGAACCCAGGGTGCGGTGTATACTAACCACCATTCCATGCTGAGGTGTCTTCCGAGGTAGATAATAATACTCAGCTCGACATGCGAAATTTAAGTTTGACAGGGGTCGTACTTACTAGGAAGATAGTCGCAGCGTGCCTCGAGCGAGCTCTGGTGGAACCCTTCCACCAAGGTAACAGAGCTTTTACTCAAACGACCCTGTGTCCAGTGCCGTGAGCCGGGCACCATTCCTGTTCGAGAGAAGAGTGTGTGCCGAGTTCTCGCGTGGTAATAAGTAATCTTGGTCTGAATCTGTGGGATCTGTATACGTGTTCCATGGTAGTGTACCATGCTTTACCGCTCTTGCTTGGTTCGACTCCGAGTAAGAGCACTACAGTGGGCGACCGCGTTGCTTTACTTTTTGTTGTTCCTATAGACTCGGGCTAAAGAAGCGTGGTTTTTTGGTGTGATGCCGGGGCCCGGAGAACTAAGACTGTTTCAAGGAGTTGGGAGAGATCGGTGCATTCAGTTTCAGCTATACAAGTCCTCGTTTTGGTCATGCATACTGATATATTGGCACTGAAAAAAAAATCAATATCCATGCGATTCAGGACAGATGGCGTACAAAATGCAAGCCCTCAATAGTATACACGCGAATCTGACACCAGCACAGTACACGTCGAGTTTGTGCTAGTCGGTTGGTGGGTCTCTCGCGTGCATATTATCGACGCGCGTTTGGATTCGAGGATGGGAAGAACACGCTTAATGTATAGTAAAATAGTGTGGTCTGCTCAATTGAGGCGCGCTTAGAGCCTCTTGATTCGTGAATCGTCAATGGTCACTGCCGAAAAGAAAGAAAAAAACGGTCTTCTATCCAAATCCTCCTACGTACTGGGATTCGAACCCAACTTGCGTGTGCACGTACATTTGAAATGAGAGGCAACCAATATACCATGAAAGGCGTTGGAGCTTTGGGTCAGAAATCATTAAAAGCTGGTGTGTCTCGGAGATTTATTTTGACACCGTATTAGGGACTCGGAAAGGGATAGTTTTCGGCAGCTGATATTTCCTCATATGCAGCAAACGAAGGGAGGAGGATATTTTGCTGCCGAGTAGACTTCGCTAATGACAAAAAGTGTAGAATTAATGTGGCTTTGTATTGTGATGATCTCTGAGGGAATTGAACCCAGGGTGCGGTGTTTACTAACCATTGCGCTAACACTGACAGCGATGCGTATCTTCCGAGGTAGATAGTTCAAATCGACACTGCGTAAATAAACAAGCGAAATTTACTTTTAGCGAATTATGTGCTTTCAATATTTCCCCGTTCGTCAAGCTTCAAGGCCGGCATTGAATACTGACCATAGGCCAGGAGTATAATAGATAGAGAAGTCGATAGGGATCACTTGACGAGAATAATGAACACGGGTGAAGTGAAAATGTATTACTACTGGTGCGAGGAAAGAACTTGAAGGCGGTTTTCGAAAATGAAAACCCGTACAGAGCGGAATCCTGTAGCTGGGAAGTCGAAACCAGAGGAGCCCAGCCGTACGTGAGGAGTTGCTTACTGTCTTTGACGTGCAATCATTCTGAACCAAGTACTCAGCGAACAGGCCGCGAGGAGTCATTTATTTTACCGCACACCGTCCTAACCATAGACAGGGAATGCAGAAGCCACGGAATCGGTACACTCACTGAACCCAGCATACTCTTTGTTTGCCGTAGTACAGCCAGAGGGAATCCCATTATATCGGCGGGCATGTCCTCAGGATCTGCACCAGGAAACTG